GGATATCAAGCCTTTATTCCTGAACCTTGGTACCCAGTGCGAAACAGTTGTATGCTGTCGTGTCTCCCCTGCCCAGAAGGCATTGACCGTGAAGCTGGTGAGTATACTATCACTTCCTGAGATATATTACTCACATCGAGTTTGGCGTCAAGGTCAAGGAAGGTCGCAAGGCGATGACGTTGTCTATAGGAGATGGTGCTAATGACGTCGCAATGATTCAAGAAGCCAATGTTGGTTGTGGTCTCCTTGGACACGAAGGTTCACAAGCTGCTATGTCTGCCGATTATGCCTTTGGTCAATTTAGATTTTTGACAAAGTTACTGCTCGTCCATGGGAGGTGGTCGTACCAGCGTATTGCTGATATGCACAGTAACTTCTTCTACAAGGTTTGTTGTGTGATTTTGTTTGATCGTACCTGTCGTTGATTCGTCGCTTCAGAATGTCATCTGGACGTTGGCCATGTTTTGGTTTATGCCGTTTTGCTAGTGAGTTTCGTTCTTGGTTTATCTGCACTAATTGACGATGCTTTTGAAAGCTTCGACGCAACCTATCTATATGACTACAGCTTTATTTTGTTTTACAACCTCATCTTTACCTCACTGCCTGTCATTGTTCTCGGATGTGAGCCTTGGTTCATTAGTTACTGGGTTCCGCTCAACTGTTTGTTTTAGCATTCGATCAAGATATCAATGCAAAAGCTGCCCTTGCTTTCCCTCAGCTCTATGTTCGTGGCATCAGAGGCTTGGAGTACACGCGGACAAAGTTTTGGTTCTACATGCTCGATGGTCTTTACCAATCTGCGGTCGTCTTCTTCATTCCCTACTTGGTCTGGCAGCTTGGACTGGCTGTGGCGTCCAACGGCAAAGGGATTGATTCTTTAGCGGATTTCGGAACAACTGTTGCGGTTGCTGCTATCTTTGCAGCGAACACATATGTTGGAATGAACACTCACTAGTGAGTGCGCTTTGTCGTACTGGTTTGGTAACGCTAAATGTTACTTTTTTAGTTGGACCTCCATCACTTGGATAGTCGTCGTCGGATCATCCCTTGTCATGATTCTTTGGATCGTGATCTACTCGTTCTTTCCGGTCAACACCTTCTTCTCTAATACAGATGGATTTATAGATGAAGTAGAGATTCTCTTTTCGAATGTCACGTTTTGGACGACAGTTGTTTTCTCTGTTTTGGTGGCACTGGGTGAGTCGAGACGGTGTTCCTGGAGACTCATCTAACTGGTGATCGATTAGCCCCTCGGTTCCTCACCAAGTTCTTCAAGTCAACATATATGCCCTTGGACAAAGATATTATTCGCGAGATGTGGGTTGCAGGGGATCTCAAAGATCGTCTGGGAATTCGCCATCGCAAAGAATCGAAGAACAAACATGTTGACCTTGAGACTGCACCCATGTTTCGCGAACCTCACGCTCGTTCAACGTCAGAATTAGCTCTGCAGCATACTTACGAGCCGACGTTTGCAAGATCCCCTGCAGGTTCTGGTAGGAGAAGTCCTGACGACAATGGCTCAGATACTATCGAGCTGGTCCCCCAGGCCACGTTACAAAATCCCCACGACGCAGAAGATACTGGTTCACCCAATCCCTCTTACTACTCACCATCCGACATCCCCCTGCCCTCACCCATACCACCCTCGCTATACAAGTATTCATCAGGAGAAATAAGCAGCCAAGCACCATTTGCCACGCCGTCGCGCTCACACTCTTTGAGCCCCGAGCCTCCCGTTCCTAAATTAAGTTACTCGCGCCCCTCGCGTGATTGGCCCCAATCCCCTCCGCGTCTGCAGACCCCTCCACATCCTCATTCCTTGGCACATGGCCGACAACCCCTTGTTCAGCTTCAAACAGAGGGACTCCATGATCACGATCCTGATGCTGGTGAAGGTCGGTATCGGCCAGAAGGGTCCGATCAAGAAAACCAGGCAGACAGCTCACTGGCGTGGGATGAGCCGCAGGTTCTCTGAGGTCTTTTTGACTTCTGCTGGATGTGATGTATCATAGGAGAGACGTGAAACTGTTGTACTCACCCATGCTTTCGTTCTGACCTGTCCACATCTTATTGCAACACTCTTGTGCATTCCGCATTTACATGGACTCGTAGTCGGTACTGAGATGGCCATCCTATCTATCTATTGTCCCATACTTTTTTTCGATGTCAAGCTACACTTTTAACATTGATTTTTTTAATGGACTTGCTAAACGTCGGCCGCTTCAGGACGATGGACATTGGAGATATTGTAGTTTCGAAAAAGGACAGGTTCGCGTGTTTTCAGTGGAACCTGCATCATGATGAAACTAGGCATTTGTATCGGATCATATATCGACTTGCGACTGATCATACCGCCAAAACGGAGTTGTGCATTCACGAATCCACTGACCATCAAGAACGATGACGGTTTTTGACCAAGTAGAATAAGTAGGTCATTATACATATCTTTAGGGTATATACGTATCACATGGAGTACGTTCGTGGCTAACAGTCCCGGGAGTCGTACGAATCTCTTTTTGAGACCAGGAGAAGCGGAAATTAGCCATCGAAGTGGCCCAGCGCAGATGATCATACACAATTTTACTTCGCCACTTTTTTTTGAGTGTGCAAGATGAAATAAACCGCGATAAACTGACATCTAAGTGCTGTTCCTGTCGGGGAGAATGGGACACGAGCAGCCGAACGACACTACCGTGATTGAAGGAATACCAAGTATACTCATTATGGGACGCGATAACCCAGTCACTATCGACAACGTCAGCGCAAAGGGAGCAAGAGAGAATACACAACGAACTTCTCGCAGCTGCGCTTCTCGCTGAGGTAAAAGACTGGAGATCACGATGGGAGTGACAGTGGCACTGGTAGTACAAAGAGGTGATCGCCACATAGAGTATCGCTCTGCAAAAGACATGAATTGGAATCGAAAAAGAGGGTGATCAGAAAAACGGGGAGTCGGCAGGAGTCGCAGGACACAGATATGGTCCCATGAAGCAATCTCGAGTGCGAGATTCCCAAGCTGCTTTCCATCTTCATTCCAGTAGTCCCTTATACTCGATGACATCCACGTCTTTCCAGTAAAAAGTGACTACTGGAATGAAGCACTCTGCTGTGAAGTCGAACGCCCAGTATACTCATAATGGCGCGACTCAACTGCGGCTGAATGGTAAATTGTCGGAAAAATCCAATGCTTTCAAGTTTTAAAAAGGGAAGATGTCGAAGGGAAAATAGAGGAGAGAAGCAGAGAAGAAAGAGAGGATGAGTGGGAGAGGGAAGAGAACAGTGAGGAGTAGCGGGGAGCTTGAGGGAAGAATGGATAAGTATTAAGGATGAACATGACTCAATGATGAAGAGTATGTACTAGTATCAGTTGAACAACGAAAACTTTCGATGTTATATTACATAATTGACTATCACTGGTCCCGCTACTAGTCAATGATCGATTCATTGCCGAAATCCTTGCAGCAAAGCAAGCTCAACATGCACGGTCTTGCCAGTTCCGTGCCTTCTCGCATACTACAACGGCGGTAGTATCCAAGCAGTGCGGCTTCGGTCCGAATGCCCTGCTCTTCTTCAGCCTCGCGGCCTTCTCGTTTCGGCCGCTTTAATCAATATCATCGCACCCTTACAACGTGCTTCCTGAGCTTTATAAACCTGACATCCCGGACTGTAAATGAGGCTATAGCTCGATATCCTGCTAGTCGCTTCTGTCCTGTTTACTTTGCACACTCTGTGCATGCTGCAGTTTCCTCTATAATCTTTTAGGACTTTACAGGTAGTACGGCAGTCTCAAGTGTTGGTTTGAATTCATCATTCAGTCATATGTCAAGATTCGTCCCTGACCATTTCAACAACTACCCACCACCCTTGGGAGAGGGTCAGAGCCACCCAGAATGCCCCAAGGATGCAGGACAGACAAACCCCGTGAACAGTGAAATACTACAAGTTGTCGTCAATAGTATGTGTTACGTATATCTTCATTTAACACGCACCAATGATTTTTCAAAGCAATTCTGGCGACACTTCACTTCATCATCGATCTCCTGTTTTGTTTCACGACAGATTTTGAGCCAATCCCGCTCGATGATACCCTCCAAGCCTTAGGTGAGGAGCCAAGTCAACCAGAACAAACTCAGGATCCGGAGGAGACGAACCTGGTGATCAGTGAAATGCTACAAGTCGCCATCAACAGTATGTGCCCTTCCTTCACTCAGCACGTGGTTCCCATGATTTCCTACGACAGATTCCGTGTCGAGCCCACTCGATGATACCCTCCCAGCCTTGAGTGAGGAGCCAAGCGATCTAGGACACGCTCAGGACACAGGAGAGATGCATTTCAATGAAGTGCAACAGGTCCTCATTAGTTGTATGTGTTATCTATTTCCGGTCAGCTCGTGTTGATTGACAATTTCTCTCAAGCCATTCGCGCAACCGATCTCGCTCTTGGTCTCCGAAGGATCCCCGCCGGATTTCATGCGGTGGTTAAGGCTAACGGTTCTGAATACCAGACAAGCAATAAATTTGTAGACGTGGACCAGGCTGTCGTCGAATGGCATGAGCGGATTATTCTGTAAGTTGTTCTTAACCCCGTCTATCCTGCTGGTATTGAAAAAGACTCGAGGCCTTGCGAGCAATCTTGTAAAGTTCGGGTCAGCGTGTACGCCTCATTCGAATTGGGTCCCATGGTCTGTCACGGAGAACTCCTCCGCACATTCGAGATCTCCGTTGGGGAATTACTGGATCGCAGCAAAGAATCTCATCGTCAGCATTGTTCATTGCGAATAAAACCTCACTGATGCTAACGAGTGTCACAGCTATAATCTTTCAGCCAAAGCAGTGTGAGGTCGCATCCGCTTGTACTTCACTGTTCATGACAGTGGAGCAGCGACTTCGGGATCAAAATGATGGTGGAGCTCCTTATCCCCTTGCTACCGTGAGTAATCAATGCGATCTGGTATTCTGATGCTGATCGCTGTAACGTGTAGCTTACATGTCGCGATATGAACGCTTTAGTACTAAGTACGGATGCCGGACATCGTCTTCTCGCACGTTACCGCAGGACGCAGAACAGTACGGATCTGGACCAATCCATAAACCGCTTCGAACGTGCCTTGTATCTCTGTCCCGTCGATCATCCCTACCACCCTGCAGCACTGTTCAATCTAGCCACCGCGAAGTTTATTAGTTGCCAAGCTAACGGAAGATACCTAGACCTCGACACACCTATATCTCTTTTTCAAGACGCACTTGATTTGCGTCCAACTGGCCATCCAGACCGACCCATAGCCCAACTGCATCTTGCGATTTCTCTGCTCTCTCGCTTCGCGAAACGGGGATTTCAAACCGATGCAGACACCGCCGAAGAGTTGCTGAGCGAAGTGCTTGACGTCTGCCACACCAACAGCCACATTCACAGGGCAGCCTTGATCGCAATCGAAGTATCCGCTCTGCATTCTGCTGGAAGCATGGATGCAAATGATTTTGAGCGGGAGCGGCCTGCCACATCCAGGCTTCCGTTGTCGCCGAATCAACTTACTCATCGAGCACAGCAGTGTTTGCAGAGAGATGAACCGCGTGACTTAGATGAAGTGATATCCCTTCATTATGATGCACTAGTATACTACACCGCCGGGCATGCTTCACGAGGGCAATTGCTAGGGAATCTGGCTGTAATGTTGCAAACTCGCTTCGAGCGTCGAGGCGATGGTAAAGACTTGGATCAAGCCATCGCACTCCAGACGGAAGTTCTGGCCTCACACACGGTCGGTTACGCAGATCGCTCCGCATCATTGAATAACCTCGCGTATCAACTCTCCTCCCGCTTTGACCACCGAGGTAATCACGAAGACTTGAATCAGGCTATCGCGCTTCACAGGGAAGCGCTGGCCTTGCGTCCTGCCGGTCACACAGATCGGTACCGGTCATTAACTAATCTCGCGATTCAACTCTCCTCCCGCTTCCTCCATCGAGGCAACGACGAAGACTCGGATGAGGCTGTCACACTTAGCAGGGAAGCGTTGGCCTTGTGCCCGGTCGGTCACACAGGACGGTCCAAGTCATTGATCAACCTCGCGAATCAACTCTCCTCCCACTTTGACCACGGAGGAAACGATGAGGACTTGGATCAGGCTATTGCACTTTACAAGGAAGCGTTGGCCTTGTGCCCGGTCGGTCACATAGATCGGGCCATGTCATTAAATAACTTTGCGACTCAACTCTCCTCGCGCTTTCAGCATCGAGGCAATGACGAAGACTTGGATGAGGCTATCGTACTTCTCAGGGAAGCGTTGGCCTTGTGCCCAGTCGGTCACACATATCGGTCCATGTCATTAAGTAACCTCGCAGGTCAACTCTCCTCCCGCTTTGACCACCGAGGCAATGATGAAGACTTGAACGAGGCTATCGCACTTCACACGGAAGCGCTAGCCTTGCGTCCGGTCGGTCACACATATCGGTCCACGTCATTAAATAACCTTGCGAACCGACTCTCCTCCCGCTTTGACTACAAAGGCCACGACGAAGATTTGGATGAGGCTATCGCACTCTACAGGGAAGCGCTTGCATTGCGCCCGGTCGGTCACACATATCGGTCTGGGTCATTACATAACCTAGCAGCAAGACTCTCCTCTCGCTTTGAGCTCCGAAGTAATGACGAAGATTTGGATGAGGCTATCGCACTCTACAGGGAAGCGCTTGCATTGCGCTCTGTCGGTCACACAGATCGGTCCATGTCATTAAATAACCTCGCAACTCAACTCTCCTCCCGCTTTGACCACCGAGGCAACGATGATGACTTGGATGAGGCTATCGCACTTGACATGGAAGCGCTGGCCTTGTGCCCGGTCGGTCACACACATCGGTCCGCATCATTAAACAACCTCGCGTCACAACTCTCCTCCCGCTTTCAACAACGAGGCAACGATGAAGACCTAGATAGGGCTATCGCACTTGACAGGGAAGCGCTGGCCTTGTGCCCGGCCGGTCACACACATCGGTCCACGGCATTAAATAACCTTGCGACTCAACTTTCCGCCCGCTTTCACCACAGAGGCGACGACGAAGACTTGGAGCAGGCTGTCACACTTTTTCGGGAAGTGTTGGCTTTGCGCCCTGTCGGTGACACATCTCGGTCTAATTCATTAAACAACCTCGCGGCTCAACTCTCCTCCCGCTTTCGCCACCGAGGCAATGACGAAGACTCGGATGAGGCTATCGTGCTTCACAGGGAAGCGCTAGCCTTGTGCCCGGTCAGTCACACATCTCGGTCTATGTCATTAAACAACATCGCGACTGAACTCTCCTCCCGCTTTATCCACCGAGGCAACGATGATGATTTGGATGAGGCTATTGCATTTTGCAGGGAAGCACTGGCGTTGTGCCCGGTCAGTTACACAAATCGGTCCATGCCATTAAATAACCTTGCGACCCTTCTCTCCATCCGCTTTGACCACCGAGGCAATGATGATGATTTGGATGAGGCTATCGCACTGCATAGGAAAGCGCTGGCATTGCGCCCGATCGGTCACACGTCTCGGTCCGCGCCATTAAACAACCTCTCGAATCAACTTTCTTCCCGCTTTGACCACCAAGGCAACGGCGAAGACTTAGACGAGGCTATTTTACTTCAGAGGGAAGCGCTGGCCTTGCGTCCGGTTGGTCACATAGATCGGTGCACGTCATTAAATAACCTTGCGAATGGACTCTCCTCCCGCTTTGAGCACCGAGGCAACGACGAAGATTTAGATCAGGCACTCGCACTTGACAGGGAAGCGTTATCCTTGTGCCCGGTTGGTCACACAGATCGGTCCATGTCATTATGTAACCTTGCGACTCACCTCTTCACCCGCTTTCACCACCAACACAATCGAGAAGACCTTGACGAGTCACGAGAGAACCTACGCTGTGCATTAACTCTGTTGACTCGACATGATCCTCGGCAATTACGAATCCATCAGTTGCTAGCTAAGGTCTATCTGTCGTTCCATCGTTCAGGCTTTGACGATGCTGGCGTAGGTGCAGGTACCGATAATCTGAATGCTGCCATGCATCATCTCAAGGTAGCAGCAGACGTTGCCTCTGCAGGCTTGCTATCTCGCCTACGAGCAAGTCTACTTTGGGTTCGTCATGCTGATGAAGAGAGACATAGCACTCGAGTGGAGGCTTATGCGGCTTCCATGCAACTTCTTGACGCTTATATCTCTACGAGAGCTTCAGTATCGTCTCGCCATGATATCATGAAAGACTTCCCGAGTACACTTGCCGTTGATGCTGCATCGTGTGCTCTTCGTAGTAGTGACGTCTGTCGCGCTGTTGAGTTGTTGGAGCAAGGCAGGACCATCATCTGGACCCAGATGACACGACTCCGCATCCCTCTTGACAGCCTTCAGACTCACGGTGATCATGCAGTGACCCTGATGAAGAGATTCAGAGACCTCAGCTCCCTCCTCGATCGACCTCCTGCAAGCCATCCAGAAGGGACTCCATTGGTCAATGCAGAAGCAGAAGAAACCCGGTACAGACGTCTGGTGGAGGACTGGAATAGAGCTGTAGAAGATATCCGGAAGATCGAGGGCTTCTCTCGCTTCCTCCTTCCCCCCTTATTCTCCGACCTTCAAGATGCAGCTCGTGAAGGACCTATCATCGTGCTCATCGCAAGCGAGTCATCTTGCCATGCCATTATTATCCCGCACAGGCAACCTCCGATTGGCATTCAACTCCCCACCAATTTTGAGAAACTCCTGAGATTGGTTGACGCATTCCAAGAGGCAGTTCCAAAAGAGGCCAGTCCTAAAGGGAACCAACCTGCGCTGGTAAAAGCTTTGAGAGAGTTGTGGGACGACGTCGTCTGCCCAGTGGTCGACAATCTGAACGGATTTGCACGACGAGGTTCCCGGATATGGTGGTGCCCGACATTTCTCTTCAATTTCTTGCCGTTGCACGCTGCTGGCGAGTACAGAGCACAGGGAAAGTCGCTTTCCCAGCAGTATATCTCTTCATACACGCCATCGCTCACCGCGCTGATCAAGGCTCGCGGAAGTCATGACAGGTCCCCGTCGGTGCCCTTCGTTGCCATTGGTCAGGATTGCCCAGCCGGTGCCTCGTTCACTTTGGATGCTGTGGAGCCTGAGCTGGAATTGGTACGGAGACTTTTGCCCCCTCCCCCAACTGTTTCCTTCTCGAAGATAACCAGCGTTGATGCCACGAAATCGAGAGCACTGCGCGCATTGCGAGACAATACTTGGCTCCATCTCGCGTGCCATGGCACACAGAAAATTGATGAACCCTTCAAGTCGGCCTTTCTGATGCGCGATCAACCACTTTCCCTTATCGACATCACGCAAATGGATCTGTCTCGCCATGAATTCGCATTTCTTTCTGCCTGTGAAACCGCAGTCGGTGACCATGATACTCCTGACGAAGTGATACACCTGGCAGCTGGCCTGCAATTTGCCGGGGTCAAGAGTGTCGTCGGGACATTATGGAAGGTTAACGATAATACAGTGCAGCGCTTAGTCGAGGCATTCTACAAGAACTTGTGCGGGCATGGCCCAATGAATTCCAAACGAGCCGCCTGGGCGCTGCACCAAGCGGTCCGGTCGTTAGCTTGTGACGAAGAAAATACAATGCCCTTGGACCAGCGCATAGTGTTCGTGCACATTGGCATATGATCAATTTGGTGCGTCCTCCCACCTTTTCGATTATAACGTTCGTGAAATAACCTAACGATTTCACATGTAGCATCCAGTCATGGTCACACGCAACCTGTTTCCAAGGACTTCAATATTCCAGACTTTGAGACTGTATAGCTACACAATCTGCACACCTAATTTTGACTTCAATTTGTATTTTCTAATTTATTGCCTCGGAGCCGGAGGTGCTCGCTCCTGTGCACCAAAGTACTGAAGGTTTGTGGACAGGTATAAAGTTGATCGACACTGATTCGGCATAAGACCTCATGTGACAAGGCACACAATTTGCGATGGACATGATAGTCAAGTTTCTGAATTGCGTGAGACGATGACGGTTTTTGAACAAGTAGAATAAGTAGGTCATTATACATATCTTTGAGGTATATATGTATCAAATCGAGTACATGAGTACACTCGCTGCTAACAATTTCGGGAGTCGTATGATTCTCTTTTCTAGACCAGGAGAAGCTGAAATTATACACCGAAGTGAGCTGGCAGTGCACTGCCAGTGAGTGCCGATATTACTAATGAGATGGCATGCGGGAACAGCGTGGTAATAAAAAGCCTGGACAAGCCAACACCGCTGAGCGCTAATCAGGCCACTTACTCTGAACTCATTTGCTAAGCCTTTAAAAAAGACTGCACTGCGCGCTGTGTCACACAAGAGAATCGAGGCTATCGCTGCGAGGAATCCTGGGCTGTATCTGAAAGGAATTTACACTTGGAGGCACTTTACGACTCGGACGTGTCATTGTGGTAGCAATCGTGCTGTACCAAAGCGTCAGTCATTGAAATCAATGTTATCTTTAGCCTCACAAACTGAGACGTACAGCGCTTAATTCACGGGGCGACGATGCTTTGATGAAATGGTCATAGTGAATGATACTCACCAAGGTTAGATGATGAACCTGACCCACGCAGACTTACAGATAACTGACTCTGTCTATAGAGCTGCACTACCATGTCGCTCCCTACGAAGCAGACGGTACCTTGACTATCCGAGGAGCCATTTATGCTCGGCTAGAAGACCCTCCATTTCGTTTACTCTACACTTCCGCTGGGCATTTATGCAATCGAGATGCGCACACGAATCGGTTTTCCTTCATGGAAAACACAGGGCTTTTATGTTTATTGATGACACATGCGCCCCTACAAATAGAGCTCATTGGAGAAGCGATCAGAAGTACCTCAGTTGAGTTGTGTTATCACGTACTTTGATGGGAAAGCCAGGGTCGCTACTGCAGAATGTCCAAGATGGCAGGAGTTCCTGGTTTTCATGGTAATTCTATCCCTCAATGAAGACTGTTATCAAACCACAGACTAAGAATCGGAGCATTCGACAGGCATAGACGCACAGGCTCTTGTACGCGAGAGAAATTGCAATGGCCGTCGACGTGCGTCATGAAATCGCAGGAAGATATATACTGTATACTCATTGTTTAGTATCTTCCGCGTCCACTACCTGTCACATCTGTGGCGAGACAAACGAAATGTGCTCCGAATCGGTCGGCTTTTATAGGAGATTGTCATTCCCTCGGGTGACCAATTTACTGCTTTGGACCGGGCTGAAAAATGACAACCTTTGCGTTCCTTGTTTCGCGAACTCCCGACTCCGACTGCCTCTTGCATCGCGTTTCCTGTCACAGAAGTCAGGAGAAGGCTCGGCCAGGGACGAGAATTCTTTTTCATTATAATGTCAAGACAGATGAGCTCAGATATATTGATCACCACAGAAGACAAGTTCAACTCTTGCCGGCAAATTCGGTAGGCATTCTTGCACGTGCGTGGTGCCGTTATGACATCGGACTGCCTGAATTTGCAGAAATGCCCACAGCCCGAGTCTATGTTGGATGATTCACCCCACGAGGTTCCCGGAGAAGATGTAGCTGTTGATTTAGACACCTGGTCGCGAATACTGAGCCTGATCGTTCGCCTGGTACAACCCTGTGGCACACTGTTGCTAGCGCAGGCGTGAAGCACGGGAGAATCGCGTCGGATCGCAATATCATGACACAAGTCAGGGACATATCCGCCATCGATGACATGGACTGGCATCAGGACAGTACTGATGGACATTGTAGCTACATCTGTTTCAAGGAGCGGTGATCCTTCCTTCAACCCTTGGCCGTACCTGCATGCCAGAACGATTTAGCTACTAGTGGGCCCATTTGTAGTTTTGTACTATAACGGTTTCGCACCACTCAAATCGAATATGATTGTCCTCATCCCACCCTCGCCATGTCGACTACCATCAGAAGAAACAAACAGTAAAGCCTTGGAGAGCTCAGAGCATTTAATGCGTTCCCAAACTCGATCTACCTACATGCGGAGCCTGTTTACCCTTCTTCAATGCAAAATCATATGAGTTCCGAGTGGGGCCTCCCTTTCCCCCTCACATTCTTGGACTCAGAACTGATTCCCCCAGAATCCTCTGCATCTGCATCCACATCCTAAACTAGAAGTGCGGAAGCGTCTTTTGGACGGCTTCATGTCTGGACTAATGAAAGTCATCGGGTTGTCAGTTAAGAAACCTATAATAAATCCAGCGAAGCATGGAGTGCCTCAGTCAGGCTGCCAGTGAGATCGATGGTCATAGAATACATAATTCTGATCTATCTGAGGGACAAAAAGCTTGATTTGAAACACAGGAACAACGCATGACTGCAGGATAATGAAGGTACCTGGTGAAATCTATGAAAGCCTATCGTGATTCACCGTAAGCGACCTCCCTGCTTATGACAACGGATGAAACGGTCAAGAGTGACGAAAGAACCTTTCTAGGGCTATTTAAGACATCTTTAAAGCGCATTTGCATCGAACACATTTGTTGTTCATGCAGAACACTGTAGGGAAACCATACGAAAATTGAAAGCAAAAACAATTTTGTTACTCAACTGTCCAAAAACGGGGTAATGGTGAAGGCGACCACAAAGACTGGTGGAACTTACTAACTCCGGCACCTACACTGGCACGAGATCGTTGAAACTTTTCAGATCTCAGTGATGGAGCTATGATACGATGAAACCAAATATGCAGTGTTGATAAGGCAGGTGCGGGGTCCACGGGAAGGTAACTGCAGGAGGAACTTTCTGACCGAGATCCTCGGACTAATTAGGGTGCAGAAAAAAAGACTGGCCCCAGAAGAAAGTCATAGAGGAAAGAAAGGTATATATTGATCCTTGACCCATTGTATCTGCCTCCACTTGCCTAGTGGGAAACTGACACTGGGCTCCCTTATTGGTCGTTGCAACGTCCGGACCAATACTGGTTGGTTTATATAACAAAGTGACACATCGGGCTGAGGTACGTGTCGCTCCGGCCGGCCAGCGATGAAGAACAATGAAACGAAGTATGCTTGATGATCAATTTCATGCATTGTAACGTGGTGACGAACTTTGTCGCAGCGCGGGAACCCAAGGTTGTTTACCATTTCTGTACATACAGTGTGAGATAGTGATTTCACTGCAATCTTACTGTGAAAGTAATCAATGTATGAATATCAATGATCAGAGTGAACACGTACCACAAAGTCTACAGCGTCAAAAAAAGCGCACTTCAATTCATTGATGCGATAATGACCGCCAAAAAACCATGTGAACTTCGACAAAGGTACCCTTGAATTTCAGTTCATAGTGGAGCAGTGGGATGCAACCTGTCTTCGAATGGTAAATGCGCTGGAGCGGTGTATCTGCGACTGTGTGCCTGCGTGCAACAGCGTGTCGCGAAGGTGAAAAGCTAGTGGCTGACTAAGCTACAGCTATTCCTGGGACCTGGCTGCTCCGTCACTCACTGGTGCCTCCATTATATTCTCATCTTCACCGCATCAGAGCCCAGCGCGTGAAGTGTTCAGCTGACTGTGTGTGCATCGAGCCGTGGAAAATACCAACAGCTTTTCTGTGATGCTACCTAAAACTTGTACTACGATTTAGTGGTAACTTCACATTCAAGTTGGGCTCGAATTATCAGCTCTACTAGTGACCTTGTAAACAAAAGGTAACGTCACTCACCTCAGATTAACAGCGTACTGAATCGTGACATCCATAAGGAGTTAGCGCAGGTAGGGAATGGAGTCGTGCCTTGAATTCGTTGACTTTTAAATCATCATTTAGCAACACAGTGGCATCGGCAGGTGTTATGTTATAACATGTATTTTAATTGAAGGTTTACTTCCGCGAAGTGGTTCAATTGGCAAGGAGACGTGCAGGTCGGTGGTCCAAGGCAAGTAATATACATAGCTCATGTTTTACAACTGTGTTACTTATGACAGCACGACCTTGCCCTGAGCGCGTAGGAAAGAACCCTGAGGGTTGAACGTCGAGTTGAATTTGGACTGTGACAACCTTTTTTTTACTAATATTACAGTGTCTAGATAAGATTTTTGATGGTTATCTCATTCACTCAATTTGCTGAAATGCGTCGGTTCCGCAGATCGTTTTTCGGGTAGGCTGAGATCGGATCAAATGCTGATACCCTCTATTTTTATTTGATAATCTTTGGGTTTGGAGACGTCTCCGAGGTTCAATAGCCATCATGTTCTGAACAGTGAACAAGGCAAATGTCCCGGTGATGTAATCCTGAGAATTGATCCCTACATGCCCGAGGGTCGGGTGTGCAAAGTCGCACCACTAACGTCCTCATATTTAATCCACTCTTCCCCCCCTTCCGCCTGAACCCATATTTCTTTCCTGCGACTTAGAATGTCTTCCGATTTATCCGAAGCTGATATAACCGCAATCGTGCATGAAAATGACACCTATCCTGACCAAGTGTGGTATACAATCGCCGTATTTCTCTTCGTGGTTGGCTGCTTCCAGTGGGGCTCACTCCTTCACTCCAAATTTGCCAGGCGTAGACACCACGAATCTGACGAAGAAACGGGTACCACCAATGACATTCAATACAAAGTGTCTCTCCGTCGTATCCCGCTCGCAATCGTAAATGCTTATCGTGTTGTTGCTTTCCGGTGGACCCTAGAAATCGGGCAATCTTACACCCTCAACATGGCAGAGGTTTTTACCACTGTGGCATACATCGCCCTTCTGTTGATCTACGCCTTCATTAATAGTAAGCTCATAGGTTCGCGTGTGTCCCAACTTACAATGTATTAACAACGAGAACACGCAGCCACCTCAGTCGAGGATCAGAAGCTTGATATCATCTACTGGAGCAACCGCATAGCTATGCTGGCGTCCAGTCAGTTTCCCATTGTGACAGCTCTTGGCACAAAGAACAATCTCGTGTCTCGTAGGTGGAAAAACTGTGAATTTGATGCGTTGCTGAGTATTTCGCACCAGTGGTCACAGGCATAAGCTATGATAGGGTATGGCTCTTAATTATCCTTGACAACGCACTGCAATTACTTATGGATATGAAGCTTAATTATATCCATCGAATGATGGCTAGGACATGCTTCATGCTTCTTTGGGTCCATGCAGCGGGAGAAGTGGTATGCTTTTCCTCGTACGTACCTTCAATTTCGTACTTGCCATGTTGTAATGGAGATGGTCGAAAGCTTCCGGGAGACTTTGAGCGAACCATGGCTTCGTGCTGGTATCACTGCCATGGTCGCTTTCTCTATTCTGATAATAGTATCACTGCGTCCCGTTCGCAGTGACATCTATGAGGTCTTCTTTTACGTCCACTTCCTTGGCGTCCTGTGGGTGTAGTACTTCTACTCACTTGTAATTGTCTTTGACAAACAGAACGCAGGATATTTCTGGTGGGAGGATATTACCACACCAAGGGTGCTTAGTAAGTGCAAATTCATACAGATAGCCAAGTTTCTGACTTGCAACAAACAGCGGGTCGTACTGGATATGGCCCTCGTTTGTGATCTGGGCTCTCGATCGCTTCATCCGGGCAGCTCGACTTGTTGTATTCAATCACTCTTACTTTGGATTCAAGTCAGGATCTGGGACGATGGATGCAATGACGGAAATGCTTTCTGAAGATGTCGTCCGATTGTGCTTACGTCGACCCCCGCATTTCCATTGGTCCCCAGGACAAACGGCATATCTAATCATGCCTTCGGTTTCGACACTGCCATTCGAAGCGCATCCCTTTACTATTGCCAGTTTTGATTCCAGTCTGCTTTCAACCCCGAACACGGAGGATCAATCGGGAAGCGGTGAAGATTACGAACCCCAGGTTCTGGGATCAAGCGCTCCATTCTGGAAGGAGCTAGTGTTTTTGGTCAACGTGCACGGAGGGTTCACGAAGAAACTCAAAGAGGTAGCTGCTACGAAGGGCATGGTTAAGGTTTTTGTAGATGGTCCTTATGGCTCGTCTCCTGACCTCGATTCTTACGACACGTCTGTATTTGTAGCAGGTAAGCTGTGCGTTGTCTCGTAATCGCACCGTACTTATGGATGCCAGGAGGGTCTGGTATATCGTATACCCTTCCGGTCTTCCTGAGCGTCATCGAGTACGTGGATTAATATAATCGTTGTCATTGATGTTTCATTGTTCTCGCAGGCGTGTACGTGAAGGAAAAAGCTCTTGCAAACGAGTGGTGTTCATTTGGTCAATACGCGGGGCTGGTGCGTAGATTCATGACTCATCCACAGTTTTTCTATGAGCAATACTAACGTCATTTTACAGGATATGTTCAATGGATCGAAGAAGCACTCATCAAGGCTGTTCAGCTTGCCCCGCCTTCTTTGATAGTATCCATCCGCATCTTTAACACTGGTTCTCTATCAACGACACAGTCCATGGAAAGAAATTCCAGCCTTTCAAATGCAATAGAGAAGAACGGTACTTCTGAACAGGTTGAAACACAGAAGGGATCTTCAATGTCATTGTTATGGTCGTTACGCGGGGTCAAGATGGAAAATGGACGATCGGACCTGGATGTACTGCTCAAAGAAGAGGTTAGCATGGCCTCAGGGAGTATGTCAGTGAGCGGTAAGCTCTAATTCCGCTAGTTTCTAATAATGTACAACTTATGGGTATCATATTAGTTTGCGGATCTCAGGGGATAGCGCGCGCGGTCCGTCATGCACTTCGCTTCCCTGTATCTGGACCTTCCAGTATTCTCAGTGGAGGGCCGAGCGTAACCCTATATGTCGAGTCGTTCGGATACGCCTGATCAATAGTCTCCTCTGATATGCGTTGTTTACTTCTATGCGCGACCCATTTTGTTTTCTTGGTTTTCTTGCGTTATGTTACTGTAGCTGTTTAACAAGTATGGTGGATGATAGTTTACATTACGCATTAGAAATACTCCATTTTAACTGTCGGAACATCCTTACATTATTTGTTAATGTACATTGGATCATCAGCTGCGAAAAGGAAGTTGAATGGCTCACGCCCGCTACAGAATAAATAATACACGTGCAACTCGCAAACGCCTGTAAGAACAAGGTTAAACTTCTGGCATCACACCCTTGATCCGATCAGCACTGAATTCTTTTGAGCGCGATGGCTGAAACAGATAGTTCTTCGCCTACACAGGAAATTTCCGAAGACGTTGAAAAAATCACCTCCATGTCCAAGCATCTCAGACATCACGGAGGAACTTGGGAAGCAGCACTGGATGTCTCCAGGCACAAAGATGTTTAGGGCGATGCTAGGGATATGGTTGACGTTAACCAATGCGTGCAATGACGGGCGACCAACAAGTCATCTCGCAATCACAATGGATAGATCGTTCATCATGCAGGAGATTGAATGCTATTTATTAGCGTTTTGATCACACAAAGGGTCGAGTACTCACAGATCTAAACTCTACTTTGAGGCACATTTTTACTTAAAGCTGCATGTTAGCAGAACACATGAAGGAGCGTGACAACACACGGGGTTCGATGGTGTAGATGCTCATCAAAGTTACTCGTTCCCTCTGTTGACGTGCATTAAATTGATAACACAGTTACTGACATACTACCAGCACCTATGCTGAATCTTAGGGGATGGTTTCATAATGTCCATGGGAGAGACCCTGCGTTCGAAGCTGTAGTTGTCGGTGATATCCACGCCCTGACAAGGGTCCACATTCTCATCTTGTTATCTCATCATCAGGTAATGATATAGTTCGAAGTAGTCCAGGAACTGCAGATGTGACGGAGGGAAACTCAGAGCTTTCGCCATAACAAGAGACAAGCCAACCTTGTCTGATAGTTTTTTTTGACAAACTCAAAAGAGAACGCCCCTCGTCACAAGCTAGCATATCAAAGCTTCCAGGTTATCCGATTCTTTGCCCTCTAGATTGAGAGAAAAGCGCCTTCGGTGAGTGTTTCTGAGTACTTTGAGTCTGACTCACCCTCATTCAACTTATTCATAGTGTTTCGGATACGTGATCAGAAGTTATTCTTTGGCACAAGTAAAAGTGGTAAGGTGTACTGCGATGTGTCTGTCAAGGCACGAAGACATTCATCACTACACGGAATCACGGATGTAAGGTTGAGATGTGTAGAACTTAGGAGGCGTACAATTTGGCAGCAGTCAGATGTTCGGGACTCCAGAGCTCCATCATGATTGAGTCTTCGATGGTCGATGCCAGCGGCAGTGTTGAAGAACAATCATCTTCCTTCGAGTAAGGCTACATGAGATAGGTTGACCTAGCCCTGTCCGCGCGGCACGGGCATTGTTGGAGACTTTGAACTGACAGAATTACAACCTTGGATTCTGGAACCAGAAACCATGGACCTGAGCTTCTATTACGTAATAATTGGTGCGGGGTCCAGCCTGTTCCGGATCAGCTACACGCTTTGCAGCACAACAAGTTCGTCATAACTTCTTGTCAGTTCCATACCTTCTCGCGCAACATGTTGTCTGACACCAGTAGGATGGCCTGTCAGGCTCAAGGGGTCACATTTAGGCAGTACGACTTGGCAATATGTGAATTCTCGCAGAAGTGTGAAATGCCCTGCTCTTCTTCAGCCTTGCAGCCTCCTCACTTTGCTTGCTTTAATCGATATTGAACCCGAGTGTGTGAATGAAGCTGGTTAATATGTCTCACGAGGGGGGGCTTCCATAGTCTGATTTGTGGCTGCGGTAAAGAGGTATCGAGACGCCGGAGGTAGGCATCGCCTCGTCTTTGATCCTGGCAGTAGGACAAAATATTGCCGACGGTGCGTATTGCGGTGAGACTATCCTAAAACATCGATTGCAAGGTTCAGGGTAAGTGGAGTTGGTCGGATTCCACTAGTACTGGTGTGTGCGTCCGCTGGTGGGTGTATTAGATAGGAACTTCAATTCCTTTTCATTATGGGTTAGTCCGGCCTCATGCTCAAGATTTGTAAGCAATGTGTATGATTAATAACTTTTGTTTGGCCTAAATTGAAAATCACCAGCTGCAGGACCTGCAAAACTTGAATTTGCGGTTCGCGGCAACTGTTACTCAGTGCAACTGATCCTTGCTACAAAACAAGTTCAGCGCCTTCTCGCGTAACATGTTGCCTGACTCGCAACAGGAGGATTCAGGCAGTGCGGCTTCGCAATATGAATTCTTGCAGGAGTGTGGAATGCTCTGGTCTTCTTCAGCCTCGCTGCCTTCTCGTTTAAGCTATACTACAACGTGCCCCTGCTTTACCAATCTGACGGGCCCCCTGTCACTTAATGAGGCTATAGCCTATGGGTAGCTCGATATCCTGCGACTCGCTGTTGAGTCATCAGCCCTGCACGGTGTGGATGCTACATGCATGCAGTTACTTATAACCATCAAGACCTCACAGGTTATGCAGTATTTTGGTGACTTCCAGCACACATCTTATCCTCAGGTGTGAGTTTGAATCCATCTTTCAGCCATATGTCAAGATTCGTCTCCGAGAATTTAAATGACTACCCTCTACCTTCGGGTGAGGGCCCTAGCCACCCAGAACGCCCACAAGACACAGGATGGAAAAACCGCGTAATCAGTGAAACACTACAAGTTGTCGTCAATAGTATGTATTACATCTATCCTGGTTTTAGCACATACCGATGACTCCCAAAAGCAATTTTGGCAAAACTTTATTCCGTCATCAATCTCCCGTTTTGGTTCGCGACAAACCCCGTGCCAGACCCGCTCGATGATACCCTCCAAGCCTTGAATAAAGAGTCAGTCCAGCCAGAACAACCCCAGAGTCCAGAAGAGACGAACCTCGTGATCAGTGAAGTGCTACAAGTTGCCATCAACAGTATGTGCCATATACCTTTACTCGGCATGTGGTACCCACGATTTCTATGACAGATTCTATGTCGGATCCACTCGATGATACCGCCCCAGCCTCGGGTGAGGATTTTAGCCACTCAGAACACGCCCAGAGTTCAGAAGAGACGAACCTCGTGATCGGTGAAGTGCTACAAGTTGCCATCAACAGTATGTGCCATCTACCTTTACTCAGCATGTGGTACCCACGATTTCCATGACAGATTCTATGTCGGGCCCACTCGATGATACCGTCCCAGTCTCGGGTGAGGATTTTAGCCATTCAGAACACACCCAGGACCCGTCAGAGATGAACCCCAGTGAAGGCCAACAAGTCGTCATCACCGGTATGGAATATCAACCTTCGTTTAACACATATTCATGATCTATAAGCCATTCGCGCGACTGATCTCACTCTTGGTTTCCAACGAATTCCCGCTGGCTTTCATGTAGTGCTCAAGGCTGATGGTTCTGAATACCAGACGAGCAATAGATCTGCACACGTTGATCAGGCTGTCATCGAATGGCACGAGCTCATTCTTCTGTAAGTTGTCTTTAACCACATCTATGTCCTGCAGGTATTGAGAAAGACCTCAGGCCGCGCGAGCCATCTTTTAAACTTCGGGTCAGCGTGTATGCCTCATTTGAATTAGGTCCCATGGTCTGTAACGGGGAACTTCTCCGCACATTTGAGATATCCGTCAGAGAAATACTGGATCGCAGCGAAAAATCTAATCGTCAGTGTTGTGTGTGGCAAATCACGGCTGACGAATGCTAACGAGTATCACAGCCTTAATCTTTCAGCCAAAGCAGGGGGAAGTTATATCCGCTTGTACTTCACTGTTCATGATGGTGGAGCAGCGACTATCTAATCAAAACGATGCTGCAGTTCTTTGCCCTCTTACCACCGTGAGTGATCAGTGCAGTCTGAAATTTTGATGCTGATTACTGTAACGTGCAGTTTAAATCTCGTGACATGGATGCGTTAGCACTGAAGACGGATGCTGGACATCGTCTTCTCGCACGATACCGTAGGATGCAGAACAGCAGGGATCTGGATCAATCCATCAACCACTTTGAACGGGCCTCGAGTCTCTGTCCCATGAACCATCCCTACCGCCCTGCAGTACTGTTCAATCTAGCGACCGCAAAGTTTCATAGTTGCCAAGCTAACGGAAGATACCTCGACCTTGACATCCCCATCTCTCTTTTCCAAGACGCACTTGATTTGCGTCCCACTGGTCATCCAGACCGACCCATCACCCAGCTCCATCTTGCCATTGCTCTTTTCTCTCGCTTCGCAAAACGGGGGCGTCAAACAGATTCTGATGCAGCTGAAGAGTTACTGAATGAGGTTCTCGATGTCTGCCACGCCAACAGCCACATTTACAGAGCAGCTTTGATCGCAATCGAAACATCTGCTCTGCATTCCGCAGGAATTGATGCAAATGATCTTGAGCAGGAGCAGCCCGTCGCACCGATGCTTCCGTTATCACTGAATCAACTTTCTGATGGAGTGGAGCGGTGTTTGCAGAGAGATGAACCGCGTGACTTAGATGAAGTGATATCTCTTCACTACGATGCTCTGGGATACTACAACACTGGACATGCTTGCCGAGGGCAATTGCTAGGGGATCTGGCTATATTGCTGGTCACTCGTTTCGAGCGTCGAGGTGACGACGAAGACTTGGATAAGGCCATCGCACTTCAGATGGAGACACTGACCTTGCAGCCGGTCGGTCACCCAAATCGGTTCATATCATTGAATAACCTTGCAAATCTACTCTCTACCCGCCTTGACCTCCGAGGAAACGATGAAGATTTGGATCAGGCTATCACACTTTATAAGGAAGCTCTGGCATTGCTCCCGGTCGGTCGTACAGATCGGTGCAAACCGTTATATAATTTGGCGAATCAGCTGTCCACCCGTTTTCACCACCGAGGCAATGACGAAGACTTAGATCAGGCTATCGCACTTCACAGGGAAGTGCTGGCCTTGCGTCCGGTCGGCCACACAGATCGGCCCAAGTCATTAAATAGCCTTGCAGATCAACTCTCCACCCGCTTTCACCACCGAGGCAACGACCAAGACTTGGATCAGGCTATTGCACTCCACAAGCAAGCGCTGGCCTTCCACCCACCCGGTCATATTCATCGGTACAAATCATTAGATCAACTCGCGAATGGACTCTCCACCCGCTTTGAGCATCGAGGCAAGGTCGAAGACTTGGATGAGGCTATCGCACTTCACAGGGAAGCGCTTGCCTTGCTCCCGATCGGTCACACACATCGGTACAAATCATTAAATAACCTCGCGACTGAACTCGCCATGTTCTTCGAGCACAGACGTAAGGACGAAGACTTGGATGAAGCTATTGCACTTCACAGGGAAGCGCTGGCCTCCCTCCCGGTCGGTCACACAGAACGGCCCTTGTTATTGAATAACCTGGCAAACCAACTCTCCACCCGTTTTGAGCATCGGGGCGAGGACGATGACTTGAATCAGGCTATCGCACTTCACAGGGAGGTACTGGCCTTATTCCCGGTCGATCACACAGATCGGTCCGAGTCGTTAAATAATCTTGCGATTGAACTTTCCACTCGCTTTCAGCACCGAGGCATGTACAAAGACTTGGATCAGGCTATCATGCTTCACAGGGAAGCACTAGCCTTGCGCCCGGTCGGTCACACACGTCGGTGGACGTCGTTAAATAACCTTGCAACTCAACTTTCCTCCCGCTTTGAGCACCGGGGCGAGGAAGATGACTTGGATGAGGCTATCGCACTTGACAGGGAAGCGCTCGCCTTGCTCCCTGTCGATCACACAAGTCGGCCATCGTCATTAAATAACCTTGCGAATAGACTCTCCACCCGCTTTGACCACCGAGGAAATGACCAATATATGGATGAGGCTATTGCACTTCACAGGGAAGCGCTTGCTTTGCTCCCAGTCGGTCACACAGATCGACCATCGTCATTAAATAACTTGGCGAATCAACTCTCTTCCCGCTTTGACCAACGACGTAACGACGAAGACTTGGACGAGGCTATCGCACTTCGCAAGGAAGTGCTGGCCTTCTCCCCGGTCGGTCATACTGAGCGGTCTATATCATTACAAAACTTCGCCACTCAACTCTCCGTCCGCTTTGACCACCGAGGTAACGATGAAGACCTGGATCAGGCTATCGCACTTCACAGGGAAGCGCTGGCCTTGCGTCCGGTAGGCCACACTGGTCGGCCCTTGTCATTGATTAACCTTGCAAATCAACTCTCCACCCGCTTTGAGCACCACCATAAAAGAGAAGACCTCGAAGAGTCACGAGAGAACCTATGCAGCGCATTGGCTCTATTGACGCAACATGATCCTCGCCAATCAGTAGTCCATGCGTCCATCGCACGGGTCTATCTGATATTCAATCATTCAGGGCTCCACAGCATTGGCACGGGTGAATATACGGACAATCTCGAGACTGTCATGCATCATCTCAAGGCAGCAGCAAATGTTGTCTCTGCAGGTGTGCTACCCCGCCTGCGAGCAAGTCTACGCTGGGTTCGCCGTGCTGATCAACACCGTCATGGCAGCCAACTGGAGGCTTATACGACTTCCATGCAACTGCTCGATGCTTATATGTCCACGACGGCTTCGGTATCGTCTCGTCACGATATCATGAAAGACTTCCCAAGTACACTTGCCGTTGATGCTGCATCGTGTGCTCTTCGTAGCGGCGATGTGTGTCGTGCTGTCGAGCTGTTGGAGCAAGGCAGGACTATCATCTGGACCCAGATGACACGACTCCGCACCTCTCTCGACAACCTTCAGACTCACGGCGATCATGCAGTGGCCCTGATGAAGAGATTCCGAGACCTCAGCTCCCTCCTCGATAAACCTCCTGAAAACTATTTAGAAGCAACCCCAAGAGTCGATGTAGAAGCAGAAGAATCCCGGTACAGACGTCTAGTGGAGGACTGGGATAGAGCCGTAGAAGACATTCGAAAGATCGAAGGCTTCTCTCGCTTCCTCCTTCCCCCCTTATTCTCCGATCTCCAAGATGCAGCTCGTGATGGGCCTATCATCGTGCTCATCGCAAGCGAGTCGTCTTGTCACGCCATTATCATCCCGCACAAGCGATCTCCAACTAACATTCAACTCCCCACCGATTTGCAAAAACTCACCAAATTGGTGCTCGCACTGCGAGAGGCAGTTAAAAAGGAGGCTGGTCCTAAAGGGAATCAAACAGCGCTGATAAAAGCTTTGAGAGAGTTGTGGGAGATGGTCGTCTGCCCAGTGGTCGAGAATCTGGATGGATTTGCACGACGAGGTTCTCGAATATGGTGGTGCCCAACATCTCTCTTGAATTTCTTGCCGTTACACGCTGCTGGCGAGTACAGGGCAAAGGGAAAGTCCCTTTCGCAGCAGTATATCTCCTCATACACGCCATCGCTCACCGCGCTGATCAAGGCTCGCAAAAGTCATGATAGGTCCCCGTCAGTTCCCTTCGTTGCCATTGGTCAGGATTTCCCAGCCGGTGCCTCATTCATTTTGGATGCTGTGGAGCCTGAGCTGGAATTGGTGCAGCGGCTTGTGTCTCATCCCTCAACTATTTCCTTCTCCAAGATAACCAGTGTTGATGCCACGAAATCGAGAGCACTGTGCGCATTGCGGGACAATACTTGGATTCATCTTGCGTGTCACGGGACACAGAGATTTGACGAACCCTTCAAGTCGGCCTTTCTTATGCGCGACCAGCCGCTTTCACTTCTCGATATCACGCAAATGGATCTATCTCGGCATGAATTTGCATTTCTTTCTGCCTGTGAAACCGCAGTCGGTGCCTTTAGCACGCCCGACGAAGTGATACACCTCGCGGCTGGCTTGCAATTCGCCGGGGTTAAGAGCGTCGTCGGGACATTATGGAATGTCAACGATAATACCGTGCATCGCTTAGTAGAGGCATTTTACAAAAACTTTTGCGGCGATGGCACGATCAATTCCAAACGAGCTGCTCGGGCGCTGCACCGCGCGGTCCAATCGTTGGCTTGTGACACGGACATGCCCTTGGACCAGCGCATAGTGTTCGTGCACATTGGCATATGATCCATTCCGTGCGTTCTCCCTTGTTAACCATAGTGTTCTCCAGACAATCTGACGACTTCTCATGTAGCATTCAGTCATCACCATGCACAATCTGTTGCCAAGGACTTCGATATTCCAAACTTTGAAACTGTATACCTACACGATATGTACACCTGATTCTGACTTCAATTTGTATTTTCCAGTATGTTGCCTCAGAGCCAGAGGTGATCGCTCTTAACGTGCACTTAGGATAATGATTTATGGATAAGAATGAGTTGCGCAACACTGATCTTGCATAACACTATGCAGTTGCAAGACATAATTTGCGATGAACGTGATAATGATGTGTGTATTGCGTGAGAGTGTAGATTGCAGTCCCATCCACCATATGACATTGTAATCCAGTGCTTATGAAAAGCTTGGCCTGACAGGATAGACAGGCCCACAGACGCAATGAAAATACGTAGTCGTTCTTCTGAAATAGATGCTACAACACTGCTAATGACAAGCGCTAACTAAGCTAGAGCTAACCATCACACTTCAGACTTCCATACGGAAGGCTAAATTCTCCACGACCACCTGTCACATTGCCCATAGTCAGACCATTATTTCTGTAGATAGTTCACCTGTGATATTGGATTCAATGCAACTACACACCAGATGTTTGTATTTGCCGACGGTTAGCTAGACCGAGGAGCACGAACCCGTAGTACCAAACATTCAGCAGTCTCACCTACCTTCACTTTATCAGGTAAGAGGAGGGACGATACGTTTCTAAAGCGTGATTCGTACCAGTATATGACAAGCTGTATCATTGGACCAACCAAGGTACGAGCCTGGAGAATACAGCATTTTCTCCAGGCACTGTCAAACGAATATTGAGATTTCTGCAAAAAAACAAAACAACAGCGTCCGATGGTCATTCAACCAAAGTAAGGTACGAACCTAGAGAGAGTGAAGATGAAGGCTTGAAGACCAACCGAGCTCTGTAATCTATTCGAAACGCAGAATCGTAACTTGTAAGGTTGTCCTTGTGCGTCCCACACAAAGACTCGCGCACAGGCGATGGCCCCGCAACTCCGATCTCGGACACTGAGAATAAAAGATCAAAAATTCTAGGGGGGTATCAATAAAGAGTATCTGACCAAAGCCAAAGTATAACCCTCTCAAGATATCAAAAGTGCCGAAACCACGCAGTGATGCTGCGGCTCTGAGTTCAAGCACTGTTAAAGGGAAAGGAATAGGAATATTTGATTTTTCGCGAGAATGTTAACAACGTGAAAAAAATGAGCCTACGATGTGTTCAGAATGCAGCGTCACCACCTGCTGTTTTTTTTCTTCCATCTGGAATCAAAACTAAAGGCAGTAGATGATGGTGCTGCGAAGAAAAATGATACTGATTTTTGTATCAGATCATTAAAAACTTGAACGACGAGCATCGAACTGAGGTAGAATGTGAACCTGGAGAAAGAAGCTTTGAAAAGCAGACCTTGAAGGATAGTGGTCTCAACTACTTGCAATGATCTATTGATACCCGATATCTGGCGCTGCTCGAAGCCGTGATGGGCAGATCCCGACATGGGGTACAGCGCTGACGCCGCCGGGAGGGTGAAGTTTGGAAGTGGGAATTCAAAAGACAACAAGGCGATCTGCAGGATCTCTACTAGTTACTAGAACAGCTGTGATTATACATTTGGTTGGAACGTCCTTTGTTCGAAGGTGAAAACTGGTCAAGATGAAAGTACCCACAACAATAATGAACCAGATCTGTTGGCATCGTGTCATAAAGGCAAAAATCAGGACGTAGTAATGGTAGATCGCTTCGCTATGTCAGTTCTTCAGTCCGCCCTATTCGCCCACAACCGTTTCGCACGCATACAACTTGAATGCCCTCCTGTCGTGTACACCAATTATTGACATCAAGCATGAATTCGCAATTAGATACATGGACAAGTGAACGCTTGTTGTGAACCTGGTTGATGAACTGTACAAACTTCAATCTGACAACAACGGTCACTTAGTGCTGCTGCGTCCGGTCCACGAGCCAGAACCGGGGTCTTCTCATCAGTCCCGTCCTAAAGACGCAGAGATGACTTCGACCCACGCCAGCGTCATGAACTGATGCTTCTCATGATCGGTGACTGAGCCATTCCGCCACTATCAGAAAGCGCCAAAAATGTAGCGGTATAGGGCGATAAGACAAACATCCGCTGATAGGGACAACAAACACGGGTAGGGCTCATCCAAGTATTATCACCCAGATAGCCAGTGAGTGCTGTCTAGTCTGACGCGGTTCATGCTGCCGTGAATGGGATGTAGCCTTGTGGGACCCGATAACTAGTCAACATCAGATAACTTAAAGCACCACATAAGTCATGCAACAATGTCTAAAACATACAGGTCATCGCCAATGTCAACTCTACCGACCGTAGTATCACTCTCTACCAGGTCAGTACCATCCTTCATATTGCCCTCATCGTTCTTGGGTTTAACGAGGACTCCTAGTTCGGATGCGCGGTTGTGTACTGGGTAGTTGAGACAGAATGGGTCTGTGTATCTTGTGGTGGGGCCTGTTGTACTCGAGAGGGAGATGTTCGTGGTGTGTTGAATAATTCGGTGTATGAGCATGCTTTGGGAAGGTCATGCCAAGGGAGAGAGCTTTGGGGCCTGTGGGCATCGGGTGTCATAGTCTCAGTGTTGATGGTGAATGTGGGACGTACCTTTAGGTTGTGTGGCTATCCATAAGAAGGTTTCGTCCCAGTGTTGCCTCTGAACCATCCTGCAGAGTTGATAAAACGGATTGGCCTTCGCCTTCGATTAAGTTGGTTATGAATTTTCCTTGGTTCTGAAATGATGCTCTATGTACAGTAAGCAAAGTCGACGATGAGCTCCCTAAACAGCCTTGGCTTGTTCTCCAATCAAATGTGAGTCACTAGCACCCAACTTCATTATATATCGAGGGTAGGTTGTGCTTATTCGGCTCGATTATTCGCTGTGAAATGGCAATGGCAGTGCTCCAGCTGATTTCGCGCAAGGTTAGACCTTATGAAGAAGAAATGGTGAGCTGTGTGGCCTATCGCCGCGGTGGGGCATGCATTGATGGCAGTGAATCACGTGGGATGAAATGCTGACCGATTCTACGGGGAAGCTCAAAGTAAAAACACATAACACCTGTCGCCCAAGCCTCCGCAGCCTTCTCGTTTTAGCTATTTTAATCAATATCGTATCATGCCTCTGCTGTACAAATCTGATGGGCCTAGGACTGTAACTTGATGAGGCTACATATGGGTCGTTCGATATCATGTGAGTCGCTTCTGTCTTCAAATCGACTAGCCTCATGGTTTGGGCGCCATGAGCATGCTGCGGTTCCTGCACAATTCCCGCATAATATCAGGACCTCAGGCTCTGCAGTATTGTCGTAATCTCCAACACACATCTTACTCTCCAGTGTTACTTCAGATCCGTCCCTCAACCATCGTTATATATGGCCCATCGTCGACCTGGCACCTTCGAGTCTTCAAGCTCATCAGAATCAGACTCTGATTCAGCGTCATCTTCCTCAACTCCAGTACAGAAATCTATTCGCAGTACTGAGCTCTTGAAGGGGAGAAAACATAAGCGTAAGTCGTCAGGCAACGATAACGACGACGAGACAAAGAATTCAAAACGTCCTCGATCGTAAGTCATTGTGTTGTATAGCATATATATGGACTTAATCTCGCATTTTTAGGCCAAAAAAGGAGTGAGCATATCAAGCGCTGATCATCTATATGCCTCACAACGCGTGTATTGTTTAGTGCGGAGCCAAGCCACTTAGAACACACCGAGAACCTAGGAGAGATGCACCTCAGTGAAGTGCAACAAGTAGTCATTACTGGTATTTAATCTCAATTTCCGTTCGGCGCATATTAACGATATTCAAGCCATTCACGCAACTGATCTCACCATTGGTCTCCGACGGATCCCCGCTGGCTTTCATATGGTGGTCAAGGCTGACGGTGCCGAATACCAGACAAGCGATAAATCCGCACACGTAGACCAGGCTGTCGTTGAATGGCACGAGTGCATTCTTCTGTAAGTTGTCCTTAACAGCATCCGTCCTGGAGGTATTGAGAAAGACTCTAGGCCGCGCGAGCCATCATCTAAAGTTCGGGTCAGCGTGTATGCCACATTTGAATTAGGCCCCAGGCTCTGTCACGGAGATCTCCTCCGCACATTCGAGATCTCTGTCGGAGAATTACTGGATCGCAGCGAAAAATCTCATCGTCAGTATTGTCTATTGCGAATTAAGCCTGACAGACGCTAACAAGTATCACAGGCATCATTTTTCAGCCAAAGCAGGGGGAAGTTGTATCTGCTTGTACTTCACTGTTTATGACAGTGGATCAGCGACTTTCTAATCAAAATGACGCCGGGGTTCTTTGCCGCCTTACTACCGTGAGTGATCAATGCTATCTGGTATTCTAATGCTGAGACCTTGTAACGTGCAGCTTACATCTCGCGATATGGATACGTTAGCACTAAAGACAGATGCCGGACACCGTCTTCTCGCGCGATACCGCAGGACGCAGAACAGAAGTGATCTGGACCAATCCATAAAGCACTTCGAACGTGCCTCGGATCTCTGTCCCATGCACCATTTTTACCGCCCTGCAGCACTGTTTAATCTAGCCACCGCAAAGTTCATCAGTTGTCAAGCTAACGGAAGATACCTTGACGACATACCTATCCATCTTTTTCAAGACGCACTTGATTTGCGTCCCACTGGTCATGCAGATCGACCCATCACCCAGCTCCATCTGGCGATTGCTCTGCTCTTTCGCTTCGCGAAACGGGGATTTCAAACCGATGCTGATGCAGCTAAAAAGTTGCTGAGCGAAGTGCTCGATGTTTGCCACGCCAACAGCCACATTTACAGAGCAGCTTTTATCGCACTCGAAACATCCGCTATACATTCTGCTGGAAACAACAATACAAATGAACTTGGGCAGGAGCGGTCCACGGCATCTATGTATCCATTATCGCCATATCAACTTGCTCGTCGAGCACAGCGATGTTTGCATAGAGATCAACCACGTGACTTAGATGAAGTGATATCCCTTCATTATGATGCACTAGTATACTACAACGCCGGGCATGCTTCCCGAGGGCAATTGCTAGGGAATCTGGCTGTAATGCTGCAAACTCGGTTCGAGCGTCGAGGCGAAGACAAAGATTTAGATCAAGCTATCGCATTTGAGACAGAAATGCTGGCTTTGCGCCCAGTTGGCCACCCAGGTCGATTCATAGCATTGAATAACCTTGCGACTCAACTCTCCACCCGCTTTGAGCACCGAGGCAACAACGAAGATTTGGATGGGGCTACCGCACTTAACAGGGAAGCGCTGGCTTTGTGCCCGGTCGGTCACACATATCGGTCCAAGGCATTACATAACCTTGCGAGTCATCTCTCCTCCCGCTTTGAGCACCGAGGCAATGACGAAGACTTAGATGGGGGTATCACACTTTATAGGCAGGCGCTGGCCTTGTGCCCGATCGGTCACCCAGATCGGTCTATGTCATTAAACAACCTTGCGATTCAACTCTCCTCCCGCTTCAAGCACCGAGGCAATGACGAAGACTTAGATGAGGCTGACGCACTTCATAGGGAGGCGCTGGCCTTGCGCCCGGTCGGCCACCCAGATCGGTTTATGTCATTAAATAATTTCGCAGCTCAACTCTCCACCCGCTTTGACCACCGAGGCCACGACAAAGACTTAGACGAGGCTATCGCACTTCACAGGGAAGCTCTGGTCTTGTGCCCGGTCGGTCACCCAGATCGGGTCATGTCATTAATTAACCTTGCGAATCAACTCTCGGACCGCTTTGAGCACCGGGGCAACAACGAAGACTTGGATGAGGCTACCGCACTTGACAGGGAAGCGCTGATTTTGCTCCCGGTCGGTCATCCAGATCGGTCCAAGTCATTAAATAATTTTGCCAATCGACTCTCCTCCCGCTTTGAGCACCGAGGCAATGACGAAGACTTAGATCAGGCTATCGCATTTCGCAGGGAAGCGTTGGCCTTGCACCCAGTGGGTCACATAGGTCTGTCCATGTCATTATATAACCTCGCTACTCAACTCTCCTCCCGCTTTCGCCACCGAGGCAACGGAGAAGACTTAGATCAGGCTATCACACTTCATAGAGAAGCTCTGGCCTTGCGCCCGGTCGGTCACACAAATCGGCCTTCGTCATTAATTAACCTTGCAAATCAACTCGGGACCCGCTTTGCGCACCAACGCAATGGAAATAAAGAAGACCTCGAGGAGGCACGAGAGAACTTCCATTGTGCATTAGCTCTATTGACGCAACATGATCCTCGTCGATCAGCAGTCCATGCTTCCCTCGCTGACGTCTATCTATCATTCTATTTTTTTTCAGGGCTTGACGACACTGGCACGGTTGAATATACGGAGAGTCTCGAAACTGCCATGCATCATCTCAAGGCAGCAGCAAGCGTTGTCTCTGCAGGCTTGCTATCCCGCCTGCGAGCAAGTCTACGCTGGGTTCGCTGTGCTGATCAACACGGACATGGCACCCAACTGGAGGCTTATACGACTTTCATGCAACTTCTGGACGCTTACATGTCCACGACAGCTTCGGTATCATCTCGTCACAAAATCATGAAGGACTTCCCAAGTACCCTCGCCCTGGATGCTGCATCTTGTGCTCTTCGTAGTGGTGATGTGTGTCGTGCTGTTGAGTTGTTGGAGCAAGGCAGGACTATCATCTGGACCCAGATGACACGACTCCGCACCCATCTCGACAACCTTCAGACTCACGGCGATCATGCAGTGGCCCTGATGAAGAGATTCCGAGACCTCAGCTCCCTCCTCGATAAACCTCCTGCAAACCGTGCAGAAGCAACCTCCAGAGTCGCTATAGAAGCAGAGGAAACCCGGTACAGACGTCTGGTGGAGGACTGGAATGGAACAGTAGAAGAAATCCGGAAGATTGAGGGCTTCTCTCGCTTCCTCCTTCCACCCTTATTCTCCGATCTTCCAGATGCAGCTCGTGATGGGCCTATCATCATGCTCATCGCAAGCGAGTCGTCCTGCAACGCCATTATCATCACGCACAAGCAACCTCCGACTAGCATTCAACTCGCTACCAATTTGCAAAAACTCATCAAATTGGTACTCGATTTCCAAGAGGCAGTTGAAAAAGAGGCCGGTCCCAAAGGGAACCAAACAGCGCTGATAAAAGCTTTGAGAGAGTTGTGGGACGTCGTCGTCTGCCCAGTCGTCGAGAATCTGAACGGATTTGCACGACGAGGTTCCCGAATATGGTGGTGCCCGACGTCTCTATTCAATTTCTTGCCGTTGCATGCTGCTGGCGAGTACAGGGCACAGGGAAAGTCCCTTTCACAGCAGTATATTTCCTCATACACGCCATCGCTCACCGCGCTGATCAAGGCGCGCAGAAGTCATCATAGGTCCCCATCAGTTCCCTTCGTTGCCGTTGGTCAGGATTTCCCAGCTGGTGCCTCGTTCATTTTGGATGCTGTGGAACCTGAGCTAGAATTGGTGCGGAGACTTTTGCCCCCTCCCCCAACCGTTTCCTTTTCCAAAGTAACCAGTGTTGATGCCACCAAATCGCGAGCACTGCGCGCATTGCGGGACAATACTTGGATTCATCTCGCGTGTCACGGCACACAGAGATTTGACGAACCCTTCAAGTCGGCCTTTCTCATGCGCGACCAGCCGCTTTCGCTCCTTGACATCGCACAAATGAATCTATCTCGGCATGAATTTGCATTTCTTTCTGCCTGTCAAACTGCAGTTGGTGCCTTTAGCACGCCTGACGAAGTGATACACCTAGCGGCTGGCCTGCAATTTGCTGGGGTTAATAGCGTCGTCGGGACATTATGGAAGGTCACAGATAGCACCGTGCATCGCTTAGTTGAGGCATTCTACAACAAACTTTGTGGGGATGGCCCGATGAATTCCAAACGAGCTGCCTGGGCGCTGCACCAAGCGGTTCAGTCGTTGGCGTCTGACAAGGAGAATACAATGACCCTGGACCAGCGCATAGTGTTCGTGCATATCGGCATATGATTAATTCTGTGCGTCCTTCCCACCTCGTTGATTACAGCATTCTTGAGACAATCTGACGACTTCACATATAGTATCCAGTTATGGCCATGCGCAACCTGTTTTCAAGGACTTTGGTATCCCAGACTTTGAGACTGTATACCTACACAATCTGTACACCCAATTTTGACTTCAATTTGTATTTTCTAATTTGATGCCTTAGAGCCAGAGGTATTCGCTCCTGTGCACTGGAGTTCTGGAGGTTTCACGTTGTGGACAAGTATTGGTGAACTTTAGTTGTCCTTGCTGATATAGACATCCGATGCAAACGCAGGCTTCGATACGCTATCAAACCAGAGGTAGAATAGAACTAGGGTATACATCGAGTAAAATTGAATGAAGTGCACTACTCGGAACAAACAACATCAATCGGAAATTGAAAATCCTTCCAGCATGACGAATCGAACCATAACCAAAAATCCACCATAACTTCAGAACTCCATACGGAAGCCAGAGCCAGAGTCGCCAGACTCATATTAAGAGAGTTCCCGGAGCCACAAACCAAATCCAGAGTTGACGAAATCAGTTTTTGCGATACCTTGTTTGCGCCACGGCTTGGCAACTGAATGGTGGCATGCCTCTGCTGTACAAATCTGATGGGCCTGGGACTGTAACTTAATGAGGCTACTAATGGGTCGTTCGATATCATGTGAGTCGCTTCTGTTTGATTGACTTGCATCAGCATCAGCACTGCATGGTATGAGCGCCATGAGCATGCTGTGGTTCCTTCATAATCCATCAGCACCCTCACATTTGTCGTGACCTCCAACACAAATCTTACTCTCAGCTTCAAGTGTTACACTAGATCCATCCCTCAATCATCCTTATGGCTTATCGTCAACCTGTCAGCTTAGAGTCTTCAAGCTCACCAGAATCTGACTCTGATTCAGCGTCATCTCCCCCAACTCCCAGTACTGAGCTCTTGAAGGAGAGAAAACGTAAGCGTAAATCATCAGGCAACGATGACGACGACAAGACAAATAGTTCAAAACGTCCCCGATCGTAAGTCATTGTGTTGTATAACGCATATATAGACTTAATCTCGCATTTTCAGGCAAAAAAAGGAGTGAGCATATGAAGCACTTATTATCTACAGGCCTCACAACGTGTGTATTGTTTAGTGCGGAGCCAAGCCACCTAGAACACACCGAGGACCTAGGAGAGACGCACCTCAGTGAAGTGCAACAAGTCGTCATTACTGGTATTTAATATCAATTTCAGTTTGGCGCATATTGACGATATCCAAGCCATTCACGCAACTGATATCACCATTGGTCTCCGACGGATCCCCGCTGGCTTTCATACGATGGTCAAGGCTGAAGGTGCTGAATACCAGACAAGCAATAAACCTGCACACGTAGACCAGGCTGTCGTCGAATGGCACGAGCGCATCCTTCTGTAAGTTGTCCTTAACAGCATCCATCCTGCAGGATATTGAGAAAGACTCTAGGCCGCGCGAGCCATCATCTAAAGTTCGGGTTAGCGTGTATGCCTCATTTGAATTGGGTCCCATGGTCTGTCACGGGGAACTCCTCCGCACATTCGAGATCTCCGTCGGAGAATTACTGGATCGTAGCAAAAAATTTCATCGTCAGTATTGTCTATTGCAAATAATGCCTGACAAGACCCTAACGAGTATCACAGCAATTATCTTTCAGCCAAAGCAGGGGGAAGTCGTATCTGCTTGTACTTCACTGTTTATGACAGTGGAGCAGCGACTTTCTAATCAAAACGACGCCGGGGTTCTTTGCCCCCTTCCTACTGTGAGTGATCAATAACATCTGGCATTGTAATGCTGAAAACTCGTAACTTGCAGCTTACATCTCGCGATGTCGATACGTTAGCACTAAAGACAGATGCCGGACATCGTCTTCTCACACGATACCGTAGGATGCAGAACAGCGGGGATCTGGACCAATCCATAAAGCACTTCGAACGTGCCTCGGATCTCTGCCCCATGGACCATTCCTACCGCCCTGCAGCACTGTTCAATCTAGCCACCGCAAAGTTCATTGGTTGCCAAGCTAACAGAACATACCTCGACCTCGACATACCTATCTCTCTTTTTCAAGACGCACTTGATTTGCGTCCCACTGGTCATGCAGATCGACCCATCACCCAGCTCCATCTGGCGGTTGCTCTGCTCTTTCGCTTCGCGAAACGGGGATTTCAAATCGATGCTGATGCAGCTAAAAAGTTGCTGAGCGAAGTGCTCGATGTCTGCCACGCCAACAGCCACATTTACAGAGCAGCTTTTATCACGCTCGAAACATTCACTCTACATTCTATTGGAAACACCGATGTAAATGATCTTGAGCAGGAGCGGTCCGCAGCATCCAGGCTTCCGTTATCGCCGTATCAACTTGCTCGTCGAGCAGAGCGGTGTTTGCATAGAGATGAACCACGTGACTTAGATGAAGTGATTTCCCTTCATCATGATGCACTACTATACTACAACGTCGGGCATGCTTCCCGAGGGCAATTACTAGGGAATCTGGCTGTAATGCTGGAAATTCGGTTCGAGCGTCGAGGCGAAGACAAAGACTTAGATCAAGCTATCGCATTTGAGACAGAAGTGCTGGCTTCACGCCCAGTTGGCCACCCAGGTCGATTCATAGCATTGAATAACCTTGCGAGTCAACTCTCCACCCGCTTTGACCACCGAGGCAACAACGAAGATTTGGATGGGGCTATTGCACTTGACAGGGAAGCACTGGCTTTGTGCCCGGTCGGTCACACAGATCGGTCCACGGCATTACATAATCTCGCCACTCACCTCTCGGACCGCTTTAAGTGCCGAGGCAATGACGAAGATTTAAATCAGGCTATCACATTTCACAGGGAAGCGCTGGCCTTGTTCCGGGTCGGTCATACAGATCGATCTATGTCATTAAATAACCTTGCGAATCAACTCTCCATCCGCTTTGACTACCGAGGCAACGACGAAGACTTGGATGAAGCTATCGCATTTCACAGGGAAGCGCTGTCCTTGCGCCCGGTCGGTCACGCATATCGGTGTATGTCATTATCTAACCTTGCGAATCGACTCGCCTCCCGCTTTCATCACCGAGGCAACGACAAAGACTTAGATGATGCCATCGCACTTCACAGGGAAGCGCTGGTCTTTCGCCCAGTCGATCATCCAGATCGGTTCATGCCATTAAATAACCTCGCGAATCAGCTGTCTGATCGCTTTGAGTACCGGGGCAACGATGAAGACTTGGATGAGGCTACCGCACTTCACAGGGAAGCGCTGGCTTTGTGCCCAGTCGGTCACACAGATCGGCCCAATTCATTAAATAACCTTGCCAATCGACTCTCCTCCCGCTTTGAGCGCCGAGGTAACAACGAAGACTTGGATGAGGCTATCGCACTTTACAAGGAAGCGCTGGCCTTGTACCCAGTCGGTCACACAGGTCTGTCTAGGTCATTATATAACCTCGCGAGTGAACTCTCCTCCCGCTTTCGCCACCGAGGCAACGACGAAGACTTGAATCAGGCTATCACACTCCATAGAGAAGCTCTGGCCTTGCGTCCGGTCGGTCACACAAATCGGCCCTCGTCATTAGTTAACCTTGCAAATCAACTCTATACCCGCTTTGAGCGCCAACACAATAAAGAAGACTTCGAGGAGTCGCGAGAGAACCTACACCGTGCACTGGCCCTGTTGACGCAGCATGATCCTCGTCAATTAGCTGTCCATAGGTCGCTAGCTCAGGTCTATCTATCATTCAATTATCTAGTGCTTCACGGGACTGGTATGGGTGAATACAAGGACAGTCTCGATACTGCCATGCATCATCTCAAGGCAGCAGCAAATGTTGTCTCTGCAGGGCTTGCTATCCTGCCTGCGAGAAAGTCTACGCTGGGTTCGCCGTGCTGATCAACACGGACATGGTACCCAACTGGAGGCTTACACGACTTCCATGCAACTCCTCGACGCTTACATGTCCACGACAGCTTCGGTTTCGTCTCGTCACAAAATCATGAAGGATTTCCCAAGTACCCTTGCTGTGGATGCTGCATCTTGTGCTCTTCGTAGTGGTGACGTGTGTCGTGCTGTCGAGTTGTTGGAACAAGGCAGGACTATCATCTGGACCCAGATGACACGACTCCGCACCCCTCTCGACAACCTTCAGACTCACGGCGATCATGCAGTGGTCCTGATGAAGAGATTCAGAGACCTCAGCTCCCTCCTCGATAAACCTCCTGCAAACCGTGCAGAAGCAACCTCCAGAGTCGATGTAGAAGCAGAGGAAACCCGGTACAGACGTCTAGTGGAGGACTGGAATGGAACGGTAGAAGAGATCCGGAAGATCGAGGGCTTCTCTCGCTTCCTCCTTCCACCCTTATTCTCCGATCTTCAAGGTGCAGCTCGTGATGGGCCTATCATCGTGCTCATCGCAAGCAAGTCGTCCTGCAACGCCATTATCATCACGCACAAGCAACCTCCGACTAGCATTCAACTCCCTGCCGATTTGCAAAAACTCATCAAATTAGTACTCGCTTTCCAAGAGGCAGTTGAAAAAGAGGCTGGTCCTAAAGGGAACCAACCTGCGCTGGTAAAATCTTTGAGAGAGTTGTGGGACGTCGTCGTCTGCCCAGTCGTCGAGAATCTGGACGGATTTGCACGCAGAGGTTCCCGGATATGGTGGTGCCCGACGTCTCTATTCAATTTCTTGCCGTTGCATGCTGCTGGCGAGTACAGGGCACAGGGAAAGTCCGTTTCGCAGCAGTATATTTCCTCATACACGCCATCGCTCACCGCGCTGATCAAGGCTCGCAAAAGTCATCATAGGTCCCCATCAGTTCCCTTCGTTGCCATTGGTCAGGATTGCCCAGCCGGTGCCTCGTTCATTTTGGATGCTGTGGAGCCTGAGTTGGAATTGGTGAAGAGACTTTTACCCCTTCCCCCAGCTGTTTCCTTTTCCAAGGTAACCAGCGTTGATGCCACGAAATCGAGAGCACTGCGCGCATTGCGAGACAATACTTGGCTCCATCTCGCGTGTCATGGAACACAGAGATTTGACGAACCGTTTAATTCGGCCTTTCTCATGCGCGACCAGCCGCTTTCGCTCCTCGACATTACGCACATGGATCTGTCTCGGCACGAATTCGCATTTCTTTCTGCTTGTCAAACTGCAGTCGGTGCCTTTAGCACGCCCGACGAAGTGATACACCTCGCGGCTGGCCTGCAATTCGCCGGGGTTAAGAGCGTCGTTGGGACATTATGGAAGGTCAATGATAGTACGGTGCAGCGTTTAGTCGAGGCATTCTACAAAAACTTTTGCGGGGATGGCAAGATGAATTCTAAACGAGCTGCCCGGGCGCTGCACCAAGCGGTACAGTCGTTAGCTTGTGACAGAGATATTATCATACCTTTGGACCAGCGTATAGTGTTCATGCATATTGGCGTATGATCAATTCTGTGCGTCCTCCCACCTCGTTGATTAAAACGTTTCTGAGATAATCTGATGCCTTCGCATGTAGCATCCAGTCATGTCCACGCGCAATTGTTGCTAAGGACTCTGACTGTATATGTACCTCCACGATATGTACACCCCATTTTGATATCAATTTATATATATATATTGGCCTCGGAGCCACAGTGATCGCTCATTAAATGTAAACTCAGGCTGATGCATTTGTCGGTAGGAATGAAGTTGCATAAACACTGATATGGCATAATACTTTATGCGGTGAAAAACCGCAACCTAGAGAGCTAGTGAAGAGAAATCCCACGATGTACCAGAAACGTAGCGCCGCCACCTAGAAAGATTTCTTGGACGGTTTCTAACTGCTCTTTGAAGTCACAAATGATGACATTACGAGAGTACCTCAACGGCACCAAATGTCTCTAGGCACAAAGAAGCTCGACGTGATACTGTGATATAGTGCTCTGATAAGAAACCCATTAGCTGGTAAGAAAGTCTATGAGATGATGTCCATGGGGAGAGACTCTGTGTTTGAAGCCGTGGCTGTTTCGGCGGAAGGAAACTCAAGCTGGTTATCCTGGAAGATATGATGCGCCAGCTTGTGGGGAGGGGTGTTCTGTTGGCCTGTGTCTTGATAAGATGAAAGCGCTACTTCACCTCTTAATTGAGAAAAGGCTCCGGTAGAATGATACTAGGAGCACAATTGCTCGCTTCTGAAAACTTTAAATCTGACTAACCCTTCAAGTTCAGCTTATTCACAGCATTTCGAACGATTGAAATTTCCAGTAGTGGTGCCTTGCGCATCCATACATGTATATACATTGGGGCATGATATAACGCCTGGATACAATCGTGGTGAGAGCGGAAGATTAATAATGCTACAGGAAATGGCATAGGCACAGAGATGATTCTAAGAACCATGCCGGCACCAGCGTCATGAATTATTGCTTCTTGGTGATCACGCCATTCCGCCACCATCAGAAAGCATCAGAAAGATGTAGTGGCGTAGGGCGATAAGAGAAACATCGACATTATTGATACTGGTGTACGACTTTCGAGTGTCGTTCTGGAACAGATTAATCTATGAATCGGGTCAATAAACGCGAGTAGGGCTCATCCAAGTGATATCACCCGGGTGGCGACAACTTGATGGCAAATGTCTCATTGATACCCACCGGCCTTTTTCACATTACAGCACCGGTATCCTTGGGAGGGAGGGGTTCATGGCATGTTGGGGGATTCTGTATACGTGAGCATGATCGGGGAAGGTTGTATCGAGGGAGAGAGATTCGCGACCCGTGGGCTTTGGGTGTCATAGTCTCAGTGTTAATGGTGAGTGTGGGACGTACCTTTGGGTTTGTGGTTGTCCATGTCCCAGAAGGCGTCTGAGGTGTCGCCTCTGAACCATGCCGCAGGATTGGCTTGATTGGCCTTTGCCTTCGATCGACGACGTGTACAGCTAGTGTAGAATCCTCCTTGGTTCTGAAATGTTCCATGGACAGTAAGTTGCGCCCGTTCGATACGACCTGTTGCATGCCACCCTGGAACAGCATGATTTAGGAGGGTTAGGAGTTGACGACGAGCTCCATATCCTTCTTCAGTGCATAGGTAGCCTTGGCTTTTGAAAGTCTTATCGAAATTAATTTTCTACCCTGCGCTTATTCAGGACACCGTTCTTCGCTAGTAGCGACAGTGCTTCAGTTGATTTCACACAAGTCTCGAAGAAAAAATAACTATCTTACATTGAGTAAGGATACTCAAGACAGGTCGACTTATGTAGCCGGTCCGTGGGTAGAGTCGTTGGAAACTCTGAACCTGGCATTGCAGAGTTTCACGCCTTGAAACTAGAAACTATGGCATGCGCAGAGAAGCACGTCTGAGATAGGATACGACTGATTTGGTGTCTTCAGCGCTCAGCAAAATCATCAGAAGTCATAGAGGCTGTTCTTTAAGCTTAGTTTCTTCTATTACATAATGTAAAGGGGATTCTGGACGGAAATAATCTCACGCTGACTCGGACATCAAGGACACATCCCATGGTCAACATGTACATTCAGGCTGTGCGGCTGAATTCTTGAAAAGTGTGGGATCTCCTGCTCTTCTTCGGCCTCAGCGCAGCCTTCAATCTTATTCAGGCTGCTTTAATCAACATCGTACACTGCAACGTGCTTACGCTGTGCAAATTTGATGCTCACTGTGAATGAGGCTATGGGTGACTCGATATTCTACAAGTTGCTTCTGTTTTATTGACTCACACAGTGTGGATGCCATTTATAATCCTTTAGGACTTTACAGGTACTGCAGTCTTTCGTGACCTCCCCCACACATCTTCCTCTCAAGTGCATCCCTGAGCCATCATTATGACTCATCGTTTATGTGTGGACTTCGAGTCTTCAAGCTTATCAGAATCAGGCTCTGATTCAAACTTTTCTTCTGCGTCATCTTCTTCATCTTCTTCATCGGAGAAATCTGCTCCAAGTAAGTTGTCAGGCAACGTTAACGATAATAAGACAAAAAGTCCAGAAAGTCCACGATCGTAAGTTGTTGTGTTGTTTAGCACATCTATGGACTTAATGTCACGTTTTCAGGGGGGAAAAGGATAAGTAAGCATATGAAAGACTGATCATCTAAGTGCCTTTTAACGTGCTTATTGCTTAGTGACGAGCTAAGCTACTCAGAACATACCAAGGACCCAGGAGAGGTGCACCTTAGTGGAGTTCAACAAGTCGTCCTTACTAGTATGTAATATCAATCTCCGTTTAGCACATATTGACGATTTCCAAGCCATTCGTGCGACTCATCTCACTCTTGGTCTCCGACGGATTCCCGCTGGCTTTCATATGGTGGTCAAGGCTGACGGTGCCGAATACCAGACAAGCAACAAATCTATAAACATAGACCAGGATTTTGTCGAATGGCACGAGCGCATTCTTCTGTAAGTTGTCCTTGACAGCATCCGTCCTGGAGGTATTGAGAAAGACTCTAGGCCGCGCGAGCCATCATCTAAAGTTCGGGTCAGCGTGTATGCCACATTTGAATTAGGCCCCAGGCTCTGTCACGGAGAACTTCTCCGCACATTCGAGATCTCTGTCGGAGAATTACTGGATCGCAGCGAAAAATCTCATCGTCAGTATTGTCTATTGCGAATTAAGCCTGACAGACGCTAACAAGTATCACAGCCATCATCTTTCAGCCAAAGCAGGGGGAAGTCGTATCTGCTTGTACTTCACTGTTTATGACAGTGGAGCAGCGACTTTCTGATCAAAACGACGCCGGGGTTCTTTGCCCCCTTACTACCGTGAGTGATCAATGCTATCTGGTATTCTAATGCTGAGACCCTGTAACGTGCAGTTCACATCTCGCGATATGGCTGCGTTAGCACTAAAGACAGATGCCGGATACCGTCTTCTTGCGCGATACCGCAGAACGCAGAACAGAAGCGATCTGGACCAATCTATAAAACACTTCGAACGTGCCTCAGATCTCTGCCCCACGGACCATTCCTACCGCCCTGCAGCACTGTTCAATCTAGCCACCGCAAAGTTCATCAGTTGCCAAGCTAACGGAACATACCTTGACGACATACCTATCTCTCTTTTTCAAGACGCACTTGATTTGCGTCCCACTGGTCATGCAGATCGACCCATCACCCAGCTCCATCTGGCGGTTGCTCTGCTCTTTCGCTTCGCGAAACGGGGATTTCAAATCGATGCTGATGCAGCTAAAAAGTTGCTGAGCGAAGTGCTCGATGTCTGCCACGCCAACAGCCACATTTACAGAGCAGCTTTTATCACGCTCGAAACATTCACTCTACATTCTATTGGAAACACCGATGTAAATGATCTTGAGCAGGAGCGGTCCGCAGCATCCAGGCTTCCGTTATCGCCGTATCAACTTGCTCGCCGAGCAGAGTCGTGTTTGGAGAAAGATGACCCCAATGAATTAGATGAAGTGATATCCCTTCTTTATGATGCACTGGGATACTACACCACCGGGCATGCTCAGCGAGGGCAATTGCTAGGTAATCTAGCTTTGATGCTGCACACTCGCTTTGAACGTCAAGGCGATGGCAAAGACTTGGATCAGGCTATCGCACTTCAGAAGGAAGCGCTGGATTTGTGTCCGTTCGCTCACCAAGATCGGTCCATTCAATTAAATAGCCTCGCGAATCAACTCTTCTCCCGCTTTAAGCACCGAGGTAACGACGAAGACTTAGATCAGGGTATCGCTTTTCACAGGGAAGCGCTGGCCTTGCATCCGGTTGGTCATACATCTCGGTCCATGTCATTAAATAACCTCGCGGGTCAACTCTCCTTCCGCTTTGACCACCGAGGCAACGAGGAAGACTTGGACGAGGCTATCGCGCTTCACAGGGAAGCGCTAGCTTTGCGCCCGGTTGGTCACCCAGATCGGTCTGCATCATTGAACAACCTTGCGCTTTCACTCTTCAACCGCTTTCACCACCGAGGCAACGGTGCAGATTTGGATGAGGCCATCACACTACAGAGGGAAGCGCTGACCTTGCTCCCTGTTGGTCACACATTTTGGTTTGGGGCATTAAATAACCTTGCGAACCAACTCTCCGCCCGCTTTCATCACCGAGGCAACTACAAAGACTTGGATCAGGCTGTTATACTTTCTAGGGAAGCGCTGGCCTTGCACCCGGTTGGTCACTCAGATCGGTCCGAGTCATTAAACATCCTTGCGAATCAACTCTCCGCCCGCTTCAAGCACCGAGGCAACGACGAAGACTTAGATGAGGCTATCACACTTTACAGGGAAGCGCTGACCTTGCGCCCAGTAGGTCACACAGGTCTGCCCAGGTCATTATTGAACCTCGGGGATCAACTCTCCGTCCGCTTTGACCACCGAGGCAACGATGAAGACTTGGATCAGGCTATCACACTTCACAGGGAAGCGCTAGCTTTGCGCCCGGTTGGTCACCCAGATAGGCCCATGGCATTAGATAGCCTTGCGATTCAACTCTTCAACCGCTTTCACCACCGAGGCAATGACGCAGATTTGGATCAGGCTATCGCGCTACAGAAGGAAGCGCTGGCCTTGCTCCCCGTTGGTCATACATTTAGGTTTAGGTCATTAAATCACCTTGTGAACAAACTTTCCGCCCGCTTTCATCACCGAGGCAACTACAAAGACTTGGACCAGGCTATTATACTTTCTAGGGAAGCGCTGGCTTTGTGCCCGGTCGGTCACACAGATATGTCCGCGTCATTAAACATCCTTGCGAATCAACTCTCCGCCCGCTTCAAGCACCGAGGCAACGACGAAGACTTAGATGAGGCTATCACACTTTACAGGGAAGCGCTGGCCTTGCGCCCGGTCGGTCACATAGATCGGTTCGAGTCATTAGGCAACCTTGCGGATGAGCTCTTCTCCCGCTTTCACCACCGAGCCAATGTCGAAGACCTAGATCAAGCCATTGCACTTCAAATGCAAACGCTGATTTTGCTCCCGATCGGTCAGCCAGATCGGTTCATGGCATTAAATAACCTTGCGATTCAACTCTCCTCCCGATTTGACACCCGAGGCAATGACGAAGACTTGGACCAGGCTATCGTGCTTCACAGGGAATCACTGGCCTTGTGTCCGGCCGGTCATACAAGTCAATCCATACTATTATATAACCTTGCAAATCAACTATTTTCCCGCTTTGAGCACCAAGGCAACGACGAAGATTTGGATCAGGCTATTGCATGCCACAGGGAAGCGCTGACCTTACGCCCGGTCGGTCACCCAGATCGGTCTATGTCATTAAATAAGCTCGCGAATGGACTCTCCACCCGCTTTGAGCACCAACACAACAGAGAAGACCTCGGCGAGTCGCGAGAGAATCTACGCTGTGCATTAGCTCTGTTAAAGCAGCATGATCCTCGCCGATTAACGGTCCATAGGTCGCTAGCCGAGCTCTACTTGTCGCTCCATCGATCACGACTTGACGGCACTGCCCCAGGCGAAGATAATGACAGTTTGAATGCTGCCATGGAGAGTTTCAAGGCTGCAGTAAATGTTGTCTCTGGAGGCTTGGCAATCCGCCTGCAAACAAGTCTACTCTGGGTTCGCCATGCTGATCAACAACAACATAGCACTCAATTGGAGGCATATGCAACTTCCATTCAACTTCTTGACACTTACATTTCTACGACAGCTTCATTATCGTCTCGTCACAAAATCATAAAGGACCTCCCAAGTACCCTTGCCACGGATGCTGCATCATGTGCTCTTCGTAGTGGTGACGTGTGTCGTGCTGTTGAGTTGTTAGAACAAGGCAGGACTATCATATGGACCCAGATGACACGACTCCGCACCCCTCTCGATAACCTTCAGACTCACGGTGATCATGCAGTGGCCCTGATGAAGAGATTCAGAGGCCTCAGCGCCCTCCTTGATAAATCCCCAGCGAGTCCTCCAGAAGGGACTGAAAGAATCAATGTGGAAGCAGAAGAAATCCGGTACAGACGCCTAGGAGAGGAGTGGAATAGAACTGTAGAAGAGATCCGGAAGATCGAAGGCTTCTCTCGCTTCCTCCTTCCCCCCTTATTCTCCGATCTTCGAAATGCAGCTCGTGAAGGGCCCATCATCATGCTCATCGCAAGCAAGTCGTCCTGCCACGCCATTATCATCGCACACAAGCAACCTCCCACTAGCATTCGACTCCCCACCGATTTTGAGAAGCTTCAGAGATTGGTGCCAGCACTTCAGGAGGCGGTTGAAAAAGAGGCCGGTCCTAAAGGAAATCAAACAGCGCTGATAAAAGCTTTGAGAGAGTTATGGGATGTTGTCGTTTGCCCAGTGGTCGAGAATCTTAAAGGATTTGCACGACGAGGTTCCCGAATATGGTGGTGCCCAACATCTCTCTTCAGCTTCTTGCCGTTGCATGCTGCTGGCGAGTACAGGCCAAATGGAAAGTCCCTTTCGCAGCATTATATCTCTTCATACACGCCATCGCTCACCGCGCTGATCAAGGCCCGCGGAAGTCATCACAGGTCCCCATCGGTGCCCTTCGTTGCCATTGGTCAGGATTTCCCAGCCGGGGCCTCATTCGTTTTGGATGCTGTGGAACCTGAGCTTGAGTTGGTGCGGAGACTTTTGCCCCCTCCCCCAACCGTTTCCTTTTCCAAGGTAACCAGTGTTGATGCCACCAAATCGCGAGCACTGTACGCATTGCGAGACAACACTTGGCTCCATCTCGCATGTCACGGGACACAAAGATTTGACGAACCCTTCAAGTCGGCCTTTCTCATGCGCGACCAGCCGCTTTCGCTTCTTGACATCACACAAATGGATCTGTCTCGGCATGAATTTGCATTTCTTTCTGCCTGTCAAACTGCAGTCGGTGCCTTTAGCACGCCTGACGAAGTGATACACCTGGCGGCTGGTCTGCAATTTTCTGGGGTTAATAGCGTCGTCGGGACGTTATGGAAGGTCACAGATAGCACCGTGCATAGTTTAGTTGAGGCATTCTACAAAAAACTTTGTGGGGATGGCCCAATGAATTCCAACCGAGCCGCCTGGGCGCTGCACCAAGCGGTTCAGTCGTTGGCATGTGACAAGGAGAATACAATGACACTGGACCAGCGCATAGTGTTCGTGCATATTGGCATATAATCAATTCGGTGCGTCCTCCCACCTTGTTGATTAAAGCATTTTTGAGACAATCTCAAGACTTTGCATGTAGCATCCAGTCATCGCTACACCGTAACCCTGTCACCTGCGAAGGACAAGGACTTTGGTATTTCAAACTTTGAGACTGTATACCTACACGACATGTACCCCCAATTTCGACCCCAATTTATATTTTCCGGTTTGTTGTCTTAGAGCCAGAGGTAGATCGCTTTTAAAGTACACTCAGGCAGATAATTTGCGTGTAAGAGTGATACACCTCCCAGGTGATAACGCTGCGATTCCGATGAATACCCAATTTTTCTGCGTAAAAGTTAATTTGCGCAGGCTCAATATCACGGGTACCTCGTGGGTCTGCAACGAGTCCAAGTCAGAATGGTCTGACGATCTCAGGGGACCTTGAACAAAACATAATAAATAAGCCTCTTGTGCTGGGAGGTCGATGCTATATCATGTCATAAAACAAGGACACAAACCCAGAGAGCTAGTGAAGAGAAATCATACAATCTACTCCAAACGCAGCGCAACCACCTGCGAAGATCTCTCGGACAGTTTCCAGTTGTTATGCGTAGGATTGACGAGTGCAAGTGAACTGATGATGCTCGTTTAGGGGTAGTGTTGCCTCTCCACAATGGTACCGGTGAAAGAGTGAGCGATTGTCAAAAATACATGGTCATTATGTGTATTGCCATTTCAGTAAGTTAAGGCGCGAACCTAGGTCCTACTAGAGAGCGGTAGTGAATGCGACTGTTCTTGTTCGAAACACAGCACCACCATCTGATTGAGGCCTTTCGAGACATCCAAAAGTCCAAAAACCAAGCTGTAACGCTGTGACTCCGATTTCAGGCACTGTTGAAGGGAAAGGAATAAGGATATTGGATGCTTCTGCGAGAATATTAACGAGTATCCAACTAAGCAAAGATACGAACCTAGAGTGAAGTTTTAAAAACGACGTCAGTTGATGGCGCTGCGAAGGAAAATCATATTACTATCTCTGGGAGAACACTAAAATCAACGACGAGAAACGAACTGAAATAGAATGCGAACCTCGAAGGGCAGCAGTGCCAACTGCAATGATTTTATGGAGTTGGTTTTGGATTTAATGACGTTGCGACCTTGATTGGTACCCAATACAATGAGCATGCTCCAAAGCCATGATAGGCAGATCCCGACATGACAGGCTGGGAGAGTGAAGTTCGGAAGTGGGAGTTTAGAAGACAACAAGGTGATCTGAAGGATCCATATATCTGGTTGGGACATTCTTTGTTTGAAGGTGAAAACTTGTCAAGTCGAAAGTACTCACAACGATAACACCCCTTTGTGTACCGACTTCTCTGCACTGTGCAGGTGGTAACAGACAAAAATTATCGAGGCACGTAATAGTAAATCGGTTCAACTGGGTAAGCCGCAAGTGAGTGGGCCTGAACTGGCTCACAAAGGATGTCTCAGTTGAATGTTGTGAGGGGTTCCTGTGTGGCAATGAAGCTATGCTGGACAGTACTAGGTCAGTGGTTGTGAGCTCGAGGCAGTGGGGTCTTAGTCGCGTCGGTTGAAGCGGACCTTATTGATACCGTAAATGGACAAGTGCCTTGAACTACGGCGCCGCTGGCAGCGCCTCCATCAGACATAGAAAAATAATCGAGCAACAAATTGCGACGAACCACAAGCTGACAACAACCGTCACCTTCAACGACGAGGAACATGGAAGGAGCGACAATGATATCGACGACGACGGCGACGACTGGTGGCCTGCTTTTAAATCATGATGCTCCAGCTGTTGCACCGCAACGGTCCACAGTGACCATTTTAGGATCCTTTCTTCGACGCCCAAGAGGAACTTCCACTTCGCAGCAACAACCATCACAAGCAGACTCTCCACCCTCTCCAACGATCCCTTCAGGAATAAGACGACGAAGTTTTGTACCTCAGATAAACTCATCATCAAATAACACCACAAGCCTTGGTCCAATTTCAAACATTCTGCGTCGCAGGCGGTCAGCCGGCACCGTCAACAATCAACCAACAATGCCCGCCCCACAACCCCTCCTCCGAGCAACGACATTCTCCAATAACAACAATAACAACAACCAGACCCATCGTATCCGCCTGGTTCCCCACCTCGACTCCCGCCGCACACTCCGCTTTGAACCCATAACCCGCGACCTCAAGGATAACGACATCCCCCTTCGCATTGGCCGCTTCACAGACCGCTCAGGAATAGGTCTCGCAGCAGTAAATGCCCTAAACACGAACAAACTTGCCTTCAAGAGCAAAGTGGTCTCTCGTGCCCATGCTGAGATATGGGCTGACAATGGCAAATTCTATATCAAAGATACGAAATCTTCTTCAGGAACCTTCCTCAATCATCTACGCCTCAGTCCTGCAGGCTCCGAGAGCAAACCCCACCAGCTTAAAGATGGGGATATCGTTCAACTGGGGGTCGATTACCAGGGAGGAACCGAGGATATCTACAAGTCTGTAAAGATTCGGATCGAGGCAGGGAGGGAGTGGCAGGCTGCTGCTAATGCTTTCAAGTGCGTTTTGCCTCCAGCGATTCACGCATCTCACTCGATGTTGATCTGCTTTCTAGCACAAACGCCCTCTCACAACTCCGCTCCCTCTCCGCAGACCCCCACACCCAGCCACAAAGGGCAATCGCCCATGGCAAAAAACGAATGCCGAAGACTAGCATTCCCGATTGTTGTATCTGTGCGTCTATTCTCTCCATTTTTTTCCTTATCTTCCCGTGCCACCGCATGCTATCTCACACGCTAATATAAATTACAGGCCTCTTCGCAGTAACAATTCGCCAAGCCCTGTTCATAGCCCCCTGCAGCCATGCCTTCCACTACAAATGCATCCGCCCCCTTCTCGAAGCCCACACCTCCGCATTCAGCTGCCCCCTTTGTCGCACATTCGCAGATCTCGACGAGGACGTCGAAGTTGAGATCGAACCTGAACTTGAGGTCGATGCCGAGGCTGTTTCATCGGCTGAAGATGATGATGACGAGATTGATGGAGGTGCGGGAGGAGGAAAGGATAAGCTGGCGCCTCCCATGATGAGAGATGGAGCTGAGACGGAGGTGGAGGGCGATGCGAGGAGTCCGCGCGCCAGGATACGGACCGCGGGACATATTGTCCATCCACAATCTCAATCATACCTCTACCCAACCGCTCAATCCCAACCGCTCCGCGACGATGCAGATCTCGACGAAGAGCTAATAGATCTGATAGATATTGATTCGGATGAGGGAGATCTAGATGTGGGAGTGTTTGTGAGAGGTAGCAGCGGGAGCGGGAGTGGGAGTGGCAACGGAAGTGCAGAGGGGATGGGTATCGAGAGCGGGATGGGAGGGGTGGCGATGATGGTGGATGGGGAAGGTGTTATCAGTGTGAAACGAAAACGTTAACGATGGGTCTGAATTGATAACGCTTGTATAAGCATGCGTACCCTTCCTTTCTTCTTCCTTTCATTTTCATTTTTCTTTACGTTGAGCGGTCGGAATCGGAGATTATTTTATTTTGTTGTTGTTCATCATATCTGGAGCCTCCTATGGTGTTGTACATGTAGCTTTGACATCGCACGGTATTGCGCATGCATGAGTTCATCACAAGTTATACATAGTTTTACATAAAGGCTCAACGCAGTTTTATAGGTCTATCGCAGTTTCATGGATTCATCGCTTTGCACACTTACACTTATATCTCCTTTCCCTTGTTTCCTCGTTTTCATTCTTTCTCACCTATCATTATCCTACCCACATATTTCGTTCTTCCGTCCTGACACCCCTTCATGACGAAATGTTAATAAAGCTTGTTGTAATGCCTATACGAGCTGAGTTGGCGGTGACTTCTTTCCTTTCCAAGTGAGGAGCAATAAATGAATGACAACAAGCGAGCGAGCGAGTGTGGATGGAACACCGAAGACCTAGAGGGTCGCGGAAGTTCAGTTGCTTCGCTATTTTCAGGTCGAATGAGGTGGAGGAACGAGGAAAGGCGAGCGATGAGTGCATTGACAGACGAATTGGGGTGTGAATCACCCATTAGGAAGGACTGGTCAAAATAAGAGCTAAGCAACAGAAATACAAATTACGCATGTCATCATTAGCCTCCATACCGTCAAAATATCGGTAAGAGTTTATCGAAACCACCAAATTGATCATGGCAACGCGCAGCATCAGCCTGGAATGTTACTGTGAAAAGGATCGGAAACACAGTACGTACTTCCGAAAATGACTTGTCATCGAGCGAAGTTGTGGTGTGTGTGGTGTATTCCTAAACCGTCTTCTGCTCGAGTCCGTCTTTCGGTGCCTAACATTGTCAGTAATGCTAGAGTTCGAACATGGGCCGGAAGAAACCTGTGAGGTGAAGAGGGAGCACCAGACACTGTCAAATGTTAGAAGTATGAACATAATTTTTAGTAGGTATAGGAAGGTGCACAGCATGCGGCACTGGCCGCAGACATGCGTTCTACAACGGAAATAAACTTGCTGTGCCACAGGAATCATATAAGACGCACCTTAAAACTGCATGAACGAACGACTGCCCTCAACTCCCAATCACACGGTTCACACCTCATAGGGGTCGTCTGAACGATACATCTCGTGAGTGATACTCTAGATTCTTATCGCATTTAGAGCTAACAACTTGTTTACCAGCGACGTCGGATACCCACTAAGATCTCTTTCGCATTCTCAAATTTCGCAGCACCTACATGCACTGTCTTGTACGTGGGGGTTTGATACTGTAAGCATACTGTCTCATCAGTCATAGTTTGTGTGGTTCTGACAAGCACCAAATTGAAAGGAGATAGGCCCTAAACTCACAAGTGAACTTTGCCGTCGCTAGATGAGTCAAGAGCCCGGCAGACTGATCTCATCTACAATCTGCTGTAGTTGAGATTCGGAGCACGTATCAAGTCTTCTTTCACGATTAAGATGTCGGTTATCATGCCACGCCAGACGATGCAAGACCGTAGAAATTGGGTAAATGGTGTTGTGCATCTGCCTGGGGGACAACACATTGTCGCATGTTCGCCAGATGGCTCACTCCGACTATGGGACAGAGAGAGCGGCGCACAGATAGGCGGGGCCTGGTGGGACAGGAATAATGCAGTCAGCGAGGGCTGCTATAGTGCGGTGCGGTGCATAGCATTGTCTCCAAATGGAAAGACAATTGCAAGTGGGAGCGAAGATGGGAAAGTGAGGTTGTGGGAAGTTGAGACAAGGAAGCTCATTGCCACTTGGACAGGAGTTGCCGGGAATATGCTGTTGGCATTGTGCTGGAGAGCAGACGGTAAGCGGGTAGTGACCGGATCCGCATCCTGGGATGGGACGGCAAGAGTCTGGGATGTTGACAGCGGCAGAACTGTCCTGACAATTAATACTGGGCGTGAATGGGTAAGAGCAGTGATATACTCGCCTGACTCTTCAAAACTTGCGACGGGTGGAGACTCATATCGCAATGCAAGTTGGCGCGATAGCGCTGTAAATGTCTGGGATGCGAAGACGGGCAAGCTACTCCAGGAACTAGAGCCTTATTATGGATCAGTTTTCAGCCTAGCATGGACGTCGGACGGGAAGAAGCTTATCTCCGGTTCAGATTGCCTAATTACCATATTCGACACTGCCACTTGGCAGGCGATTGCCAGACTCCAAGGCCACACAGATTTTGTCACCGCCATCTCCTTGTCTCAGAATGACCGCCTACTTGCAAGTGCATCACTCGATAAAACAGCGTGTCTATGGGATCTCGACACCAAACACCAAGTAATACCATCCCTCCCACACGGACGGGATTTGCGCTCTGCAGCCCTTTCTCCTGATGGAAAGGTGCTAGTCACCGGTTGCGAAGACGCAAAAGTGCACGTTTGGGACGTTTACGCCATCGCAACTGCACAATATCTGTTAGAGCAAAAGGCAGCATATCAAGATGATTCAGGATCACAGCACACAACCCGCTTGTCGCTCAATGACAAGTCATTTTTGGAAGTACGTTCTGTATTCGTAATTCTTCTCATTCATTATAACAGCGACATTTTAGGCTGATGCTACGCGTTGTCTTGACCAGTTTGGCGATGTCGATGAGCTCTCACCAACGTTTTTTGACGGCATGGAAGCCGATGCTCATGTGCGTAATCAGTATTTCAATCGTTTAGTTCTTATCCAGCCAGCTGTGTTCTCAGTTTTCCCCAATGGGTGGTGCATGCCCCCATTCCTCTGCAAATTCGTTCTTTCTTAGCCCTTCCTCATTTATCCGCCGCTTTTGGGCCAAAAATGATGAAGCGACCGAACTTCCGCAACCCTCAAGTCCTTCGCTGTTCTATCAGGCTCCCCGTGCATTCTTCGCTCACCTGTCGTCATTCATTCACCGCTCTCCATCTGAAAATCATGCACCGGACGAACTTCAGCAACCATCCACACCTTCGCAATTAGATCCACATGTGCTACTGGATCGCCTTGACTCGTTTTTGCCTCGACCTCGACTTGGCACTGACAGAGAAGCAGAACCTCGTCCAACAACGCATTTCAGTTCGCGTTCAGATGCACTCTTCAGCCAGTTGTCCTCACTCTTCCGCTCTCGACCCCACACCAATGAGGAAATTGAACTCCCACGACGCCCAAACTGTCCTCGTGTTGTTGAAGTGGCTGCAGTGCGGGACAAGCAGGTATCTCTCTCTCCTCGGTGCATTTACAATTATCATGGTTTAATGATTTATTTAGACTTTGGTTGTTGCTCGGGGGCCAAATTTCATGAAATCAAAGCGAGCATACGATGAACAACAAAGCAAGTTGCATGACCAAGCCCAGCCGTCATCATCACACACTCAGCCTACCAATACCTCGCAATCTGCGACACTTCCTGCTTCAGGTGCTAACACTACTACAGTAGGTACAACAGCTACACGGTCACTAGCCATCCGATTGTGGACCGAGGTCGTGCTGTTTCTCTGCTGTGCATCTCAATCACACGCCAATAGTTATCAATGCAGCTAACATTGCAGCACATACACGACTACTACATCTCTGCTTCTAGTGATTGTGCGTCTCTTTCGTTATACATTTCAGTACATCATCGATCTCCTTTCCTCGTCGTGACATTCGTGCAATGCATCGACCTCGATAATGTCAATTGTAGCAAGTGAATTATAGTATAGTTCTTGCTCTCTTTTGTGTTTTTTACCTTCTTTTTAAATAGAACCCGGATTGATGAGGAGTATGCTACCCCAGTCATCAGAAAATGGTATGACGATCATTATGAAACAGAATGCCTGTATTATCCACGACCTCGTAAACAAGAACCTGTCTTGCAGGTCCGACTTGGAACGGGTCTTTACCGTTCGACTGAAATTGCACAATCGTACAAGAAGATCAATTGCTTTCGATGTCGCGCTCAGCACTAATTCACTTCAATTAAGATGTCCCGGCACGCTGGTGACTTCTTTCCTTCCGTATCTCTATCAATCACAGCTAGGCTGCCAGCTCGTGTCTTTTCACAGCTCAGCTTGTTGTGTATGACATCCTATTCAAGAGAAATATTCGCAACGATTTAATGGACCCGCATGGGACGCCAGAACTTATACGCGGACCAGGACTTCGGATGAATCAATGCACATATATCGGCCATTTCTGATCAGAACGCAAAGACAGCGACGCATTCAAGATGTCCTTGTTTAGATTTTTTGGGAAACGGTAATGTTGCTTGTATTGAGATAAAAAATGAGAGAGGTTTAAGGTGGGGAACAGCACAACCAGCACCCGGGGTGTAAAAGATAACCCGATGTCCCTGGCCATTGCTTGCAGTCTGCAATGGGTTGGCATACATCTTCGCAATTTCTAGTTTCACGAGGTGATGCCACTGGCGTAAACACAGCACTAGAAGTGGCAAGAATCGTGAGGTAAACCATTTGAACAAGCTTCATGGTATGATTGGTATCTGGTATAACTGTGCATCAGCCGACGTTATGACCGTGTGAGGAAGTCACGCACCGACAAAAGTCTGATCGTGCAGTGTGCGCGAAGTTGCTACGAAGAAGTCTTAAAAATGCTATGATATGTCGGTTCAGTGAAATGCGTATAGTGTGACAGAAGAGGGCTACCCACCGCAAGAGGAGGCGTTCGTGTCTGAGGCCAGTTCCACTCAACCGCATTGATTTTATACTTGTGCTCGTTAGCCCTGGAGCTGTGCTCGGAAGAAGTTTTATGTTGAGAAGATATGCAGCCCTGTCAGTGAGGTCCCCGAGGCGTGCCGAGTTGGTGATAATCAAATCGAGCCAGCGAGATGTGGTGAATCTGGTGATACAGCAGGAAGGATGATCATTGATCAGGAAATATCAATATTCAGACAAGATGCAAAATTGGTCACTGACTGTTGAGTGTTCTTGGAGCCTCTATACATGACCAATTCTGAGTAGAGCGCAGGGTCAAGCAACACCCTTTCGAAGTTGCAAGTCAGAAGAGCGATCTTCGGCGTGCCGCGTGAGTACCCATGATAATCCTACCTGCCATATTATGTAACGCCGACCGAGAATACGGTTATACTATTTTTTTATTTTCCGGAATGACTCTTCTCGCGAAACACAAGACTCCTGAGATATTATCCTAGTCAATATACTGGTAGGTGGCGATGAGAATGGAAGTACTCACCGTCGGTCCCTTCGCGAGATCTCCGAGTACCGACAGAGCGACTCTTTCGCGTGACCATATTTTCCGAAATACTACAGTAGAACCAGCGGCAGAAGATAACCTGCATTACTTTCGGGCATTGCCGGTGACATCTTTCCTTCCGTATTCTCCATAAATCCCTGCTAGGTCATATCTTATCACACCTCAGCTTGTTGTGTATGCCATCAAGAGAAATGTTCGCAAGGATTTAATGGACTCACATAGAACGCCAGGTTATACGCGGACCATGACTTCGGATTAATGCACGTATGCCGGCCATTTCTGAGCAGAGTGCAGAGATAGTGGTCAAGCTACACCATTCAAGTTGTCGGACCTTGTACGTTTTTGGAAAACGGTATACGAGACACATGTTGCTTGTATCGAGAGAAAAAATGAGAGAGGTATAATTAAGATGAGGTACAGCACTCCCAACAGAAGGGGCCTGTATATGTAATCGATGTCCCCGGCCATAACATAGGGCAATTCAAATATATTCCAGTGGGTGCGCATGGATCGTGGCAAATACGAGCCTCCGCAGGCGCAGGAAATGGCGCTGCCAGTGCTACTGGAGTAAACAGAGTACTGGAAGTGGCAAGAATCGTGAGGTAAACCATTTGAACGAGCTTCATGGTATGATTGGTATCTGGTATAACTGTGCATCAGCCTACGTTGTGACCATGTGAGGAAGCCACACACCGACAAAAGTATGATTGCGCAATGTGCTTGAAGTTGCTATGAAGAAGTCTTAGACGTGCTATGATATGTGGTTCAGTGAAATGCGCATAGTGTGGTGGAAGAGGGCTACCCACCGCAAGAGGAGGCGTTCGTGTCCGAGGCCTTTTCCACTCAACCGCATTGATTTTATACTTGTTCTCCTTAGCGCTGGAACTATGCTCGGAGGAAGTTCTATATTGAGAAGATATGCAGCTCTGTCAGTGAGGTCCCCGAGGCGTGCCGAGTTGGTGATAATCAAATCGAGCCAGCGAGATGTGGTGAATCTGGTGATACAGCAGGAAAGAACAAGATAAAAGATTGGTCGCTGCTGAGTGTTCTTGGATGGCCATTTCTGAGTGGGGTAAACAACACTTTGAAGTTGTGAGAGATGCGATGATTTTATGTAATTGACGCGTGCGGCGTGACGCATATCCTACGTGCTATATTACGTAACGCGGACCAAGTCACTGTCAATGACGTGCCAGTTCCCAACTCCTCCTGCCCGAACCCCTTTGAGTCTTTGACCCAGTTCGGAACTATCTCAAAGAATTTTGCCCACCATTGTTTTTATTTCACGGTTCCACTTCATAATCATCGGTTCTTGCCATCCTAGACTCATACTTCCAGCTCTTTTCACCTCGCTGTTTTTCTTTCTATTTAATATTGAGTTTCTACACTTGTCTATGTCCGAGTCTATCTTTCAATCCCCAATATCGAAATGCCACCCCAAGTCTGTATCCTTGACTGATCTATGTCTGAAAACCCTCCGCTCATCCACTACTTGTCTTTCATCATCTCCACATAAATTCCGTGCAACCATCTTCTATCCGATTCCACCGCATGGGAAGGCGTTCCTGAATACGAGTGTCTGCGTCGAGATAGATATAAGTATGCTGAGCGAATGAGTTGTGATGATTAACTAAATCATTAATGCCCCACACTGTAGGATAGTCTGCAGAGAATGTCACGTTTCCTGCAGACAAAACCCAACCTGGGAGTTGTGAATCTGGTTCATTTCTCGCTGCACACATTCCACCACAAGAAATACGGGCCGTGGGGGGTCGTGTGCATGAATGATGATGATCCACTTCATTGACCACAATGATTGGCCCACAGGCTGGTGATCTGAACAGTATCAAATTCTCTTAGATTTGTTCTCCTGTTAATCTTGCCACCTGTCTATAATCGCATGCCTGTATACCGCCCTGTTCACCTACAGCGCTATGCGGATTGGTTGGTGCTGCCCATGTGGTCTTTAACTGTGATTCGATCTCTGGCCAGGAAGCTACGACCTACTGGGCCTGGGTGACATCTCATTACAACACTTGCCTCCATCAACAGCAGATATACTCTTTCCATGCTTGAGTTCCAATCCCAACGTTATTTATGCTGTGCCATCATAATTATTGTTCTGCAGTATGAAGATCTGTATATTACTTGCCCATGTAAGGCTAACTATGAGTTCGATGGGGATTGTTGATTGAAACGAGTGGAGGAATGATTGTGTTGGGACGGTAGAGGTTGAACAAGACAGGTTGCATTTGAACGATAGGACTTTCTGACGGACTGTGTGTGTGAATCCAGCAGAGCAAAGACTGCTTTTCAAAATGTACATGAGCATATTTTAAACTGTAAAGGTAAGGGTCCTTGCCGTTAGGCAAAATGGGAATTAAGTGAGACAGAGAGTAGTGGCATTGAGCCTGAGTGGTTGAAATGGTAGAGTATGAGAACATTTTAAATAGGTGATGGTAATGGGGCGGTGCGTAGAGCACAATATAATGAGAATTGTGTATGGTCTTTGACCATTTTTGGTGCGGTGGAATGGAATTGAACGAGTGTTAACAAGAAGGAGGGTATAGCTGGTGTGGGCATATTGTAAGGAAAGTGGTGGCCATGCTGGTCGTCAGCGACAGTGAGATAATGGAAGTAAGAAAGAGGGAATGTGTCCGCATAACTCAGATGCGAAGCATGCACTTCTTCGGATCCATGAGTCACGTGGATGGTTCTGGACTTGCGTCTGTGAACCTTGACTTAAAGATGTGGTTGCGGTGTAGAAGATGTGCGATCCTTACATACCCTCCCTACTTCGAATATTGACTGTCCTCGGTCGATCTTCCTAACTAAAATAAAATATGTTTCATATCATAGTGAATGTTTGATCTAAGCAGAAGGAAAATGAAGTAAGAGAAAGGAAAATATAAAAGGGACACATCTAATTTTCATCATTGTCCATAGTGCCGGTGAGGTTCCCAATGTCGAGGTACTGGGTGATGTCGAGTGAGGTTGGGGAGTGAGGGTGATAGGGAATGAGACGAAAGGCTGCAAATTTGAGTTTTGAGACTGAACCATCGATTTCAGCAAGACGATAGGATCCTCCTAAGGAGCGCGAGACGATGACCATCGGTCCGAAATAACATGGTTTGCATTTGGCATTTGACGCTGCTTCAATCTTCTTATTGAGGACAAGGATGAGATCACCTTGCTTGAATGCATAGTTGTGTATGGTATTTGTGAAACGACGCTCGAAGTTGCGGATGGATGTAAAGCAACTTTTGAGTATATGAGCGTGCATGTCAGCAAAGTCGTCATCTCGCTTGGCTAGTTGATGGCAGCGTATGGCCAATAATTCGGTGGTGGAGAGTTGAGATGTGATATCAGGGAGGAGAAAGGTGGCTTCGGTAATATCAAAGGGAAGGAGGGGCTCAATGCCATGCACCATGAAAAACGGACTGTGACCTGTGGATTTCCACGTGGTAACTCAGTCAGCCCAAAAGACATGGTGAGCTAGAGTGGGCCATTTAGTAATGTCACCATTGCAGGCTTCAACAAGCGAGTTGCAAATGGTGTGGTGTGAGCGTTCGACAACACCGTTGGCCTTCAAATTATATGCCGAGATCCGGATGTGCTGAATGTGATACTTTTGGGCGAGCCAGTCAAGCGCGGTGACAAAGGGCGTCCCGTTATTGGTTACTATCTCCTCAAGTCCTCCCCATCTACATAAGATCTCTTCAAAAATGAATGCACCCAAGGTGCGTCCCATCTCTTTCCTCAACATTCTAAACTCCAGCCAATTGGATAATGAGCAGCACACCTGCACAATATAGGAAAAACCGTGGGATGCTGCTGCATGCCTTCGCCTGTAATCTCTCTCCAAGTTTTCACCCTTAAACTTGCACACAACATGTCGTAGTCATCTTAGCATTCAAGTTTAATCATTGTTTCTTCTCCACTGCGTAAATGAGACGTTAGAGTGAACCTCAAAGAGTGTAGTCAGACTGGTCGGATCATCTCGGAGAAATTTGGGCGAAGCACGGAGTTCTATTACTTCGACCGGCACGACCGGCACCTGCTAAATTGAAAGTCCGTGCTTCGCCTGCCAAATCTCTCCGAGAACGACCAGCGTGGCTACGCCACTCAACTCATCCGTAGCTATATAAGCCAGCCTGAGCCTACCAGGAGATACCAATATTTGAATTATTGTGTCGAAGTCAGCTGGCATTCTGCCAGCCGGTTTGGCAGAACTGGTTTTGCCTACAAACAGAACTCTGCCAGCAGAATCCGGTCACCGGATAGAGCGCCAAACTACAGGTAGTCACAGAATTCTTATATGATGCATGCCGATAACCTCCATTCTCTCAGCGCTTGCCAATCAAACACAGTACTGTGAGTGCGTGTTTCACTCGTATAGGGAATACATCTCTGTGGTGCCATTTCGGATGTCAGTGCTTGGAAACGCCACATCATTTTTTCGTGAAGTGTCCATCTGACAACTTAAAGGTGTTGCTTTACAAGAACATTGAGCGCTCGAGCAGTGGACATATTATATTTGTGCTTACGCAAATACTAATATTGGCTCATCATCCTTCCTGCTAGATCACTGTAACCGTCTGGCTCGGTTTAACTATCACCAACTTGCCAGTGGCCCGGCGCGCGCACCTTAGCGCTTCATCGACAGACCTGCATGTCTTCTCGGTATAAAACTTTCCCCGAGTATAGTTTCAGTGTTAACGAGAACAGGTATAAAGTCAACGCGTGGTTGAGTTGAGCCGAACTTCAAGGCCTCAGTCACGAACACCTCCTGTTGCAGTGAGTAGCCCTCTTCTACTTCTACCACACTATGCGCAGTTCGTTGAACCGACGTATAATAGCTCTTCTAAGACTTTTTTGCGGCAACTTCGCGCACATTGCACAATCAGACTTTTGTCGGTGTGTGGATTCCTCACAAGGTCAGATTGTAGGCTGATTCACAGTTATGTCAGATACCAATCATACCATGAAGCTCGTTCAAATCATCTATCTCACAATTCTTGCCACTACCAGTGCTATGTTTACCCCAGTGGCAGCGAAACCTCTTCACATTATATCCTGCGTCGGAACATGTGCCGCCTCTTCGAAATATTTGAATTGCCAGCAAGGGATGTCGCCTTACCAAAATTACCCCGGGTGTTGGGAGTGCTGTTTCCACTAGCTAAATTAGTTGAATCTCGCTGTCATTTTACTCTCAATACGTGTTCATTCTGAATCCCACCGCCGCCCACATAGAACCATTACACCAAAAGGTTTAGCTTTCAGTATCAACGTACTTACAGCACTACACGGAGTGAAGATGCAACAATTTATTGGTGCAATTGAGAATGAGTGAGTGGGGTAGGCTATGGTTGATTATAAGTTAGGTAATGAAGCGCACGGACGTTATGTTCATTGAACGGGAGCGACAATGCACCGAGATCATGACGACGACGGGGTCAGAAGATAAGAACAAATCGCAGTTCGGCGTCTACACGGAGACTCTAAGATTCTCGGTTCGGAATCATTCAATCAATATGCATGCGCAGTACTACCTGTTGATAAACGTGTACAGGTTTGTTACTTGTCTGACAATTCAGTACTGTCAGTCCTTTATTATCACGGAGAAGCCAGCGACAATCCTGGAGCGAAGACTCGGAGTTGTCGCGCGAACGGCCCGGAGAAAACTGTGAACACGTGCTGAGCGGAGATACTACGGTATCAAATCGACTTGTTTCGAATTTTCCTTACTGAAGGGTGAGGGTACCCTTAAGTGTGGTAGAGGCCTGGTTAGGGTACCATCGTGGACAACACTGATATGCGACACTCACTTAGCAAGCCGTTGTTTGAGCCCCTTTAGAACTCACCATCTCACCTTCAACTTGAAGCTCCCTTGTCTTTCACTATCGCCACGCACGCATTTTGGCCATTGCTAAAACCTGCAAATGTTCGTACTTATACTTTATGAGTATATGCATTCAACTAAAGTCATGTAGGGTCGAGTCGACCCGGTTGATTTCTATGCTGTGCTGGGGGATGAACATTACTTCATTTCAGTATCTGCAAAGAGTAAAATCATACATATATTCGAATATCTCAAGTCACACTATGAAGAAACCCATCCAGTCCTGAAGAGGATCTCCTATAAGCGATGCAAGTTCTACAAATTCAAGAACCCTGTATTGGTTCCCGACGAGGATTTCGTGGACAAGTCCGACATGATCAAACGATGCCTGGATGAGAAAACTTGGACAGAAGTGTCACCGGATAGATATTTGAAAGTACTGGGATCAGAACTGAGAGACGATCATATTTACTTGGTGGTGAAGCCTCCGCGATCTGAAGGTGCGCCACTGCTGTATCTGTTGATAATCGATATTCTCATCCTCTGCTTCAGATGAGACAGAGAAAACCATTGAAGATGTGCTTGAGACAGACGAAGAGCTTTTTCGTCACTTGCAAGTCACCGTAACAAGGCTGCAATCATGGACCAAGCAAGACATTGAACACAACTTGGACGGTGGCACCTGGTTCACTCATAGCCAAGAACGACCAGATTTTATCGCTGAAATAGAGGATAGATTAGGTCGAGCGCGTATATACGCCGCATTAAACGACGACCCGCCATCTGATGCGGACTCTTTAAGACTGTTGTCAGGATCAAACTCGTCAACGACCTCAATCGCACCCAATAGATCAATCCCCCTCCCAGATGCGACGAGAGACTTAGAAAATGCCTCCAGTTACCGGGCACTCTTTGACGACATATTTAGAGCCACTGTATTCACGCCCACAGAGGAGAGCCCTGTCAATGTGAAGGACACCCGGGAATTCGCAGCTTTCTTCAGCATCCTTCGTTCGTATCACCAAGACTGCGCTCTTCTGGTGAATGACTCCTCCTTCTCCCAGAAGGCTAGCAATTTCACTGTGCATTTTATATCGCCGCCTTTCTTTTCCTATCGCAGTGAACATTTTAAATACAAAGAGTAAGTGGAATAAATTCGTTGTACAGCCCAACTGACGATCATGAATTTTTCAGGCAGACGTCTTGGGAATTTCCCATCTTTCTGAATACTCGGGATAATCCCAACGTCTGGTGCAAGTTCTGCCCAACTAGCGATTGCATGGTTTCGTCTACTTCGTTTCTTTGTCCCTTCATGATCAGTGAAGTGGTTTCACAGAAAAACAAGTCCGATTGACTCCGCATGCTAATTCAAGGCATCGCTCTTGCGCGCGTAGGACAATGTTTCATGTCAGGCGGAGAGAAATTCTTCGTTGTAGCAATTTATCTCCGTGAAAATCTGACCGTCAAAAGATATATTGTTACCCAGCCTGGAGCAGATAGAAGGGTGTGTCGCTCTGTTTCTGTCGCTTTTTGTTTCTTATACGGAGGCCAGGTATTCATTGCCCAGAAAGATTTCGACCTTACAAAAGCCAACGAGGCAGTCTCATTCCTTCGTGAGATGTACAACCTCGCGGAGGAGCTCAATGATTTAGCGGGCAAACTTGAACCAAAGAACGAGAAACGGCTTGGCAACATCAGGGTTGCCGCGTCCAAGGTGATTTCTCTTACATCACAGGCTCAGCGCAACAAAACACCGAGAACGACATTCGCGTCCATCCCTGAAGAAAATCGTGAAACCAGTGGCACTCAGGATGATCTTGGCGTCCTTGATACTGATGACATTCAAGGTATTCTGAAAAAGATGGATTATCAGATCTCGTTCATTGTGTTTGGGGTGTGTACCACCGCAATCTACAACATAGAACACTAATAAGACATCTTACAGCATCCGTTCCTCGCCTTGGTGTCAAATATTGAGGATGATTCTCAACAAGGATATGTCAAATTCTTGAAAGAGGGGCAACAGGAGATCGAAATCCTGCGATACCTCACGGGGATTGACTCTCCCTCAAACTACACCATCTCGCCAGTCCAAATCTGGCCGGTGCAAGGGGGTAACGTCGTATCAATGCCTACAGCTGCCAGCCACCTTACCAGTCTATCCAACCCCGGCGTGCACCTATGGCCTGTGGCCAAGCAGCTATTCGAAGCTGTTGACTTCATGCATCAGCATGGCGTGGCGCATCTGGATCTGAAGCCTCCAAATATCCTCGTCCCCATCGACGGCGGCCGCCTTTCTATCATCGACTTCAACAGTTCCGTACGCATCACGGGCACTGAAACAATGTTCCGCGGAATTGTTGGCACCACGGGATATCTTGCGCCTGAAGTCGCGGCTGGTCAAGGCCTTTACAGCGCGATCCACGCAGACTTGTGGTCTTGTGGAAAGACATTGGAGGAGCTGTGCTACCTGTGCAGTCCATCCAGGGATCGCAATGCGCTACTTGAAATAGCTCGAGAGCTCATGAATGACGACCCAAAACAGCGACCGATGATGTTAGATGTCTTGAAAAGGCTGGTGTATTACAAGGTCGATGCCAATACAGGACCAGGTTACTTCAGGTAATGTGCTCCATCCTTGGCGTGTATCAGAAGATAATGCGAAGATAATTGGATGGACGACTCGATGGCCCAAACGCACTGTATGCCAGTTATACCCTTGTGTAGAAGTAGGAATGTTGGTCATACCGCAATGTACCTATACCTTTCCTAATTTCCTTTGTCAAATGATCTTGGCTAGCCAAGGTTTCTTAATTCAAGTGCGCCGCGCTCTACGTCCCTGAAGTACATACATGGTACTGCCTTCTCTACTCTGCTTCGACGTGTTCTATGCCTGCTTGACCGTCTCTCCTGTTCTCTCCTCTCTCTGCTTGACTTGTCATCATAGCCGTGGAATTTCGATTTCACAATGGTCATTTAGGAAGTAGCTTGACAATTCTGTCCCGCTTGACAATGTGTCTATCCTTCCCGAAATAGCGAGCGGACTCAAAGGACCACTGTAGCGAACCGGCAATCCAGTCCTGCAATCCTTGGACGTAGATAGCCACCTGCTTGTCGACTTCTTCTCCCCATGAGGGAATGATAGCACGGTTGTCTTTGAAGCGTTGAAGGGAGACATTGCATAGCCGATCGCAGTAGTCAATAGCGCCTTGCAGGTCGAGGCCTTGATCGACCATGAGCACAGCAACTAAATTATGTGTGCTACGGTGAGATTGCTCTCTGTTATAGGATAAGATGTCCTGCCAGCAGCGATATCAGTAGTGCCCCAACTTCGATGACAGAATGGGGTATTACATTTGACCAAGAAACAGTGTCATTGGCAGCCTGCTCCAGAGCCATGATGACCGGATGCGAGACTACTTCGTTGGGAAGATCAATTTGACAGGAAAATTCGATAAAGGCAAAACAAGCCATGCAGCCGCTCGAGTCGCGCCTCAATTCGATGTAAGAATCGACATTATGGACATGCCCTTTGGCACGGTTGTCCATCTCCTTTGCCGCAGAGATGAACCACAAGTCCATTCCATGGATGAGGCGCTCTGTGCGACCAGGGCCGCCACCCTCCTTAAAGCGACTGAAGAATCTAAAAATTGTAAGGTAGTTAGCATGTGTGCACGACGAAGAAAAGAAACACACGATTTGCACACCTTTCCACTATATTGTTCCGTCTGGAAGTTGACAGGATCGCGAAACGCAGACATGCAGCAGTCACGTACTCCCCATGCATCATTAACATCAAGCCTATCGATCTTGAGCCAGTCATCCATTTTGAACGACCAGCCCAGGAAGTCCGTGCAGACTTTGAGACGGAAAGCATCTGCATCAGGGTAACAGGCTGAAGCGAGGTAACCTGGGCGTAAGATCATAGTATATTTGGCAGTCTCGGGTTCTACTAGATGGGCTTCGCTACAAAGCCATTGAGCAGAAGCGCGAGATACTGGATAATAGTGAGGGTTTAGTCATATGGGATAGCTGGCAATAACTAAAAAAATCAGGTAAAATGAATTGTGTGGGCTCGGACATAGAGATTGTGCAAATTGCGTTAGAAGCCATGGAGGTTGTCGAGCTTGTGTTTTGAACGTCGAGATGAGTGAATGGAGAAATCAGAGACCTGAGATATAGTACAAGGGCTCTGAAATATCATGCCTTTATACTTATGCCAAGCTTGCTAGCGTGGAACGCCATCAGTGACGGCAACACTAAACAGGCAGACGATACGAGAGGAAGAGCGTGTGATTGTTGATACGGTTAAGATGCTGAGGCTACAGACCGCAGCTACGGGTCTTTATATAGGGATAAGCCTAGTTATTGTTCATGCGCAGTGTCTAATCAATGATCAGCCCAAGACACATCTACGTCAGTGATATGCCATGTCGACATGATGTGTAAGCCAGCGTGCTTACATAGCGGTTGACTCGGACCATTAAATGCTTTTGCAAAGGAGGGACCACCGGTCAGATTATTAAAAGAAAGTGGGTGTATATACTTACCAGTGCCATGTGTTACCCACTCGAATCATAGCCGCGGCAAGGTTTGAATCCTCAAAACAGTAGCCGCCTAAATCCGCTGATATTCCATAGGCAGAAGGTTATCCAGGGCTGTCACAATCTTCAAGCTCTGGATCAACGGCACAAACCCATCCGAGTCTTTCTTTCTCGGCTCCAAACCATAGAAAGCGCAGGAAACCATGGCAGTTCAAGGATAGAAATGTAATTAGTAGGAGATTATGATCGCATGTGGACTCAGTGGGTTATATCAATATTCGCTTGCTTAGTTCTTCCAGGATCTTGTAGCTGCCATAAAATTGTCATACATTATGGTACACATTACACAATACTTGAGTCACCTACTAGGTTTAGATCAACATCATCCGGTGCTCGCTTATGAGTCTGTGTACATCAACGGATATGCAGGCCACAATGAAAACTGTTTCCGGTCGACCGCGCAACTTGAGCACGGGGATTAAAGAAGAAAGTGATATGAGGGAGACAATTGCTTCACTTTGAGGTCAAGCCAATGCGGAGAGAGGTACTGTAGTATTTCGTTCAATTTGACAGTCACGTGTCACATACCCCCTTGTCGAAAACGAAATTTGGCACCTGTCACGGGTCACAAATACATTTGTTGAATCCATCGAGAGTGACAGCGGAAGCAATGTTCAAACGCTAGGTATGTGTCCGGTAGTTCCTATAGCTAAGTAGGTACTTACTCCTAATACAAGCATCCGTATCAACCGTCGTCGTCGTGGCGCCAAAATGAATGTCCATACAGCGTGTTTGGTCGAAAATTTAGAATGTGTCACGGGTCACAGGTGGATCTGTCGAAATGTCGAAAGCACCCCTGCAAAGAATATTTCAGGAAAACCTTGCCTTTTGATCTATGATGGTCATGGCTCACATATCACGAGCGATGTGGTAGAAACGGCAGCTGCAAACAATATTCACTTGTTCTGTTTACCGCCACATACAACGCATAGGTTACAGCCACTTGATGTCGGTGTCTTTGGACCAGTGCAAAAGGCATGGACGAAAAGATGTGAACAGTACTCGTTGAGGACGGGAGAGGGTATGCGGCGGTGTGATGTGGTGAAGGAGTATATGGAGGCTCGCAAAGAATCATTCACAGAAAACACAATCCTTCAGGCGTGGCGGAAGTCAGGAATAAGACCATTGGATCCGGGAATATTCAATGATGATGACTACGCACCCAGTAACTCGACATCGACCTCGGATCAACTGCCACCTTCATTCCCTGCCCAACTGCCATCAGATTGGGATATCCCTTCATCTGAAGATCCTGACTTTGACCCGTCAGCTCAACAGTCCACTTCCCGCAGTGATGTCGTACCTGATTCGGACTTTGATTCCGAGTCGTCAACTTCAGAATCCGCTGATCCAGAACTCAATCCCAACATCAACAGCGACTCTGACAGTGGCGAGATGGATATTGATGAATGGCGGTTGTGCATTGCAGAGCAGGAAAGTGAGTAAACCAGTAAATCAGCACTATCTTAGTACTTAACTGCGCAAATGACATCTAGGCTTCAATTCACAAGAAAGAAATTTTCGGCCACCTACACCTTCAGATACCAATGGAAGCGGCAGTCTCCATTTACTGCGTCAGCGAACTGGACCAGTCACAAGATCGCTCTCAGGCTCACTCTCAGGCTCACGGTCTGCGACCCCATTCAGCAGCATCTCCTTCTCAAATCGCTCCTGGTCCAGTGGTACCTCAACACGAGTTAAACACTATGAAGAGGAAATCGAGCGTCTGCGTGCAGAAAATGAGAGGATGAAGGCGGAAAGTGAGGAGATGAAATGGCAACGTGATAACGCTGTTGGTCATGCGGTAATGTTGAGACGTGACTACAACACTTTGAAGCAGCGACTGAATGCTAAGGAGGATAGGCAACATAGACAGGGAAGAGGTCTGCAGATGCATGGGCTGATGACTAGCGAGCAGGCGCGTCAAAAAATAGCAGAGGAAGATGCAAGACGAGCAGAGAAGAAGCAGAAAGCAGATGCTGCGAAGAAACGCCGGGAGGACAAAGAGGCAGCACGACGAGTACAGCGCAATGCGATGGACGGCACAGAGATTTACACAGGACGGCTAAGTGCCAAGTCAAAATCAGAACTGGAGGATATTGCTACTGCTCTTTCGCTGTCAACCGAGGGCACGAAGTCTGAAATTTTAGAACGCATCAAAGGACACTTGGAGAATACTCCCGACCTACGCCAGGACCACCGCTTTTCTGGTCTTTACACATCTCGTGGAAATCGGGCACCCCATGAGTCAAACGGTCATGCTGGATCTTCAAGAATTGACCATACTGCTCCCATTCAAGCTACACCATCTCAGCAGCTCGTTCCAAGCATCAGTCATGGTTGTATTTCACTTACTTCCATGTTTATTTTGTTGCTGATAATGTCTGAATAGCTATGCATAGTAACGGCGCTCCCTTCTCGAGTCAAGCGGCACAGCAAATGAACGGTCCTTTACCCTTCCCCTCATTTAATCCACCACCTGCATACCCACTCCATTATCCAGGTCGTGAGACACGATTCATGCAGCCAGTGCCAGCCCCAGAAGGGGCTCGTCCTCTTCGAACTTCACAAGACCTCCCACCACAGCTACATGCTGGGCCGTCCACTGGCAGATACATGCCTTACCCCCTGCATGGCCTTCCTGCACCATTAAATAGAGTTTCAGCAAATAATGATCACTCAGCACATCCTAGTGTTTATTACTAGATATTATTCCCTCAATGAAATTTGATTTGGAGCTCGTTATTGAAGCTTGAAGTTATGAACGGTGCGGAACACTGGACTTTCATTCGCTTTGCACGCTGTCGGACTGTGAATATCATTGTGTATTGGCCGAGGTGCCGCGCGTGACATAGTGTGACGAAATTGTGCATTTCTATTGTGTTTTCGACACCTCAACTTCCAGTGCTGCCGCTGCAACAAGCTCGCAACAAAATTAAAAAATTCTTGTTGGGCCTAATGCACAGAGACCTAAAGTATACACTACAGTAGATCCGATACGAATATGTGTTGTTGTTGTGTTGCTATTCAGCAATAAGTGTAAATTGTGCATTTCCCGTCGAATGATAGTACTCTTTGATCAGCGGGCGGTTTGTGTTGAGATCGTTATTTCAAATTAATCGTGTGAAAACTTTATGGACAGTCCCGAGTCCCGACCCGCTAAGCCTCGGCGCCCCCTCGATCGAGGGACATTCCCCTTCCTCCCACAATGACCATTTCTCTGATTTTTGACTTGGACAGTTGGACTGTCCAGGCCCCCGGAAGCTCCAGCCAAGGTCCGCCCGCAAAATAGCATTTTTGAGGGCCAAATATCACAAAATCTCTGTCCGGGTATTGCATTTTTGAGACATCATGACCTGGCAGGTCTGTCCGGGTTTTGCATTTTTGACAGCCTTCAGGGCAGGTCTACAAGATACAAGTTGTCAAGTGGTGAACCATATTCCGACATGTCCCGACTCGAATACACGCCCTCAAACGCCTCACAAAACACAGCTTCTCGTCATCATGCTTCTCGAAGACCTTAAACATCAGATCCGGAAGATGCGGGGTACCGAAATTACGCATACCGACATTCAGGCTCTTCTTCCTTCTGAAAGCCAGAGAAAGATTCCTGGTACAAGTATCAATGCATATGGTGCATGTATCGAAGACGTACGTGAAGATAGAGATTTCTGTATATTCAATTCATGGATTGCACCAATCGCGTCTGGCCAAGTGAAATCAGGGGGTGCTTATGGCACAATTCACGGTCACGTACATGCGTCGGTACGTCCTCTGAGCAGTTGCGGAAAATACGAGATACTGAGTTGAGTGACATTCCACTATTCTCGCGTACTCTCAAGACTTTCGAGCTTCACACTCATGCACCTGCACAGCAACTTATTTACCACTTTAATGGCAATCCGTTCGCGCAGCAACTCCGCAGTCATCTTACTTTGACCGCTGAAGCAGGTGCTCGCTGGGCAACACTCTCTCGGCCATCTGTCAAACGAGTTATTCTTAAACTGCCACCTACCATCAAGATTCCAGCGAGGGGGGCACAAGAAATGAAGAAATGATTTGTATTTGATACATACTAGTAGTATCAATTCTATATATGTGCCTCTGTCGCTCTCTGTCGTCGCCGTCGTCAACGCTGAGCAGCGTGTCACCATCTGTCACAAATTGGCTGGGGGTCACACTATGTCACACCACGTGATTTTGACCTCTGTCCGGAATTGCATTTTTGACGCCAAAAATTCCGCATTTTTGAGGCCGTTTTCAGCTGGTTGGGCGGGCGGACCTTGGCTGGAGCTTCCGGGGGCCTGACTGTCCCACGTAATACTTATTCTGTGCTGTTTGCATCACTCAAACGTCTATCGCTGTCGTGTCCCTCCACAACCTCTGCGCGCACTGCACCTTCACTTCTGAGTTCTTACAGCCTACAAACATCAGTGTTGGGCAAGAAAATGTTTCAGACACAGTTTGCGATGTCCCCACCTTTTCTAAATGAAAGATAGAGCCAATATTTTTCATCACCATGTATCATGATGTATCTGAAGACTTTTATGGCAGCTACTTTGAGTCACCTACGGCCGGTTAGACCAACATCCGCTTGCTTCAGCAGATAGGTGACACGTGTTTAGGTGTTCAAAGGTCCCCTTTATAACCCGAACTGTAAACATGTTTTGGGTTTGACTATAATCCCCCATGATGCTCTTCACTCATATTCTCGCTTTAGGTATTGTTGCCCTGGTATTCGCTTGGGGTCTAACTCGTAGATGTGTCTACCTTTTACCTTTGCTGCCTGGCCCTCGTCCATTACCATTTCTGGGTAACATGCTGCAATTGGATACTAAACGACCTTGGCTCACATATACTGCATGGGGAAAGACATACAGTTCATAGCAGATTGATGGCCTCTTTGCCAAGCTCTCAGAGTCATTTTCATACCTGATCGCAGGAAAAATTATTCGCTCTAGCATACTTGGCATCAACTTGATTGTCATAAACTCTGAAGTTATCGCACAGGAATTGCTGGACAGGCGTTCTGCGAAGTACTCTACTCGCCCCATTTTTCGCACCAATGAATTGTATGTTTTCATTCAATCTGTTCTTCATCAACTGATTATGCAGATCTGGACTGGCTTTCAATACTGCATGACAGTCAATCCTGTGACAGATACACAACATCATTACTCATGGCCGTCACATACAGACACCTCAATTGTGGACAGGAATATCCATTTCTTACCCGCGCACACGAACTCGTTGAGGTTGGCAAATATATTCTTTCTCCCAAGAGGGCTGCCATTTTCACAGCCTTTCCTTTCCGTGAGTGCTTTTGTTGACGACGTAATTTTGGGTGTTCAGCATGAGGTTGCAGTCGAAAAGTTACTGTTTTGGTGCTTCGGTGGGGCATTTTCCCAGATGGGACGCTGTAGAGAATTATCACAACAACTTTTAAATGAGCCCTTTAACGAGGTGAAGGCACAGATAGTACGTTTGTGCAGAGTTAGGGACATCAATTTGCCTGATCTGTTTGCATGAAGGCAAATGGTACTGCTTCACATTCTTTGGTCGCTGACTTTCTCAGTCAAACTCACGATGATGCTGACGAAGACACGATGAAAGCTGTTGCATTGATGACATACATAGGTAAGAGTTTTTCTTTTGCCATGACAGAATTCGTCAATTAATGAAAATACATGGCTTAGGTGGCCTAGACAATGTGAGTTGCTACTTAAGCAGTCCTGATTCTGTCTTTGATGTCCCACAGACTGCAACCGTGTTGCAAATATTCTTGCTGGCTATGGTGTTCTATCCTGACGTCCAAACCTGGGCTCGTGCTGAAATTGATCAAGTTGTGAGGCATGATAAAATGCCGTGCCTTGATGACAGGGCATTGCTGCCCTACCTTGATGCCATCCTACGTGAGGTCTTGAGATGGTATCCTATCTTACCCCTAGGTTGGTCGGCAGTAATATAACCTCGTATTTGCATAGCTGACCCCTTGCACAGGTGCTCCACATGCGCCTTCAGATGATGATGTTTATGACGGGCACTTTATACCCAAAGGTTTGAAAGTCGCACGAGTCCGGGTTACCATTAACTCATATATAGTTTGATCAGGCACAATAGTAATGGTTAATCAGTGGTATGTTATGGTGGAGTGCATGTAATAGCTTGAGCTGAGCACGACTCAGGGCACTGTCCTGGGATGAAGACATTTTCCCCAATGCATCATGCTTCAATCCTAGTCGCTATCTAACAGTTGATGGGAAGCTGAAGGGTCCTTTCATCAACCATTTTGCCTTTGGTCATGGCAGGTGAATATTCCACACTAGCTATTATTTTCAATCATTCACTGACTGTTGCAGGCGTATCTGTCCTGGTTGGCTGATCTATAGTTGATTTGTCGAGGATGACAAATACCCTTCACAGGTCATTGGTTTGCAGAGAACAGTCTGTGGACTGCAGCTGCTGCCATACTCACCATCATGCACATTGATCATGCTAAAGACTCAAATGGAAACAGGATTGAGGTGATGCCAGAGTTCACCACCGGCTTATTGGTGTAAGTAACCTAGTACATATTTAAGAACCTGCAGCTGATTCCGCCGAAGTCACCCTGAACCATTTCACTGCTCGTTTGAAAGCGTAAACACAGCGAGAGAAGGACACATCCGAGCGATGATGAATTCGGAGTAGACTTTGTTGTATTTGAGGTGGTTTATCATATAATAGCACACTGACACGACTGTACAATAGCGTGTAGTGAATCATTTTATTTCTCTTGCGCTAGCTGTCTGCTGTTTTTGTTGATAATCAGGTTACTCTGGCACATCTTTCATTTGATAGCATTGTCAGAAAAAAGTCACAGGCCATTGTAATGCTGCCGGCTTACAAGTTGGGTCATGTGCATTGAAAGGTACATTGAAAGTGCCTTTCAAGGTGGCTGAGGTCATCAAAAGCGTGAGATATTCTTATGCAATGACATCGATAAACAATACATCCATCGTGCAATATCACATCGCCATCAGCATGGGTCCCTCTTGCACTCATCGAAGCAAATACAACTTCTCCGAAGAAACTCTGACAGGGCAGCTTCTATGCCCGCATTGTAGCAAGAAGTTCAAGACCCAAGGCTTCAAGAAGCACGAAACAAACTGCAAAAAGCAGAAGGACACCAAAGCGGAACAAGTGGAGTTTGCCATTCAATATGCACAAGATCAGAAAAGAGGTGAGTCCTCTGCTACCCGCTCTTGATGTTTCCTTTGACAATATTGAGGTATGCAGCTCAGCAGCAGGCTCACACTGACATGGGCATGATAACGCCTCCTAGCGCTGGCCCATTGCAATCAGTTGCTGGGATTCAGAATGTGCCCCCTGCAATCAGGGATCATAGTCCTCTAGGTATGTCTCACATATTCTTTGTGTGCTCCTCCAACACCAACTGACACTAGCTGACCCTGTGCTGCCAGCAGATAACCTGGACACTGGTGATTTCAAAGCCTACAATGGGAACTACAATGGGAACCTCAAAGGTGCTGGTAGCCTAGGTAAGTGTGCACCATATTCACCTGTATTGCTTACTGATTCTTTTGCATAGCCAACAGCCAGCGACATTCTGTTGAACCGCAACCTGCAATACCTCCTCCACAGCCCATGGAATTCAAAACAATGTATCATCCTTCTGCTGGTCGTGAACCACTCCTTCAAACATTTGAAGAGTTCGGTGTCAATTCACATCCTGAGGAAGAGCTCCCTGTAGATGAAGAGCCCTGGCGTCCTTTCTGTTTCCGCGGCAACTTCGAGTTTGTAGAGATCGCACTCAATGCTGCACTCAATAAATCACAAATTAATGCACTCTTTGCGCTCATTGGTCACATATCGAGAGGAGAGAGCTGGGTAACTTTTTCAAATGATAATGAGCTGTGCAAAGCTTGGGAACACGCAGCTGCTCAGGTGACACCAGTATGTCATTAATAAATCTCACATTTTGTATGATATATGTTGTGAATTAGTTTGTAAAACACAACATCACCGTTCCTTACAAAAAAGAACAACAAGTGTATGAGACTCACGCGCTGCCTCTGTGGGACTGGGCTCTTGATTTGTTGGCTAATCCGCTGCTTGCTCCACATTTTGTCTGGGATGCACAATGAGTTTTCAAGAACAATGGCAGGAAGTTTGAACACTTTTACAATGAGCCTTGGACGGGTGATCGATGGTGGGACGTCCAGGCATGTAATCTTTGTTAATATCACTATCTACTCTCACTCAGCATCAACAAATCAGAGTTGCCTTCCAAGTGACATTAAGGCCGCTCCATTCTGCTTCATCCTGTATGTGGACAAGACAAGACTGTTGTCCCATGGTACAGTAAAGGGATATCCTGTCGTGGTCCATTGCGCGAATTTGCCAGTTGGCATACGGAACAGAGAGGGCATTGGCGGTGGTCGTGTTGTCGGGTGGTTGCCAATTGTACGTCAACATTCTGATCAAATCTTCTGACATGACTCATTATAGTTGCAGGTATCTGAAGATGCAGACGAAGAAGGCAAGCCAGGCTTCGTAAACCTCAAGCGTGTCATATGGCATGAGGCATTCTTAAAACTGTTGGAACTGGTCATGCAACACTCAAAGTCTGGTTATTCACATACTTGCTATGACAAGATCGCACACTGGTTGTTTCCCATTATTCTGATACTTTCTGCTGATTATGAAGAACAGTAAGTTCTATATTCTTACACATGTCCACAATCTGATATTAGACTGTTTTTAGATGTATGATGTCTCTCATTTGTGGCCACCATAGCAAATGTCCCTGTCCAGTATGTCTTGTACCGCTCGAAGAACTTAGCGAGCTATCAAAGACATTTGCATTTAGAACAGTGGAAGAAGCAATAGCCGCACTCAATGTTTACAAGGTCAGCAAAACTCGAGGCGAGGAACTACTCAAGGCATTAGGATTGCGTGCTGTCACAGTAAGTTATCGGCAATATTCACTCTCTCGTTTCGCCTCCATGTTTTCGTTACTGATATCTCATCAACAGAATGTTTTCTGGCTCATTGCGCACTCTGACCCTCATCAAGCCATCAGTTTTGACCACCTTCATGCCCTCCATCTTAGTATGTGGAGGCACCTACTCGAGGAGTTGAAGAAAATCCTCAAAGCGCTTGGATGTGATGAAGAGTCAAAGGTCGAGAAACAGTAAGTCATTCACATCGCGATTCTCGTCAACTCATGACCTTCGGTAGGGTTGCTAGTTTCCCTCAATGGCACAATCTTAATCATTTCAGCACCATCATCCACATTACCTTCAGTGATGGTAACAAGATGCAAGATCTATCCAAGGTACGTATCATGAGGCTTTTGGCTTTCTAATACTAACTGACGTGCAGCAAGCCTTCTATTCTGCAGTAAATGTCTTGAACCAGAGGACCAGCCCAGAAGGGTATAAACTTCTTCGTGTCATTAGTAGCTATCTGCAATTGGATAGCCATATTGGTCTCGACGTGCATACGTCAAGCACACTGGCAGCAATTGATGCTGAACTACTCGTTTTTGATAGCGCACTCAAGGTAAATGTTTTGTTCATTCACTTTTTAAATAGATTGTTGATCACACATTCTAGGAATACATCGAATGTGCTCTCAATTCTCCCATCGTAGGTCTCAAGCTTGACTGGGACTTTCCAAAGGCGCATCTCTGGAAGCACGCAACTAGGGACATCCAAATGAAGGGTGCAGTACGCAACTACAGCACCCGTCCGAATGAGAAGCTTCATGGCCCCCTCAAAGAGGCCTATGAGCGCCAGTCAAATGGAAAGGATGTCACTGACCAGGTATGTTTCTAACATTATAGCATCTGATGTTCACTCATGTAAAGATCTTGTTAGATACTGCGTGTTGACATGCGCAAATTTGCAGCCAAAATGTTGAGAGCGCACGTGGACGTGCTTGACGAGCGGCACACATTGGCAGGAGAGGGCAATGATGATGATGAAGACCCAAATCCTGTTGCTTTCGAGGGGCACATCAAACTTGGTTCGACGCAACAGCCCGTAGCCATCCAAGACATCGAGACCCACAGTGGCCAATTGGATCGTGCGTTTCAAGGCTTTCGTAAGAAGTTTTCCGATTTTATCAACAACTCATTACCGACGTATGGATATCGACTAGAAAGATGGGTCACCATACCGACAAACTTCTTGGCGAGTTGATCTTGTTTTAGTATGTGTCTTGTACTGATTTATGTATTTCTGAACCAGATTCGTGAACATCGCTTTCTCAAAGTTCACTACAAGTCTATCATCGACTGGAAGCAAACTACCGACTACCTTCGATGCACTCCAGGCTTCCATGGGCAACTGCACTATGACTGCGCACTTATACAACTCGCCCAGAAAGTATCAGTCTTTGTTCGCCTTGTTTTCATATTCAGTTGTCAGCTTCTGGATGTTGGTTCCTTCGAGTTTGCACTGGTTCAGCCATTCACTGCTGGCATTGGTGCTTCTTGCAGGTCGGACTGTGATCTATGACTTACTCATGTCAAATCTGTCCCAAGGGCAAGTTCGATCTTCATTCCAGTCCAGTCTTTCATTTGTGGTGCTGTTTGTTTCCCTGATCCTGATCACCGAGATGAATTCCTTGTGGTTGACCACATCGATAGTGACATGTTTGTGTGCATGAAGTCACGTCCAGCATGCCAGTGACCAGCTCCAATGTCTCCTTACTTCACCTCTATCAGTCTGAATTAGAACTACAGTGTCCAGATATGTATGTAGATCTCTCTTTTCTTAACATCATCTCATCTGACTGCACTCAGCTCCACTCTCCCATATCTCCAATGACACAGCCATCTCCTCTGCCCACACCATGCACACCAAATCCGTACTCAGCTCCACTCTCCCATATCTCCAATAGTTCTTGCACCATGCAAGTCTATTTACTGGACCACCACAAGACACTCTTGATTCGTGTCACAGGGCCTCAAGACACGTGCTTTGCAAGCGACGTCATCCGATAAGCTTTTGTGGTTGCAGAACGAGTTGATGCAGGGTCTAGAGCTTGCTAAAATGCTCCTTTCTCGAGAAAATCTCAAGCATGACTACACGCAGCAAACACAAGTTTCCCTCGTTGGGCACTAAAGAGGACGAGGAGCTTCTACTTGACAAAGAGAGAGTAGCAAAGAAACCCAAGATCGAATCCAATCGTATCACTGGACTCAAGATACATACAAGAATCTGTCCCACTGTAAGTCCAAATTGTCGTGTTCATTAGTCATTTGATAGTAATTGGTACTGAAGTTAAAGTACCTGCAGCTTTTATTACATGTCGACTTTGCCAAGGCTGAACTAAACACGCCGCATGTCAACAGCAAGGATGGCAAGATGCTGCGGAGCAACTGGTTCTGTGCAGGGTCACGTTTTTATAACATGGAACCAGGCAAGTGAAATTGTTGTGTCTCATATCTCCACTGTTCAGACTTAAATTTCTTGTGTCTTAGTTTAATTGTCATGCCCCAGGCTGGATATTCCTCAGACGACTTCACAGCAGAACTCAATGCTATTGAGGATACTGAGTCCAAATCTGGAAATGATGAGCAAGACAACGAGTTTGATGCCCGGAGCGATCTCAACACCCTGAGGATGGTCTTGACAATGCCTCAGCCTGACGTGCCCATGCACGAAGTCCGCAGGGTGAGTTCACTCATGCTGCCATTCTCTTGGTTCGGTTGATGTAGCAGTTGAATCTCTAGGCACTAGAAGTGGCGCAACAAGCATATACTGCTGTTCGGTCTGAGTTGCGCGCTCTCAAGAAAGACCACGCTATGCTCCAGGCTGCTGTCCCTGCATGCAGCCGAAACCGAGTCCTTAAGAAGACATCAACCATCGACAATGACATTGCCCGTGCGGGCAAGATGTACGCCATGCTCAACTACTTTTGGGTCATGAGTGGGCTCTTTCCAACAAAACCCCAGCCAGACATTGATCCACGCAGCGACATGCGTTGGTCTTCACCTGAAGCAAAACTCAATGGCGTGATGTTACAAGAACATCTAGACGCTTGGGCCCCTACTATTTTTCTCCTGATCCTCCTCATATCAGCCCTCGCATCATACCCTTACCCCGACCTTACCCTTGTCATCCTCGTCATCCTCGCATTCCCTTTCGCCCTCTACCTGTCGCTTCAGCAAAGCCAGTACATTTGGCCGGATCCTTTCGCTGACGAAGCATACCCGTGCTCCGTTTCACCACCTGACTGATCCTGAGGACAGTCCCCTTGCCCTTACCGTCTGGACGGTAACCTATGACAAGATGCACGACGCATCCCCTTTGCCCTATTCCCTTTCTTGATCTCTGACTCGGTGCGCAGTCGCACATGTGACTTATACTTAGATCCGCAGCTGCACGATCGTGCCTCTGCGCGTTCATTTCTTATTCCGATCTTTGACTCACTTTCTTATCAGGCACGTTCTACCTCGACCAAACGTGCCTTCCTGTTATGGTTATACCCTTTACCGATTGCCTCTCCCGGTAGTACGAGTTATCACCCACTAATACGTCTCCTGTCCTCTATATAAACTCGCTACCATGTACCATATTCCCTAACTTGAATCTACTTGGTTCTTGACCTCCTACTCTCACCAGAGTGCTCCTTCTGCCTCGCCAGCAGTCTATATTCTATCTTCTTATCTGCTCCTCGCGGATAAGCCTATAGTCTCGATCTTTACTCATCGACTTCGTCAACGAGCAAAGCCCCTGTTAACTAGTCGGACTTCTGTCCTTCTAAATTAACGACGATCCTTACGATTAACCTTCGGGTGTCGTAAGCCTAGGCCGATATAGCTTATCGTCTCGCACCCGCGTGACATAAGCTACCCGATTTGGACATAGGCGTCAAATCGTACTTGCCGAAGACACGCCAAGTACGACCCCTAACCTTGGGCTAGCCCAAGGACGTCCTCGACCGTTGACGACACACGCTCTGTTTGAGTGTCGCCAACAGATACCATCCAAGTCGTAACACGTGATGGCTGAGCTTTATCAGTGCATACCCAAGGCTTTGCATAAACCAATGGAGACCTACCCACAGTTTGGATCAGTGGTATGTCCGATTCTCCCTCTGTCTGCGCATCAACACTTATGTATGAGATACTCTAGTTTCGTGCTGCGGTTAATTCCGAGAGGTCAAACATACTGCATAGTCTCAAGGACTGTGCCGGTTTGATCTTCTCTTCATTAAAACTTGACCTGACCGTCTTCACTGACGAGGCTGCCAAAAAGAAGGAGAATGCGCAACTCCTTGCTCTTTTAAAGAAGGATGTCGGTGGCGAAAAGTATACACGTCTAGCCCCCATTCTGTTCATGGATCCTTCTGCTCTAGTTCCAGATGCCTTCCTCAAAACACCAGTCATGGCCAAGGTGAGTGATGTATTCAGCTGCTGTCCAAGCAGTACATTAGGGCTGACTCCGTCCCTCAGATCATCCGAGTTGAAATATTCGGGAAGGCTTCGCTGTCTGGGAAGACCAAAGGTCATCTGAAGGCCAGGGGTCAGTCGTTGGTCTATGCAGTGTGTCACAGAAGGTCTGATCGCAGGTGCTGCTATTGTGGTGAGCGCATTATAATCTTCTGACTTTTGCATGCATGCTGATCTTGTCTCGTTCTCAGGCGCATTTCTTGTTAACGCATGATCAAGAGCTCACAGCAACCGGACCAGCCACGAAAATTGATTATGCACAAGACTTTGATTTTTACTTAGAGCGACTATTCAAGCGCAGCCCATGGGCTACGAGTGTGATCAACTATTACAACCAGGAGGTTTTTGGCACGAGCTCAGTCCTAGCTACTAGTGGTACCCCTACTCCACCCTCTGCCTCCCAACCTCACACCTGGGAAGACGACTTCTTACAGCAGTTAGAAGATCCTGCCTCCGCACCACAAACCATCCCCATTCCCGCACCACAACTTCTGTCATCTTCACACATCATTTATGCTCCGACTTCTGCGAGTCATGCTGACATGAATGCAGTCGCCACTGTCAACTACCAGACTGCAATGTCTATCAGCAATCCGGGAGGGCCCGCCACCACCACTCAGCTCCAACTCGAAGTTGACATTGGTGAGCTCTCACTGGATGGCACTAGAACTGACTTGGCGCCATCTGCATCCAAGGGTGGTAGGGTGTCTGTGGCTCAACGTCAAGTTACCGCTCAGGCTGCTCAGACTCTGGTGGACTCGGACGTGGTCCCTGTTGTTCCTTTGGCTCCTCCTCCAGCACTCAAGCATGTTACATGCAATGGTGGTGCCAAACCGAGGAAGGTGTCGGGGAGAAAGAAATTTTAGTGGAATCTGAGTCTCGCTTTATTAATTTGTTGAACCTGTCGCCCTCTGATTTGTTTACATTTACCTACAACTATAAATGCTAACTCCAGCTTACCCATTGTCACCTTCCAACAGCTATTAATTCTTGGACGCCCCCGCCCAACAGCACATTGCACATCTCTTGATTCAGCATTTAAATGATTACTAAGTCATAAAATTGCATCCCAATTAGGGTAGTATAATCACAAGGCCAAACAAGTTGAGCTCTATTCTGATCAATGCTTCTATTGAGTCTTCTTTCATTTCAACCATTTCCACCTCTGAACAGACGTCGTCATCAACTCTGAAGATTCCATCGACTACTCGACTCTTATTTATCTCAATCCATGCATTAATACCAACACTCTCTCTTGAGGCAATTCAATGCTTGTCCATTGAAATCAAGTCTATCAATATGGTGCATCGTCAATGTTAAAATTTTTCTCCTTCTCAACGACGAGGACATCTCGATCCCTAGCCACAGTTGACCACTTCTGCCTCCTTGTGAGTAGCGCACAGTGCTACAACTGTCACACAACTGCAACTCCTCAGCGGAGGAAGGACGCTGAAGGCAAGAACCGTTTGCAACGTGTAAGTTCTCATTTTTTGTTCTTCTATATTCATACCGATATCTTATATACATGCAGATGTGGTCTCTACTACAAGCTTCACGGCTCTGCTCATCCCATTAGTATGAAATCCGATATTATTTGGAAGCGCTCTCGACATGACGCTCGTGCACTCTCCCTCCCCCTCTCAGACATATCAATCCAACTGTCATCCGTCCCTGTAACTGACCAACTCAAAAATTTCCTTCACGCGACCTCACAAATGCATTCCTACGACAGCTTGCATATCCCATTCATCATAACCACCTCCCTCGTTGTCCTCCTCCACACGAGCCTCGCAGTGCTGCACACACCAACCCTCCTGCCACGTGTAGGCATGCATACTGCTGCCTATGTCGGTGTCTTGGTCGGCCTCATGTCCTTTTTCACAGGCTTGGCTGTTTGGGGGGTGTTGTCTTAGGTTTGCGCAGGCACCACCTCTACCTCCTCGACCCACACTCTGAATCGCTACCCAACCTTCGCACCTCGCCTCACCTCGCCATGCCTTTTGCTTCTCTATTCAGGACCAAGCCCATGACCTTCAGCCAAGAAATACCACCTGCCAGATTACTATAATGTGAGTATTACGATCACCATTTTTTTACCTGTATCGTGATCAGTACAAATGCGACCAATATTGCTGTTTTTTACTACTATTATCATTATAATATTACTATTATTATCATTATTTGGGAATTCCAGCAAGAGCATCGAAATACAAGCGACGAGTCTTGAAATTGTCTGAATTTACCTTGCTACCGTTTACAATGCTTACACTATCATTTCATGGCCTTATAATGTTAGGCTCATCACACGCCACCCAGGATCATTACAGTGCCTTAACATGATTTGGACAGACATTATAAGTGCCTTGAAATTTTTTTCGTACACCATTAACATGCATTATAAGTGTACCGTGTGAAAAGATCCCTTAAAATGTCTTAAATTGAATTCGAAGGCTCGCTGGAAATTTCCGACAGTGTGGTTCAGCATCACCACCCATCACATTCTAAAGGATGGCGATAAGTACTCCTGGCGTCTTTTTGGTGGAATTCATAACACTCATGCGAGCTACGATTTGAGAGCCGTTTCGTCATTCCTTCTTCTCCTGGAGCCTACATCATTGACTTCTTCAATTTCGGCCGTTCGTCATATGTGGATTTGTGCGCAATATTCCAGCGCTTGCTCTTTGACCATCATGTATCACCTTCCATGGTCTTTTTTTCTTCATTCCTTCATCTTAACTGCTTGGCACGAGATCTTAAGAACTCGCAGGCCTGCACGGCGAAGTAAGTCTTATGTCTATTTCATTTGTCAGTACTTTAGATTCACACAAGTCAGTCTTTAACTTCGTAATTCGATTAGTATATATGTACCTCTTCCAACGTTCGTGATCTAGAACGCTGAGTATCCCTCAGCTGCAGCTGATTGCGCCTTGCAAGCCTTATCACCTCGAACTATGTTCTAATACATATTCATACAACCTGGTTTTTTCTCCTCATCCTGGCAGCAACACCTTAGGGGACCTAGCAAATACGACTGTCAACACACCTTCTACATTTCTCAAAGAGACAGGAAGCCAGCTCCCAGAACTTCCCGACGACTGCAAACCACCAACTGAGCTCTGTGCTCGACACCGCTTCTCTGCCTTCTGCCAGCTGATTGTTGGCCTGTGGCAGGAGGTGAGAACAGCTGTGAGAAGCGAAACGATTGCTTGGCCGTTTAAGAGGTGGGATCTATGTCGGTGTAAGTATAGTGGCGGTACGGCAGATCATGGACTGTATATGAGAGACGTCTTCCAGGATCTTGGAATCAGGTCAATTAATCCGGCAATGGCAAAGTTTGCTGGTGAGTACGAGAGCCTATCTCCTTTCAATTTGATGCTTGTCAGAACAAACCAAACCGTGACTCATGAGAAAGTGTGCTTACAGGATCGAATTAAGACTCGATCCTCATTTATGAGACAGCATATGCAGGTGCTGCAAAATCAAGAGCACGTAAGGAATTTGAGTGGGTATCACAAGCTGCTGGTAAGCATCTGGTCAGTTCCCAAACTGCAGATGAGTCTAGAGCATTATACAATGTACAGGCGAGACCACATCTTGAGATGCCTTGTGTTCGAGTCTGTTATTTGATGTTTAACATCAGCCATTGTCAGTAAACTCACAATATGGTACCAGTGGGGAGGTTCCTTAATGAGCTACGGCGTGTAAGTTGACGGTAGTAAAATGAAACAGGACTGGTGAGTGGGTCTCAAGAAAGTCGACAGTGCAAATGAGGAGGGGAGGAGGGACGTTGGACTTCTGTTGCCGGAACATTCCGACAAGCTGCTGACATTCATTGACTACTACTTACATCATCTCGTTTTGGCGGGGAATAGTTGGTCTACCGTCTCGGATCTCCGTGTCTTCTTATGAACTAGGCTCGTTACCAGCCTGGCTTATGAACGCTATTGGCCGTACTAGTAGCCTTCGATTAGTACTAACCATATCTTCCCTCACTAACTTCCGCCTGCGATCATAACATGAGGATTCAGACTCATCACAAACTTTGACCGGGCATGATGGCCGCATCAGTCACCATGCCAAACAACTATGACCGCTTTGATCGCATGTGGGGCCCCAGTCTAGCTGCTCACGCATATAATGTCCAGGAGAGGACTCCTCTTAGACTTACCAATATCTTATCGCTCACTACACGATCTCTTACTCTTCCTCAGCTATCCGCATGCTCATATTCACCAATGTTACTTGGTTGGACCTATGTCTTGCTAGTGCCGGAGTGTATCTGGTCATGCAGGCATTCAGCAAGAAGAACCCTGCACCATATCCCCCTGGACCTCCGGGGTGGCCTCTCATTGGGAACATCGCAGACATGCCTCACAACAAGGCCTGGCTCACCTTTGCGAAGTGGGGCAAAAAATATGGCGAGTCCCTCATGTTTCTCAACACGGTGTATTCTAATTCCATGCTGTGCAGGCGACATCTTGCATGTCGAAGTTCTGGGTCGGCACATCATTGTACTGAATTCCGTCAAGGCAGCGATTGATTTGCTAGATAAGAAAGGATCCATCTACTCTGACCGTCCAGTCTTACAATGGCTGGTGAACTTGTTGGCTGGAAGTACGGTTTGGGTTTTCTCTCTTATGGTGACCGTTTCCGCTATTACCGCAAGAACATACACCGTGTCATCGGCAGTTCGCACTGTTATGAATGTATATGAACCAATGGAGGAGATCGAGGTTCGCCGATTCCTGAAGCGCGTGTTTGCACAACCCGAGCAACTGCAAGCACATATCCGACAGTATGTAGTACTTGTCATTGCACAAATGAGGTCTTGATTTTTTTTAGCACTGCTGGCGCTATCATTTTGCGAATCTCTTATGGATATGAAGTGAAGGATAACAATGATCCCTTCGTCGACCTTGCAGACCGCGCAATGGACCAATTCTCGCAGTCCATCGAACTTGGCGCCCTTCATGGTTGATAACATGCCATGGTGTAAGACTACGGCGTTCTGACGTTTGCCATGAGCTGAATACCTCTAGTGGCCAATGTTCCCGAGTGGTTTCCTGGTGCTGGATTCAAGTGCCTGGCCCGTGAATGGCGCCAGACCGTCAAAGAGACTGTTGATGCACCATACAAGTTCGCCAAGGATCAGATAGTAATCAACATCTACAGTTTGATGATCACGGGTTGAACATATTACAGGCTGCCGGAATTGCCCCAATGTCTTACACCTCGAATCTGTTGAAAGGTCGCACTTTGTCTGCGGAGGAGGATCACATGGTGAAATGGTCTGCTGTTTCTTTATACACTGGTGGTTCCGACACGGTTAGCTCCTCCCAGACCAATCATCATGTTTTGAAACTAACATCTGTTTCCACAGACGGTTTCTACAATCTATTCTATTTTCCTGGCGATGACACTGTTCCCTGATGTGCAGAAGAAAGCTCAGGCTGAAATAGATGCTGTTGTTGGCACCGATCGTCTTCCCTCCTTCGCAGACCGCGACTCCCTCCCCTATATCGAGGCCCTTGTGAAGGAATCCCTACGCTGGTTTGCTGTAGGCCCTATTGGTATGCATTTGTTGTATTCTTTTCGTTACGGAGCGGTATCAATCGCCTAAAGACAGGTATCCCCCACTGCGTCTCTGAGGACGATATCTATGACGGATACCACATTCCGAAAGGGTCCATGATCATCCCTAACATCTGGTTGGTGCTCGCACTTGTGTAGATTCGACGTGATAGAATTGCATGCCAGGTTCATGCTCAATGACCCGCATACATATACTAACCCCTCGCAATTCAACCCTGAACGTTTCTTAGATAATGATGGAAGGGGTCCCGAGCGCGACTCTCGCACGATCTGCTTTGGCTTCGGTAGACGGTACGCATAAAGTTCATTTGAGTGAAAACTCAACTTTCTTCTCCACAGGATCTGCCCTGGTATGTCCAACTCAGAGAAGCATCCTCAATTAAACAGTATTGTGATGTTTGCTTGCATGTGCAGGCATTCACCTCGTTGACGCTTCCGTCTGGATATCTATCGTGATGTCGCTCGCTGTGTTTGATATTTCCAAGATCGTCGAGAACGGCGTTGAGCACACCCTGAGGTTCACTACTCACGAGGCGCGATCAGGTATGTCGCGCATCCTATCACGTTCGTAGTGCTAGTTTGGATAGACGAATTCCCAGCCATCCCAAACCCTTCAAATGCTCTATCAAGCCTCGCTCTCCGAAAGCTATTGCGCTCATTCAGGAAAATGTTAACCATTAAAGGCACGAAGATGATTCTTGTTGTTCAAATCTGTCATGCATTCCAATATCATACATATCTTATGTCATTATACTGAATCTATGTTACTCATGCAGGTGTGGTGTGCATTAATCTAGTAGTATCGGAGAAGTGGTGCGGATAGGCTTCTGCTTTGCTCTGAAAAAAATGGCCGAATACTGCGACAATCTTACAACCTGGACAGGGCTATGTACAGTTGACCTTGTGCGAAGGCCAAGTACAGCGCATCCGGGAGGATGAGTCCTTGGTAGTTGTTGAACGTCGTCGCATATGCAGGTCGTAATGGAAACTGTTTATGACTGACGGTCCAACGCAAGCGGGGTTAATGCAAAGCTATTTCGTAATTCGAGCCATACCTTAGACGCCTCCAGCTTCGACCTCAACCAGAGAGCATCTCGTTGAGCTGCTCACCTAGATCAGGCCAATTTGGGCCTTCCTCGTCGTCAGACGAGTCAGACCCCTCGTAGTCTTGAATTGCGTTCTTCAGCTCGAGAACAGAGTTGTAAACGAATTGCAAATCCGACCCACTGCGACCAGAGATTTTACGCTTCTGAGAAGACACGAGGGCAACGAAGTGGGGATCAAGAGCTTGGTGAGTTCAACGCTTTATAACTCTCCTATATGTGGTGAGGATCACCTCGAACTTTACACCTAGAAGTCACGTGATCTTGATCGCACTTGGAGGAATCCCGGCGATCGAAATGGCAAGGCCTACGATGAGTTGGGTGAGCAGAATGCGAATGGCCAGCCGCATGCTTATTTTGCTGTTTAAAAAATGATATTACCGGGGACGACGTTCCGGAATGCGAATCTTTAGTTTGTTTACCAGGAGCTGCATGAAGGTCTGAACTTTGCGAGTGAGAAATAGAATATGTCCGCTCAACGAACGACACACCAAACAACACCCCAAATTCCAAACCTGTGGGCAGTGATCGACGAATCGGAGTCTACCTCAAAAGACCATCGAAGTCGGTTCGAACGAGGATAGATGGGTCCAGTGCGCAGATATGATAGTATCCGATCTGTTTAAGGCTGCATGGGATGAAGCTATTGTGCTAAGTCACATAAGAAAACACGCACCGGGACCCGCGCGTGTCTTCTTGCGCATATTCTGACTCGATGTCGCCTTTTCAGGATACAGGCTGTGTGGAATGCCAACAGTATCAGTATCGGTACTCGGATTCGTGGAGTTGTTCACCAAGGATGTGCCATCATGGTGAGTGCCAATACTCCACTGACTTCGACCTGTGGTAAATGTATCAGTGGAGTCCCAAACAGGTACATTTTCGACAGGACGAAGTCAGTTTCCTTCGTGCGAAAGTCGACAGACCGCCGTCCAGAGGAACAAAACACTTCTATCAAACCCTGAACACGACAGAATGGGAGAATATGTGGACCCCGTGATCAGAAACAGAGTGGAACTCAGTGATACAATTCGGGGACGAAGCGTGTCGCAAGATGGAAGTTCTGGCCTTTGTGCAACTGGGCGAGAATCGGCGGCGAGAGCTTGATTTGCTTGAGTTAGTATAGTTGGGAAGACAATGAAAGGTGGGAGTAGCATGCGCGTTTGGGTGTCATCATTGACACATGTGATGCCTTGAACAAAGTTGTTGAAAGGACCGTATTACTAGTAGAGCTTTGGTAATATAGTCCAAACGTCGGAGAAAACCACGTACTCGCTGAATTTCAAAGTTTCGGTTCCTTCAATAACAGTCACTATATGTAAAACTTGAGACTGACTGACATTGCCAGCCAGAATCGCCCATGACAAACACGTCGTACGTACTACCGTATCAATCGGTTCTACTACATAAGTGAGTTATTATTGCCACTTGCTCACACAACTTTACAAATATCGCTCGGACAGCCCACAATCGATATCATAAGGTAAGTACTCAGTCCTCGATTCTCTGCCTGCACCATGCATGTTGACCCTGTTATTTTGTTGCTCATTAACGAGACGCAGCTTTCGGGAGCGGTTTCACATCGACTTCTAAGCTGCCTCGACCTCCCCGATGAGTCGGCCCTCTTGGTGAGTTTCGTAGATTGTATTGCCTCATCTGATCTTCAATCTATATAGAAGACTTGTATCGTATCATCTAGGAATGACTGTCTTCTATTTGGTCTGCTGCGGACTACGTATTGTTAACGTTGGTACCATACTATTAGCTCAGCTCTCAGGCCGAGCCAGGAACTGCCACGTCAACTGTTCTAGTAAGCCGTGGAACGAGTGCGGACACAACGACGCATTTAGAACGAGTTACGACTCATGACTCGTACAGCAACTGCGGAAGCGCCATGTACCCACGGTCAACCTGCGACTATAAGAACCTGCCCTTTGACGATTCACTTCTCTTCCCATACAATCACGAACACAACATAAACATTATTAACAGTCATCATGAGTAACCCTTCACGAGGCAGAGGCGGTAATCGGGGCGGCTTCCCTGGTGGCCCTCGAGGTGGTGCTGGTGGGTTCAGTGGAGGAAGAGGCTCAGGTACGAGGGGCGGATATGGCGGTGGTTCCAGAGGGGGAGTACCAGGAGATTTGATCTTCCGGGGCCCTGCGTCTGTAGACCAACGTCTCGCTACCTTGGATGACCTAGTCTCTTCCTTCAATAAACTCAACTTCAACCCTGAGCGCCCTCATCGGCCTGGTTTTGGTACCCTTGGCCGTCAAATCACATTGCGTGCCAATTTCTTTCCTGTTAAACTCCCTAAAGGACCCATCTACGACTACCGTGTCGAGATTACGCCGTCCACAGACATTAAGCGCATTCGTGCACGCCTTTTCGAACTCCTAAAGCAAAGCGATCAAGACGGCTGGAAACAGTTTGTGCCGTTCATCGCTCACGACAGCAGTCAGAAGCTTGTATCGAACAAGAGGTTGCCTCAGCCCCTTGATGTGCAAGTTCAATATTACGAGGAAGGAGAAGCTGGTCCCAATGCTGGATCCAAGACGTATACTTTCGCAATAATCCACACGGGCGACTTGGATGTCGCACAGCTCACTAAGTAGGTTACGGAAAGCTATTTCATTGTTCTCGCGTCAACTCATGATATGTAGGTATCTCAGTGGCGATATCAAGTCACGGGACTATGACGTCCAGCCACTGGTAACTGCTATGAATCTCGTACTTCAAACGCATGCAGCGCGTACCGGTGTTCGTGTGGGCAAGAATCGCTACTTCTTCCCCTCGCAAGAGCAGCCTGAGCCTCTTGCGCTTGGCATAGAGGCCGTGAGAGGCTTCTTCACGTCCGCCAGACCTGCATATAACGAACTCATGGTGAATGTTGGTGTCTGTATGACCGCCTTCTACACGCCAGGCAATCTTGCAGAAGCCATCATGGCGTTTCTACGGTCGTCCGATGGCGCCGTGCCGCAGCGGTTCATCCAGAAACTAAAGGTGACCACTAGACACCTAGGGTACACGCAGAAGAAACCGATCAAGAAGATCATGCCAATGAGTGCCAGACGGACTTTTTTCCACTGCAAAGAATACAACGGCAAGATATCTGTTGAAGAGTATTTCAAGAGAAGTTCGTTTCCTTTACCACATTCTTTATTCACTTGCTAATTTTCAGCAGAGTACCCCCACATCACGTTGAGGCACGCAGACGACCTTCCAGTGGTCGACATCTCAGGTCCGAATTCGAAATTCTCCATATACGTACCAGCCGAGCTATGCGAAATCGAGCCCGGGCAACCATTCAGAGGGCGTCTCAATGATAAAGAAACTTCGAACATGATTCGCGTCGCCTGCAAGCCGCCAAAAATCAATGCAGATACCATCATCGAACGCGGTCTCCCCACTCTTGGGTTTACTCCCGAGACGCTGGGAAGTCCTCTGAGTAGCTTCGGCATTACGGTGGACAACGACATGGCGGTCATTCCTGGACGTGAGCTTCCACCACCTCGCCTCACTTACGAAGCAGGAGGGAGACCACTTAACGTCAGCAATGGCAGTTGGAATATTCTTGATGTCAAGTTTCATAACGGCGGGGCCATCAAGAGTTGGTGGGTTTTTGTCGTCAGAGAGAAAGACGGACGAAGTGTGTTCAGCGGGGCCGACGACCCGATTCTAACCAATCTTTGGAAGGGCTTTGGTGAGAAATGCCGCAATAGCGGAATCTCACTGCAAACACAACCCGTCAAGCTTGCCCAAGCGCTCGTCCCTCGCGCCGAAGACCCTAGCAGGCAGCAAGCGCTAGACTCGATTCGTCAAAAGATCAAGGAGAACATTACGCAGAAAGGAAAACCATCATTCATACTCGTCCTCCTCTCTCGCCGGGACAACTTCATTTATCCGGGCATCAAACGGATTTGCGACGTCGAGCTGGGCGTCCACACCATACATATGCTTACGGATAAGGTGGTAGGAAAGGACGCCAAAACAAGATCAATACTTCTCCAATGTCGCTCTCAAGGTGAACACGAAACTCGGAGGTATCAATCACGTGTTGGATCCAGACAGCATGAAATGGTTGACGAAGGCCAAGACGATGATTGTGGGCATGGACGTTACGCACCCCGGCCCTGGCAGTGTCGAAGGCACACCATCAATTGCCGCTGTTGTTGCGAGCGTTGATAATTCGTTCGTCCATTTTCCAGCGAGTCTCAGATGTCAGGAGACCAAGAAAGAGGTAGGCTATGACCGAATATTATCGCTCTAACTCTCATCTCTTCTTTGTAGATGATCACGGATCTGAGTGATATGATGATAGAACGGCTCAGGTTTTATGCGGAGAAGAACCAAGCGCTACCAGATCGAATCTTTGTTTACAGGGACGGTGTGTCCGAAGTGAGATAGGTTTGTCTTGCATTCTTGAAGTTGCTTGCTAACATCGAACGCATAGGGTCAATTCAATACTGTGTTGGAGGAAGAGCTTCCTAAGATCTTGGACGCATTTAAGAGAGTCCCGCAGAGGAAGCCGTATCGTCCATCGTTAACGATTATCATCTGTGGAAAGCGACACCATGCCAAGTTTTGGCCGACCGACTCTCAGTTCGCGGACCGAAACGGTAACACTCGTCCTGGAACCGTCGTTGATAGAGGTATCACTTCAGTGTACGGCCATTCCATTGACTACGAGTTGATTGTGCTTACATTTGATTAACCTAGGTTTGATTTCGATTTTTACCTTCAACCTCATGTTGGCTTGCAAGGCCATGTGAAGGCGACACACTACACTGTGGTGTATGACGAGAATCGCCTCGGCGCAGATGAACTGCAGCAGGGCACGCACACTGCGAGTTACCTGTACGCCCGTGCTACTAAGGCAGTCAGTCTCGTCCCGGCTGCGTACTACGCCGATTTGGCATGCGAGAGAGGGAGATGTTACCTAAATGACTTCTTGAGTGCCGATGACAAGGCGTCAACCTCTGTCGTATCAGGGAAAGGAAAGGGGAGGGGAAAGGTAGACAAGGAGGAAGAGAAGTTACGGGTGTTCAAAGAGGCAAAGAAAGCATGGGGAGAGGGCGTGCACCCTGACTTGCGTGCGAGTATGTTTTATATCTGACAACTGATGGGCGGGCTGCTGCGACTTGTACTAGTATTGTGTTTGTGTTTGACCTTCTTTTTTGTTTGTCCTGTGATCCTACTACAGAGTTACACCGCGGCGGTCCTGACTTGCTGCAATCCAATTCGTTTTTCTTACCTATCTTCTTGCACCTAGCCCTCAACTTCGGCAGAACTCCGTCATCGCGCAAGACGGTAGTCTTCTGTTTGCAGGTCTACCAGACCAGGAGAGTCTTCGCAACAAAGTCTTTGTCATATAGGTTCAGGATTCGATTCATTCGAAGGTGTCGGTCAAGTTGTACTCCAGCTGAGGACTGTAAATATGATATTAATTATGTAATAGCGGTGGGAACACCTCCGACTCGGAAACTTGCATCGTCTCGAGTCCGACTCCACTTGCAAAATTGTTCGCTGTCCATATTCATATTACAACTCAAATCTCTAGGACTCGTTGCACCATTATGATCCAACCTCGAGCGAATGATTGATCCAGAGGATGCATGGGCTAGAAGTACTACTATCATCCGATCGACCACTATGAAGACCAGATTTTGTTGAGAAAGCGGTAGTGGACGTCAGTCGTACAAAATTGAGTAAGGATTATCGATCGTGACTCCGTCGAAGTGTAGTGAGTAACGATGGATTCTTTCCATGACCCAACTTATACGCTTGTCCACGGCTGCTGTTTAATGGCTCCCTCAGTTGCAGTTGACGTTGTCACTGACTCGCAGCATGCGTTTCATATCACTGCCACCTCCTCACAACTTGATTCCCGCCAGAAGTATGTGCACAGTGCACACACTCAAAATGATATGCGTCTGGTATCTTCAAGTCGACGAGGCAACCAGGCACCTCTTCACTGACCCGTTTTCATTCATACCCTGACAGCACTCGCGTTTGACAATCGCCCAGGCACTTCTATTATATCAATGTTGGTCACTTGTCGTTCATCAATCACGGTGCGTCCTTGTTATTGTCAGCGCTTCCACTTGAACTCGCAATGAATCATCCCTACAGGAACTCCTTATTCAGCTTCGAAATGAGCTCTGCAGCATGTTTGTGCACGGACGGCTGCAGGTTCTTAGTTCTGACTGTCGGCGACATTGTAATTGGATCAGACTCGACGTACCTGGCACATCGGATATACCACCCGCCATATGGTCAATTTGCGTCATCGCACCCTCATTTACTACCCTTTACGAGTTGGCTTTGTCTTCTCAGCATCCAAGTTACCGATCCTGTTGAGGCTGCGGCTGTTTCCGATATTGCCCAGCCTTACGCTATGCTGCATGCAATACTTTTTGCTACACAAATGACTGTAAGTGTCAGTCTCCAATTTATAGTATAATATTCGACAAAAACTGTCTAATTATTCCGCATAGTGACCGGTCATCCCAATGGCATGTAGTCACTTCGTGAAAACCCTTCATTTTTACAAAATCCATTCTGCAAATTACCATTTCCTCGCGATGACTGAGGTCCCGATCCCAAACGAAGGGAATCCACTCTGTGCGCCGAGGTACTCCATAATACGCTTGGCGTTGTTGTGCACGTGTTTGTCAAGATGGTCTATGTATACAGGAATGCAGCTTCAACACTATCTTTAAGGCTCGCAGAGCGTAACCAACCTCGACTCAAGGCTTTTAACTGACCTTCCTTCTCCGACAGATGTTCAGAGAAATCACATACAGCGAGAGCTTGCTATTATGCAAATCTCTGAATCACCGTTGGTAATCGCCATCGTGACCAACACTAAGGTGCTATATTCATTATCCTTCACCATGTTTTGACGGCAGATTTGAACCTTAAAATTTTCTGGAAGAAATTAGTAGACGCCTTGAAGGGCTGGAAAGACTACGATGCCGAGTATTTTGACTTCCTTGACTGCCGAAGCACCGCTGTAAGTGATACTAAATCACCGACGTTATCAAATTCTAAATAACTTAGCAGCAAGAACCGCTGCTCGCAGCTGTCTTCACCTCAACCGCAGTCCTATTGCCTATCCTGAATTATGTCACACGCATTGCATACACGTGTTTGTCCGAGTCGCTCGTCTCTGATAAAGACCCCCGTGAAAATACATATTCCCATGAAATACGGGAACTCAAAGGGAAAGCTGGATGCTGGCTGTTTTATCCAATCCTTCTTTAGGTTAGCCCCCGGCAGGTGTAATTTTCATTGTTCGCTTGAACAATGATGGCCCTGATTACATTATGTTTTTAGGCATTGTGATCACAAGCCCTCCTAACTCGTATACGATGTCAATGCTCTGAGCTGCTGCTCATCGTGATTTGCCTTCATTTCGACATTCTCGGGCAGCTGCATGGTTCACCGTGACAAACGTTGACGAAAGGGTTGTATCGCTTCACTCAGCCTCTTTACGATATGCGCGCTTACTTTCTGTCCATCGCTGCCTCCGAATGTACATGCACATCAGCATGCCTTTCCGCTGTATATTCTTCCATTCCCTTCACTCGTGTACATCCATCATAATCTCCATCACGTTTACGTTCACGTTCTCGGTTCGTTTGACGCTCGACTTCCGATCTTGTCCAGGAAAATAGCGCCGGCGCTTCTTGAGGGCACTTCAGCAATCCCTCATTTGACGATAGATGATCCCACTATAACTGTTTAGGGCCGAGAAGCATGCCCTGCTTGGATGGTGCGTGTCAATTCGCTCCCGAATTGATCTCAAACTATGCTGTAGTTACAGAGTTTTACAAGAAACCTCCAAGTTCACAAGGCATTCAAGTTATGAGCACAGTATGTCCTCTCGGAAACGTTACCTGTCCCTTCAGAGATTCTCCAGGCAGAATTGTAGTGCTGTCCATTCATATAGCTACATTTTCCGCTCCTCCTGGAAGTGTTAGCGCTCATGTGATGTACACGTACGTTCGGATGCTCAGTGCTGCAAGGCTGATATAAAGTGGCGTTATTCCATCAGATTCTAAGCGCGGTCGACCATGAGGCAGCATAGACCCTCTACGTGGCCTATATATTCTCGCAATTGGTCTTGACCCAGATAGGTCGGTTACCACCCTACCGTTGCTCATGTTCGGCTCAAAAAGTGTGAATACTCGAGTTGCCAGTGGGTACTCGCAGCCGCCATATTTACAACCTGCCCCGGCGAGAGCTTTTTCAACGACCTCCCACGGCTTGGCAGGTTCCGACATCCCCTGGTATTTCGAAGTAATCTTCAAAATGTGCTGCTTTATATTTACCTGGCGCGGCGATTTGAGTGGTTGCACGGCCTCTTGAAAGAGGGAAAAACTGGGAAGACTGCATCAGCAATATCTGGCCCAGCTCAATCAAGTGAGCACGGTGGTAAGTCGAAGATGGACATTATTCATTCAAATTGATCACATTAATGTGTTCGCGCAGCAAGGACTCGTGCTTACTACTGTGGCTGTTTTTATCTCCTCAAATCCACCGCTTGCGAGAGATGTCAACTACACATCTGATGCATCTTATGCTTGTTTGGCGGAATCGCTTGTCTTTTCGTTGTTCGGGTTATTGTTCTGCCTGAAGGTATCTGCCTCTGGAATGCTTTTTCAAAAACGTAGTGCTGCAGAAGTACGTATTGTTCATTGTCAGGATAGCAAATCAAATTTAACCTCTGCTACAGATCATAATTCAGAGACGCTGGAGAATATTCTGGCACTTACTGAGTTTAGCTGTGCCAATCATTATCTTTGTCATATCAGTGATACTTTTACTCATAGGTAGGCAATTCACCTCGTGATGCGTGGTCGCGACTTACACTCATCATCAGCCATCGTGTTCACGGGGTTTGCATCTCACTCCGGAACTGTCCAACTTTATATGAGCATAACATTTGCTTTCCTTGCCACCTGTCATTTGGTGTCGACCATTGGTTCACCATTCTACCACCATTTTTCGAACGTATTCGTCGAGATTATTCGCAAAATGAGTGGTGGTAAAGAACCTCAGAAGGTGGGCGAAGCTTGAGCATTGGGAGGTCCTGCAAAGGTACTGGCAGGTGTTCCATCGATTACTCTGCGAGGACAACTTCGCATTTAGCGATGGAGGCACTGCACACTACAACAACCACTTCCACTGTTTCGACGCTGCACGGATTATTTTCCTTTTTCATACACACTCTCTAACGTTTCACATTCTCGCGCCGTCCTTTATGTTCTTTGTTTTGCCTTGTCTCTCGACCTTCAGTGCTTTGTCTGATTATCGTCTTATCTTCCCTTGATATTATGCCAATGTCATGACTTATCACTCGCGCTTGACAGCTCTTGGATCTTTCGTATATAAACCGCAAGTACTTTTCGTATCCTCAGTCAATCAATCTCTCTCAGAAGTCAACGTTTTCAGCTCGTCCGAAGCATCTCTCAACGGCATTCTCCTTCAAACTCTTATAACTCATCTAATTATGCATTCAGTGATGTCGTTCATGTTAAAATAGCTCAGATTCAGTTGCTGTTCTGCGCAGTTTTTTAGTTCGTGTAACGATATCAATAAGTCTTGCGAGAAAGACGGTCCCGTGAGTGCCCGCAGGCTATTATTGCGACCACGTCATGCTGTGCGGACGCGCATTGCATCCTCATGCTGTGTTGCTCCAAATTGGCCAATGGAGAACAACCATTCATAGGATTGGTCCTCGGAGCAGCATGCAATTCTGCAGTGGCGGCCGGTGTAAAGTTGTCAGTGCTATGGCCATACATGCGCGTTTCCAGCCTCAGGCCTCAATACTGCAGTCCGCAGCATCGATGAACCCCATTTCATGGCTTTCATGGATCCGGTAGGATCTTGCACTCGTTGCAGCAACGAACCGTTGACTTCTTCTTCCCACCAAGGTATATTCTCAGAGACGCTGTTGAAGAGGTGACCGAAGGGGCCGTATTATGCTTGCTTTCAAAGGCATGTCACCTAAATCACATTAAAATTGACAACAACTATCTGAACCACTGCGTCGTATCAACACACGAATACCCGAAACTAAACACCAACTTCGAGGGAAAACTTCACAAGAGTGAAGAATCGGTACCTAAGAGAGGGAAGAAATCGAACCTATCATAAGTAATGAAATAAGACGATCATACATAGATTTTTACTGACTTGACGTCGTGGAAAACAAGTAGGTAGCCGGTATCGAGGGCGGGAATAGGAATAGGAATAGGGAAAGATATGCATAGAACGAAGGACAGATTAATACAGCGTGAAATCGTAAAATATCATTAGTTTCATGTTGGTTTCGCAGTGCATGAGTCAAAAAGGCGGGAGTTTGACTTCAGCGCATCGAGATTTATGCTTTGCTAGGGACGATCATCAAGGCCTCTAATCTTTCTTCGAGGCCTTGTCCGAGACCCTCGCGCTGCCACTCGCCACCGACATCATCGAGCATGGCGATGCTGTCACGCTCACGACCACTAAGACTCGCAGTATCGTGTTGGTTGAGCGCGTACCCTTCGACCTGGAATATGAGGTGGCGGGTCGGGAGTTGCGCAGGTAGTGAATGACGACAATGGAACCATTGATGCGGGCGTCGATGCGAGCAGATCTGCGTAACTCATAAACGAGAGACGCTTAGTGGGCCCGTGCGTAGGGGACGGGGGATGGGAGATGGTAATGGGACGCGAGTAAGGTGAAGATGTGTAGGTCGATGAGGGTGACAATGTCGAGATGGCAATGGGGGGGAGCGCAGCAGAGGGATGCTCCGCAGTCGTGGTTGTAGGTGATGGTTCGACTGATGAGAGCGTGGAGTAATATACAGATGCAGGCGTGCTGATAGAAGGTGCGGCAGACGCCTTGCTACTCGAACACTGTTTTGAGGGAAACGTGACTGGGCTGGTCTGAATGCTCAGGCGCTGGGACTGCCCGCTCCCACACCCGGCGTAGAAAGATTTAGGGGAGTAATGGGCCCCTGCTGAACCGGGATGCTCAGCAACAAGCTCGTTCTTCCCGTTGGACTCGGACTCCTGCTTCTCAAGCTACCGATTGGGCTAGCAAAACCGCTGGTAGTGAGGCGATCACGATCTCGCGAAGGACTAACGACGGAAATGTGATCTTCCTCCATGGGAGAGGAAGCTGCAAGAATTGAAGCAGCACTATCGAGCACAGAAGGTACGCTGTGCTCGAGTTGTTCGGTGCCTTTTGCACGCGCGATGCGATGGGGATTCGGATGAGAAGGGGGAGAAGGGGGGTGCATAGGCTCAATATCACGCTCGAAAATTGCGGATGACGATGAGTGGCTGTTGTTGCGATAAATATAAGTGATCATTTGGTAAAAGTGGAGTGGCTTACGCAGATGTCGGTGATGAAGGAATTGAAGAAGGTGAGCGAGAGCCCATTCTTGTGTTCAAGTGCTGAGAAGTGTGAGTTGAGAGTCTATGTTCCCTAGTTGAATCTTTCTGGGGGGTGAGAAGTGTCGAATTGGACGTCATACGTCTGAGATCAACAGGGGGCGAGTGTTGAACACTAGAAGATGGCGACATAGTCATGGCTGGTAACGAACGAATGTCAGGTTTTCATATGTAAAAGAAAAAGATGAAAAACCTACGTTGAAATGGGTCTGGAGAAGGATGGGCGGACATTGTACTGTAGATGTTGTGGAACTGCGACTGTGTTGGATGTGAACAAAACCGTTTCGTTGAGTGTTGATATAATTCCACCAAAGGCGCTGTGCAATGCCGCCGAATTGCTTCCGAAGGTCTACCGCAGACCACTAAACCTGTCCCTGGTCCGATGATCATCCTCACGATACACGTCATAGTGATCACACGTTCTCCACGGCCACCCCAACACTTGAATTAGGCGTACCCGGCTGCATGCCATCATGCCATCATTCATTCATCCATTCATTCATTCATCACCAACCATTGATCCTGCCTGGCCTCAGACCTTTATTCTCACATTTAGCAGTGCTTTCGGAGCATAGCCTGTTCTGTCCAGCCTGATCTCCACACGAGTTGCACTGGGTAGGGCACTGGGTTTCTCAGCTCCTCGCTTCACATTTACGATAACGAGGGTCCGCTGGCTGACGCATCCATTCTTCCGACGTTCTCAGAGTCCATTGCGTGAAAGAACTTCAAAGAAGTCCCATCGAAGCATTTCCCTACGCAAGGATGCGGTGATATATCAGGCTCGCATGGACTCAATATACTACGCTCTCATAATACGTCGGAGTCTTGGTCGAACTTCTCGGTTTCAATAACCCGAATTTGCCTAGCAGTTGCTGTGCTTTGTTCTGAGATCAGCCCAAACCAGTGATGCAGCTCGTTCTGAAACATTCTGGCAGTTTCGATATCCGCACCACACAGAGCCTCCAACATACGTTGGCTATACTTACGGCATAATCAACGTTGCTTGTTGTTGTGAGTTGTATAACGTTCGCGTGATTTTCATAATCATGATTCTATCATAGAACGCACAAGGATGCGCAGCAGTGCCCCTCTTCTCGAAAGGTCAGTCGGCGCCCACCGGACAACATTTTTTCAGTGGTCCAATGAAGTCACGATCACCATCAGAAGACTCTTATTTCATCCTTATAGTGAGTGGTCGCCGGGTTGCATCATTTGCTTATCCAGTGTCAAACTGGTGTCCGGAAACTTTGATGATCACCGTTGAATATTGAACGTTGAATGACAGGCAGCGCTTGTACGAGCACCATCGATCTTGTGGCTGAAGCATCAAGACCATTGATGAACAGGAAGCCATGGTCGCCGCTTCTCTCCCGACTGATCAGTGAGTATATGTATATGTGCTTGAACGTTTTAGGATTACAAGCAGTTGTTGTAGCAGCCCAATCTTTAGATGATGCAAATATACTTTTTGTACCTGAAAGATCTAGGGATGCGTTCCTTTGCATCAAGGAATATCACGAGTTCGTAGTCCGCTTCCAGATGTGACACTATCAGCTTGTAGGATGAAACTCACGGAACATCAGGACAGGTACATCAGAGAGAAGACGTCTTGAAATGAATCCCATGCAGGGCACCCCGCCTTCTTCTCACTATGCTCCTTGTCCAACTTATCGTCGTCATAGTCGTCATAGACATAGTTTGTTGTCCTCCACAGCATTATATGAAATCACGAATAGAAGGGCGATGGTGGGGTTGATGAGCTGCTGGCTGAAAATGTCCACGAAGTCTTCTTCCACCGCTGACTTCATCATCCGATTGAGTTCCCCCCGTTCACTCGGACCTTTCCAGTACATGAATACACGTTGCCGTTGTAACGTGTGGCGGACAGGAATCGAGGGGAACATGCAATGGGTGAGTACGTTTTCTGCGTTCACAACTCTTTTCTTGAGCTGAAGAACTCCATCGGCTACAAGCTGAGGGGTCCGAGGAGGACGAAGGCTCAAATAGGCCTTCTCTAGATGACTTCGAGCAGCAGCTCGACAAAATTCTTTTTCCTCGAGGTCGAAGCTAAAAGTGCCTAAGGTGCGACTCGAGTCATGAATAGTTTTGCATTAACACTCCCGGACAGGGTAGCAAGAATGAAGGTAGTAGCGAGTTTGTTGTATGGCTATGATGCAATTTATCTTGTGCTAAGTCCTCTGGTGTTTGCGCAGGTTCGAAGTGTGCTCGAAAGGTCATAAACCGTACATATGAGGTTATACTTATATTGCTGATGTAGCGAGCGGCAAGCCGTCAGCAACACCCTCAGTTATATCTGAGAGTTCCGGCAAGATCTCTGTAAGACAAAACAAGATAGGTCTCGATACTGCGATCAAAGCAAGGCATAAAGTTGAGAATGAGCACGTCATATTCGGTCCGCTAGTCCCGCCGGAATCAGGCGGACCGCTCACACAAGCCATAGATAGTTGGTTATCTGCTTATATAACTATCTGCTAACCCTTCATGCGGACGGCGGTCTACTCTGAATACAGCTTTGGGTTGCGATGCTTGGATTACGATAGAATACATCACTCTCGAAATTTCTCATCCACAGCCTCATTTTCGTACCTGTGTACTTGCTTCCGGATGAGTCCATTGAGAGATACTATGCCTGAAATATTGAGCTCATGATGTTGATTGCATCTAGCAGGAAGGATGAATTCGAAGTGGTACAACTCGATAGGAACTGAAATTTCAGTGTACTTATACGACAAGGATTTCTTCTATTGCAATTATTCAGAGATACTATATGGGGTTTATGGACATAAGTATATAATTGCCAAGGCCGGACCAAGATCAGATCCATGCTGTAGTAACAGATGATGTACATAAAGAGCCTGCATGAATTGGGTTATCCAGCTCTCATGATGTCCCACGACACATCAGATTGACGACTGACCTAGCTCCCCATCAACTTCGAACGCTACTAGCCATCTCAATCTCCCTATTCAGCGATATGGAGGGATTGCGCGATGTAGCAAAAAAAGTGTATCTTACTGTGAAAGGGCGAGGGACGTCGGGGCCAACACACACGAAGCAAGCGCACACGAAGGCAGTGACGGGAATCGCATTTTTCAAAGACGGTCGACGAATCGTCACTGCTTCAAGGGATAAAACCCTGCGAATCTGGGATGTGGAGAAAAGAGCATTCATAGGAAGGTCATTTGAGGGACACATACATTATGTGACTTCAGTCGCTATATCACCAGACGATATGCGAATTGCGAGCGGTGGAGATGATGATACCATTATCATCTGGGACGTCGCTAGCAAGCAGATGGTATTAAGGCCGCTGGTGAAACATGCAGACCAGGTGTCCTCTGTGTGCTTCTCCCCGATGGAACGAGACTTGCCAGCGGGTCATGGGATCAAACAGTTATTATATGGGATGCGGAGACTGGCGTTGTACTCTCAATAATCGAGGAAAATCTACGGAACATTGCGTAATATCCGGATTTGGAGCACCGATGACGTCACATTTCTACTCAACATCAACGCTCATGGCGATTGGGTTGAAAGTGTTGTGTGGTCGTTCGATGGCCAGCAACTTGTCTCCGCATCCGGCGACAGAACAATCAAGTTTTGGAACTCCTCGAATGGGTTCCAGATTGGTCTACCTTGTATTGGTCACATTTCCTACATTAGGTCACTTGCCATTTCTTCTGATGGCTCCTTCATTGCCACTACCTCACGCGATAAGACCGTGCGCCTGTGGGACACACAGTCACACCAGCAGATTGGACAGGCACCTGAACACACCGCATATCTTGATTGCGTTGCAATTTCTCTCAATGGAGAACTGATCGCAAGTGGAGACTCTGATGGGAAGCTTCAGCTGTGGTCCATCAAGAACTCGTTTGAGATGAATCCCTCATACTTTGCACATAGCAGTAAGGTCAAGTTGGGCCAAATGTTGTATGCGGAAGCACTTTTAGACGCAGAAAAGGTGCGGATGATATCCATCGTTGTTTTAACATTTGTGATGATGTTCATAGGTCATTGAGCTCAACCCTTCATCTTATGTCGGGTACGAACTGAAGCTTGCAGCGCTTCGTGGAGCGCAACGCTATGATGATGCATTCGAGGCCTTCACAATCATGCTCTCCAAGTTGGATGATCCACTCGACCCAGAGATACTACGTAAGCCCCAAACAACTCGAGTACCGACTTAAAGTTAATCTACATCTTTGCAGAGCTACGCCAGCAATACGTGAGACCATCTGAAGTAGAAGACGCCATTCAACGAGCCATACACGCCCAACTGGAAAATGCTCCTCTTCGTCTAATCAACACTTCTACTGGACGCTTGTGCAATCGAGATGCACAGATAAATGCATTCACGGAGAGTATAGAGCATAAAGAGCTTTTGCATTCATTGGTGATGCATGCGCCCCTCCGAATGGAGCTCATCGAGGAAGCGGTCATCAAGCACTTCAGTTGGGTCATGCTGTCCCATAGGTGGGAAAGGAAGGAGCCGCTACTGCACGACATTCAAGACAAGGTCATATATGACTTGGATCCTGTCGGAACCATCGTGAAGTTGCAGAAATTTTGCAAGGTTGCACACAATGCAGGATATCGTTGGGCGTGGAGCGATACATGTTGTATTGACCAGAACAACAATGTAGAGCTTCAGCAATCAGTCAACTCCATGTTCGTCTGGTATCACTACTCAGCGCTCACTGTTATCTACCTATCTGATGTCCCCCACTCGTCAAAGTCGGGCGCGCTTGCAAACAGCATCTGGAATACGCGAGGATGGACCGTTCAGGAGTTTCTCGCTCCCAAAATCGTTATCTTCTACCAGGCAGATTGGACCCCATATCTCAACAACTTCTCACACAACCACAAGCAATCTCTCAATATCATGGATGAATTAGAGCATTCAACTGGCATCAATGCGCGGGCGCTCGTCGACTTTCGTCCAGGGACAAGAGATGTCCGAGAGAAACTCCGATGGGCGTCAAACCGTGACACCACGAGGGAGGAAGACATTGCCTACTCGCTGTTCGGCATCTTCGATGTCACCCTTCCTGTCATCTATGGAGAAAAAAGACAAAAGGCGCTCGGACGACTCTTGCAGGAGATTATAGCCCATTCGGGCGACATCACGGCCCTGGATTGGGTGGGACAATCATCCAACTTCAACAGTTGTCTCCCAGCTGAGATTTCCTCATACAAGGCTCTGCCGTGCATGTCACCATCTATATCTGAAAACTACATGCAGAATTCGGTCTCCATGCTGCCAGACAGTATTGTGGCTATTGCAGAGTCAGCTTCGAAATTGTATACCACTCTTGAGAACCTCAGCGTTCCTCGTTTCGCAAACGCCAGGTTGCAATTGCCCTGCATCACATTTCCTCTCACAGAAGTCAGGCAGAGGCCCAATGAAGACCGGAATGGATGTTCCACTTATGACGTCAAGGCAAACGGTCTACAGGACCTGCGGGTCACAACGGAAGACAAGCTAGTTGAATTCTGGCCTACAAGACGTACTCGGCAGACATTCCTGCTCGTTCGTCCATGGAATCGGTATGATCTCGGGCTGATCGACTTTACAGACGAGACGCAGATCGTGGAAGATTTGCCAAATTCTGGATCTCTTGGATATAACGAGCCGACTATGCGAGAGTTGCGGTTGATCGTTCGCCTCGGACAGCCTTTTGCCGCACTTTTGCTAGCGCAGCAGTGGGGTGGGGAGTATAGAGAATTGCTTCGGATAACAATATCATTGCACAAGTCAGGGACATGGCAGCTGTTGATGACATGATGGACATCAGGATGCTGGAAATATTGTAGCTTCGGAGAACGGGATATTTTCATTTCATATCTTCCACATGAACAATATCATCTCGTATACAAACAGGTGTCTAGTTGTCGTATGTACATGGTGCTGGTGATAAGCATTGGCACTATGTCATGAGATACCGTGGCAGCCTGAGAAAATCAGTTGTAAAGCCTGTCCAACGTTCGATGCCGTCGCCGTGACCATGTCGCTTTCTTCTCACTATGCTCCTTGTCCAACTTATCGTCCTCATAGTCGTCATAGACATAGTTTGTTGTCCTCCACAGCATTATATGAAATCGCGAATAGAAGGGCGACGGTAGGGTTGAGCTGTGGCTGAAAATGTCCACGAAGTCTTCTTCCACCGCTGACTTCATCATCCGATTGAGTTCCCCCCCGTTCACTCGGACCTTTCCAGTACATGAATACACGTTGCCGTTGTAACGTGTAGCGGACAAGGATCGAGGGGAACAAGCATGTATGAGTACGTTTTCTGCTCCATCTCTCATCGTGAATTGGCGAGTCCTCGATACTAGTCACTACATTTTCAACATTTTGCTTTATATCTTGCTTAGACTATTACCGATAGGAAGCAATACGGTGCTCTCAACAAGGATCATACCTTTGGTTAAGGCATCACAGGTCAATGAAAATGGGCATGTTACTCTATTCTCCCGCCTTCGCAATTATGGCTCAATAGGTCGAGCTGTCGCCACCAATTCTCGCCCAGTCGTACAGAGCCCAAAACTTCTCCTCACAACACGTTTCGACCTGCAACGTCTAAGTCATATTGCTAAGTCTTTTTCTGTTCTGAACGATGAGATCCACATATTCTCCCCATTTTGTTCAGGGTTT